AGGAGACCGGGAGTAGAGAGACTTAAAGAAGACTGAAATGATGCGAGCACGGCTGGTGTTCTGGGGCGTATTGGCGAACTCCGGGAAGCTCATTGCCATCGATAAAAGACGGAGACAGGCCACGCGCAGATTTACAATCATCTCAGCATTCTTGAACTCATTTGGCTTGGACGCCAAAGACTCGTCATCAGCATCTGCCAAAGCGAGGGACTCCAGCATAAGTCGGTTTAATGGATCGTTAAACGTCACGATGTTATTGTGCAGGCTTAAGCAGAAAGTGATAGCATCAATAAAACCTATCTGAGTAGGGAAAGGCAGTGCTCGCAACGGTTTGTTGAAGATAGACTGCAACAGACGATCCTTCACGGGGAAGATGAGCTCATGGACTTGGCACCCTAGCACCTCAGCAATGGTTGAGAAACTGCGACGAGAAGCTTCCCGAACGTATTTGTTCATATGTGAAAGCTCATAGACAAAAAATCCGCACAAAGAATAGAGACGGCTCTTTTCATTCTTCAGGTCATCCTTGGAAACATTCTTGCAACACCTTCGAAGAATCAAGTCAAGGGTATCTTGCGCTCTTATTCTTGTACTAGCGGGCAGGTCGGCCGGCGTGTCCTTGATGACATACATCAACGCCCGCACAAATTCAGCTTGTTTGTCGAAGAGCCAAGAATCGCCCAGATCCAAGTCCGTCGCAAAAAGGTGAATACCGAGACTGCCTCCCGATTTGGTAAACCACTCCTCACTATGACAGCTGTGGCAGAAGACACGGCCAAGATGCTGGAAGAATGGCAGCTTTGATATGCGCTCCGGGGTGCCAAAGATGACGCCGGCTGCGTCTTTCATTACCTGCATCGCTACCTGGGCACCTTCACGAACACGGGCATTGTCAGAGGATAGGCTCTCAACGATGGCCTCCGCTAGGACTCGCGAGTCAAGGTACACCGATCCTTCGCCACTGGCAACATCGAACGGTTTCCTGTTATGTCTGACTTGAGCAAGGGCCCGTCCAACTTCAACGACTGCGAAATGTTTGCAAACATCAGCTACAAAATTAGTCGCTGTTGGGTTCAAATCAGGAATGGTGGTAGCGAAAACGCTAGCCTTTAGAAGTTTCTTCAATGAGACCTCCTGTGACAGCTTCTTAGGAATAGAACTTGACCGCTCCGACTTGTCCAAGATATCGGCCATGCCAGTAGTCTTGTTCTCGAAGAGGTCATTAGCGTGCAGCCGAAGGAGCGATGCCAAATCCTCTGGAAGATTTTCAGGTCCGATAAAGAGTTTCAGCTGAGACGAGATCATGCGGAATGCCTGCTGTTTGTAGTACCCATCAGACGCCTTAGCGGCAGATGTCTTCGGTGTCTCCATTAACTTCGCAATTGCCAAATCAATACCGATACCGATAGGGAAAGGACGCTTCTCACTGGGCCCAATAAGCTTAATATCAAAGCTAGGAGCGTCATCCGTAAATTGTTCAAAGGTAAGTTCCGGAGGATGGTTAAGGAACTTCCTGTTGCGGCCACCGAGCTTGCCCAGGATTCTCATGGTTGTATGCGCATGGAAGTGGTTATACGGATGAGGCCGAAGGTGGTCCCACAGCGCAGTCATCAGCTCGTCCATAATAGGAGCCATAATAGGATCCAGGTAATCGGCGGTGAGGTTATCCACACAGAGCTCAAGGGTTCGAAGTCCCTGTCCTACAAGGTCGGAGTCTGCGCGCAGCGCTACTACGATAGGACGCATGAGGTAACTCAGATGTGGCAGGAGATGGCTAAGGCGAGCGGGGACAGTAAGGGTGAGTTCAACGTAGAGATCGCGCTCTTGGGGCTTCCGAGCCGCGCTCAGCAAGTTGTTGAAGGTCTCGAGAAGCATTTCCAGCAAGGGCAAGATTTCCTTGTACAGGAGCTCGAATCGACCACCACCTATACTGCGGAACAGTGACCGCAGTAAAAGGAAGTAGTTCATCGGCTCTTCGGCAGTCACCGAAAGCTCTATACATTTGGTAACAATCTTGGTTACATGAGGGTGCAACACTTGCTCGTTCTGAACCGAAAAGAGTGTTACTGCCATGAAAGAGAGCTTGAACATCCTGAGCAAGATTTTAGCCTTGGTCATGTCGGAAGTTCCCACTTCCTCGATTCGATCCATGAGATACTGGAGCACCATTCCGGAAAAGGCTGGAGACGTAGCCTCGCTTGCTAAGAAGAATTGGGGCAGATGCAATAGAGCGCCATGTTCAAACATAAGCTCATGGAGGTAGGGTATCTCAGAATGAAAGACTTCGTGGAATGTGGCCGTGTCGATGCAGTGGAATACGGTTCCAAAACTCTCCAGAAGTTCCTTTTCTTCTCGTGACATTGGTGCAGTATACTGACTTGCCAGAAAATCAAAGGGGGAAGAGTAGTTTACTTCTGGTGGTGGCTGGTCTACGCCGTAATACTTGAAAACCCGAGCTCCCTCATGGAATAGTTTCTTGATGACCCGCACTTCCTCTGCGTTATAACCGTAAGAGACTTCAGACCAATTTATCGGGACACTGTTCGGATCGATCTGGATATTCTCTGGGTTGCAGTTCTTCAGCTGATGGAAGATATTCTTCAACCCGTTGATTAAGTTTTTGAAGAGGAAGATATTATCCGAAACGGGATCCCCTCCACGATCGCGAGGGTTCGAGGTCTTGATCGGTGACGCCGAGAAGATGTCAATTTCATCCCAGTCAGGTGGGTGGTCCTTGTCTGCAAGGTATCTCTCTGACGAAGGCTCAATGTCTTTCTTGCTCTCTTTGTACGCTCTTGACACTTTCACTGCATTGTCAAACTGGTAGTTCATAGAGGCAAACTTGTCGCCAATAGCATCGAGAATCATGATGAGGAAATACCGAGCCTCTCGCTTATCATCAAGCTTGGAAATCTTTTCTGCCATATTCAGAAGCAACTTGGCGCTCATTGTTTGGAAGCTTGTCCCTGGGAAATCATCATGGAGGTTCTTAGTGTACACCTCAACAGTTCGCCGGATCTGATCACGAGTCAGATGGTCCCGTACGTGGTGGATCAAGTCTGCGAGCATGCTATAGGCAAGTGGCCGCATCGTCTCATATACAGTAAGGCCGTCCCCGATTAGAGTCCTTTCATCAAGAAGCTCATCAATCTTCTCCAGGAAAATCTTCCGGTAGTTAAAGTTGATGATATGACGAATTGCAACAAGAAGCTCCTTCCTGGCACTGGATTTCTCCCTGGGACAATCTTGAAGAAGACGGACGACCACTGAAGGCAGTGTCGGAAGGAAATCTTGTAGCTGATGGGCATACATGCGCAGCAGATATGCCAAAAAGCTCATCGTCTTCACCTGTGCCGTTATGAATTCACCAAAGGCCGATCTGTTCTTGATCTCCTTGCATACACCGGTGAAGATCATACCCTGGGAAGCTGCCTCCGCGTGTGCTTTCTCCTGTGGTTTAGCTTGGAGAAGCAGGATGCTCTTTATCAGAGGCACAAAGAGCTTCACATTCGCCGTTACAGAATTCCGGTGAGTCTGGAAGATGGAGACGACGATGATCGGACATTCTGCCAGAACCTTAAACGACTGCATTCCCCTGAGCAAGACGTTGCTCCCTTGCTGATCAGACGGACCGAGGTCTGAGACTGAAGTTGCGGGCGAACTAGGTCGAGGAGATTGAAAGTTCTGAGCTGTGGCACCTGGTGTTGAAGGCATGCCGGAGGGCGTGGCCTGGCTAGGTGTGTCGAAAGTGTCGCGAACAACTTGTTCCATTGTCTGGAACATTTCTTGGATAAGCTCGAGGAACGGTTGTACCCGGGCAGCCGTTGCCTTCGCCTGATTCCGTTCCAAATCCATAATAGTCTTCATGCATAGGACAGCATTCTCTTCATTCTCGATCCGTACGAGGTCCATCAAGAAGTCCACCATATCCGCGGCGTAGGGCTCGACATCGGGAGAGGCCATTGGTAACCGGTGTAAAGTCTCGAGAACGCAATTGCGTAGTTTCTGATCGGTTACACAGCATATAAGCTCCGACCACACAACGTACGTCTGCAACGCAAGAAAGCACGACGATATCTCCAAGGCGACTCACCTGCTCGAACGACAAGTTTGTGAACACCGGCTCACCCTTCAGTATACCCTTGAACACCGGCCATAGCTTTGAAAGGAAGATGGGATAGCTTGCACCAGAGCATAGCGGCTCGATATTATCTCGTAGTTCGACGGCGACGTTGGCCCGGATTTTGATATCTGAAAGATAGTCAGTAAGGGCAACAAGCTCCGTAAAGCTGCCCTCAGGCAAACCCAAGCTCCTATCCCAACGTATTCCCCGAGATTATCAAGATGTCGGACGTACCAAGCTTCTCGTCGCCCAGCTTGCTGGCGTAAATATCGATATTGCGCTCCATGGTCGGCGAGACCCCTCCAGGGGAGTGTTTAACAGGTTAGATTGATTGTATTAATGCCAGGCCACAGGGCCGGCTAGAAGTCGAGCGCCAGCACAGTCCGCTTCGTACGTTGTGTTCATAGGCGTGAAAGCGACGGTAATAGGCTATCTCGAATGGCCCATCGACGGAAGACGCTGCATCGGACAAGACAAAGAATACAACCGTCAAGTCATTAATCTCCCTCGCAATTAAACAGATAGTACCCGAAAGAAGAAAAATTAATTAAAGAGCGTAAGGAGAGAGAAGGACGTGGGGAGCGGGGAAAGAAAGTGGAGGGTATCTAAGGTCAAGAGAACTGCGCGCAAATTCACGCCTGCAAACCGATGGACCAGAAAGCAGCAAGAACGCGGGTATCGCAGAGACCCCGAACGGAACACTAGGCCCAAACAGGCAACTTCGCTACATCATTTCTCCATGCCGATAAGCGCGCGTCTAGGACCGCTTGTCGGCTAGTTGCCCTATCACGCTAGTGTCCCTAGACGTTAGACAGGGGTATCGCTTAGGGCGCACGTGGTTCATTACCGAAAGTGAAGTGCATATAGTGGTGGGTGGGTTTGGTCTGTTATGCCATAAATACTTCATGTTTTAAAATCAAAAGAGGTCATCGACATCAACGTCGACTAAGGGAAACGCCATTTGCACCCGTTTTCCAGACCCGAACACAGTTCTAATAGTCCAACTCAAACGTCCGCTTTGAATCACGGGCACAAAGATAGCCCTGCGCGCGGAGAAAAGAATATTGAAAGCCATGTACACAAAAGGAGATATGAAAGAGAAAAGAAAAATAAGATGGAAAAGAGATGGAGGTTGAAAGGCGCGAAACAGAGGGTTCTGATCAGATGTCAAACCAAGTGAAAACAAAACACTCATCGCAGCTCGTAGTCGCTATGCCATCACTGTGGGAAATCTAAATAAAAGAATGCCATCGAATCGACCGCCCGTCACTTGGTAGAGTTGCTTCGTGTTAAGATTTGTACGGCACTCGACCCGATCGACCGTCTGCGGTCGCGCGGTCGGATCTCACTGCCGCTACCACTCCGTCGCCTCCGAGTATCATCAAGGGTGTCGCGGCGCCGTCTCTGGAGCAACGGACGTTGCAACGTTAGAATCACGCTTGCTGTAACATTAAAAACGACAAAATCTTAGCAAAACGATGACGACAAAAGCAAGGAGGAAAGATTCATCGAGGTGCAGACAAGGTCATGTCAAAACATGACTCCACGAACACTCATGCATGGAGACTAACCGTTGAACTCCGTCGTTCCTTCACTGAGCCCGAGTCGTCCAGCTTCAAAGATTGGAGACGATTTTGACTATCTTCAGTGATGGTGTCAACCTCGTCTACATAAACAGGAATGTCCGCTGGTGGCGGTGGTGGAGGAACACCGTTCTGCCGGTCTTTGGCCTGCGCCGCCAGCTTTTCCCATCTCTCCTTTCGGGATCTTTCACGCTCCTCGGCACTGTTCTGCCGCTCGTTGTACTCATGCGAGCATTCGTCGAAAAGCTGTGGATTGATTTCCATGAACATCTTCATGGCGTTATATACCATGCTGTGGATTGTGCTGTCTACGAGTCAGCAACCAACGATAAGGGACGGCTAGTCAGTGAGTAACCTACCGATTCCAGTGCCCTTTCGAGTTCTCATACAGCGGCGGGAACATGATCGGTAAGATCGTCTCCACATTATCGCTGACCAAGTTGCAAAAGTATTCGTTGTTCCAGAAGTAGAGAGCACGTTCCGCCACCTGCCCGGGTACGTATTAGAACTGTAAATTAGGCAAGCGATGATGGTACACACCTGAAAATGGGGGCTTGCAACCGATTTCGCCAGTTGTTGGAACAAGGGCACCTGGACCTTGGCAAATTCCGCTGGATCCATAACCTCGAAGATGTCCTCTACTTCGTTCAGATACATTACTTCCTTCGTGCTGTTGACCTTTGGCCAATAGCGTAGTAAGCCGAGAACAACCTAAATGCAAGTTCAGAGCCTGGCTAACCGAAATTAGAAGGAGAATGAGGGGGAGGTCTCACCTCTTCCGTCAACGATGAGTCCTTCTCGAGGAACTGTACAATACAATACGCCAGCTGTGGGTGATACATGCTGAGACCTTTAGCCTTGTGCAAAGGCAGCAAAACTCTCGTGAGGAAGAGTTTATGTTCCTCCTTCAGCGGGAGTGCAAATCCGTTGATGATAGATCCGAGAATTTCAAGCAGCTCCGCAATTCCGTTGAATCGCTCCGTCTCGTAAGTGAATTGGAAGAACACGTTGTTGATAGACCGGCGAATATAAGACCGCAGATTCAGAAATTTTCCATAAATGCGATGCAAGGTAGTTTTCAGGAAATCCCGTTCCCGAGGGTCTTCGGAATCAAACAACTCCAGTAACTGTGCGAGTGTCAACTCATAAGGCTCAATCTGCAACTACATAGTGCTAACCGTTTAGGCGACATACCTGTAATACAAAGTGATGGTCGATATAAGCCTTGGCGATGTTCGTGTTGAAATCCTGACTCTCGATGAACCGTAAGAAGAACTCATAAACGACCTGGATATGGGGCCAGGCCACTTCCAAAACAGGTTCATCCTCTTCCGGGTCAAATGCCTCCCCTTGAGGTGTCACGGGCGGCGGGATGGGTCGAAAGAGGTTCTTAGCGAACATCTCGACGACTCGGGGATACATGGGTTCCGTGATCACCGAGCGGTTATTTGCGACATAATCCAGGAGTTCGTGGAGCGCCAGCCTCTTAATCTCCTTAGACTTCATGTCGGCAGTCGGGTCGTTAAAATCAAAGATGATGTTGCATTGATCAATCTTCTGCATGAACAGCTCCTGACGCCGGTTGGGTGGCACTTCATGGAATCCCGGCAACTTCTCCAACTCTCTTTGGCGTTGATCGGAGATATCAAACCGCGACGAGTGCTGACGTTTGGGGGTCCGGATTCCTTCGGACATATCTTTGGGCGTTGTCTGGAGGCGGTCGAAGACATGGGACTTTCTGGGAGGGGCCAGGTCGCCCGGCATCGTTTCGGCGGCGCCAGGGGGAGGGACATGCTAGAACACGGGCCAAGGGTCAGCGCAATGAGCGAACGCGGGGAGGCTAGTAGGTCGCCTTGACCCAGAGACGTAGGCGGAAATAGAGAGAAGGGCTCACCGGTGCGCTCGGACTGATGACCACGCTGGGGGCCGGCACTTGCCCTTGCCCTTGTTTCGTTGGAGTTGCTGGACCACCATTATTTACTGGCTGACCAACGACGCCTGCGCCCTGAGGAACATAGTACTGACCTGGGGGGTACACCCCCGCCTGCGCAGCATTATCCGGAGACTTCCCTCTTGTATCATTCACCGAAGTTGTCGACGACGTTGGGGTGCCGTTCTTTGGAGATGAGGATTGCTGACTGTTGTTGACTCCGAGGGAGGCTTGGTTCTGGGACGCGGAGTGGGAGGAATCTTTCTTCTTCGAAGATTTATTTGCATCTTTGGCCCTCGACAACTGCTCGTGCTGGGACGGTTAGCTGGGAGTAGGGGAACCAACGGCTGCCGTAATGTTGAGGCGGGGAGTGAGGCCAGGGCGGAAAAGACAAAAGGCCCAGCGACGAAGTGTATCAACTTACCACTCTCTGTCTGAAACCCTTCATTGTCGCAGATATTCGAACAGCCACATGTACTCGGTCGGCGATCTCGATGCCAGTGCAGCAAGATGCCGCACACTAGCAGGAGGGGATGTAGTTGGGCAGCGTGGAGGCGGTTCAGGAGACCCGGATTGTTTATGTCGGCCTGGAAATGACCACATGAGCGATTCCAACCCCAACGCAATTAAACATAGCAATCGATTGCGATAAGGGCCTTTTCTTGCTCTGATTGCAGAAGCAATTATGGCAGTAATGGATAGACGTCGCAACACCAACTGGCGTGGACAAATAGAAACCGTGTAGAAGGACCGAGGGGGGCAGCAAAGGGAACAACTTGGGGGGAAGGAGACGGTAGGACAACGAACATAATAGATGGGAACCGGAAGGGGATGGGGACAAACAAAAGAGTGGTTCTAGACGCGCAAAAGGAACAGGAAACTATTGCTGCATGACTTACCTCAGTGGGATCAAACTGGGACGAGTGGAAGGGGGAGATATTCAGTCGCTCTCACACTGTTTCCTTAGGCGCGAACTGAGCGGTATAGGAGCAACTTAGGCAGTTAGTCGGTCCGTAGACGATCGAATCGCCTTTCCGTTGGCTGTCGCTTAGCGGCTAGGTGAGAAGCGGGGGTGTGGGAGAAGAGTCCCCGTGTAGGTACTAAGACGCACAGCACGATTATCGCCAAAACAATGCGGTTTAAAAAGATTCTGTGCAATTGCAATAGGACCAAGGAAAAGGGCCGGTTGATATAGAAGATTGTTTAATGAGGAAGAGGGACTGAAGGTCTGACGGGGGGGGTGTGTGCTGTGGCTGAGGGCGAGGTGCGCTCAGACGTGGTGGTGGAGGGAAGCCGTGGGACTGACTTAGTCCCATACATAGTACAACCAACTACCGTAAACTCCAGTAAAGGGGAACACACTCCAGTAGGTATCAGTCAACTTGGCGTAGATATAGTTAAAACTTAGTATATACAATATAAATTCTCCTAGATCTTCTAGAGGCTATTTTGTAAATAAAACACAGGATCTCTTCCTTCTTTGCTCATATTGTACCCTGGCTTCTACGGCTATCACATCACATCGGTTGGTATGTTATGACTGACTGTTTCACATTTATGCTTATTATTTCCACTACCGGTTAGTATTATAGGTACGGGCAACCTCTGTGCCTGAGGACAGGTACATGCTGTACATAAGGCAAGGGACGGGTACTGGAAAATGACCAAAATATAAAACAACAGTATCTTGGCTGACTCCATGATCATATAATGTTTTTTTCCTTATTCACCTGTATTTTAAGACATTCCCATAATATGCCTCAGACATTTGTATAGTTTTGTTCTTTTCTGTGTCTCCATCTTCGCAACTGGTACTCGAAACACCAAGTCCTAAGAAAAAAAAAAGTGGAGATCATGTGACCCCGAGCCAAGATTATTCACCCTCATAGAAAGAAGCAAGTCAATCAACGTAACTATATGTACATACAAAAGAGGTATCAATACATCCTCTAGAGTTCACCAGGAATGATATCACTTGGATATTGTGCCTCAGGTTACATATGAAGCCATTCAACACATTTCCCCAAAAACAACATCTTACGTTCTGACGTCAATGGCAGTTTAGCCCTCCTACTGGCGCAAATCACTTTAAATATACATCTATACTTTTTTTTAACTACACCAACAACCGCTCAGTATCAATACCTTCTCATAGTCTAAGTTTAACCAAACCAAACCAGGCTTTGCTGATTATTACATCACAACCCTGAACATGTCCGAACAACATGGGCCCAGGACAGCCCCATTCTATCCCATCCCGTCTCGTCGCATCGTCACTGTTGAGCACCCGGCGATTATCAAGAATGTCGATAAAGCCATCGACACACTCCAGGGTAGCACAGGGATCTCCAAGGTACGTATATCCATACCCACAGGGCCCTGACATCCAAACCCCCCACCATAAGACGGCTTATCTCAGAACCTCACTCTCACGACTACCAGATCCTAAACCCTCCAAAAGCCGACACCCCGGCTTATCTCCACCTTCGACCAGAGGATGCAATGTCAAGACCTGTCCAATCAACCAGCTTGCCATCCAACAACATCCTCCTAAAGGTGACTGTGCCCAGACGGACCGGTCGTAAGCGTAAGAGAGGATCAGATGAGCCGTTCACGGGTGTCCCTGTCTCGACGCTTGGCCCTGAGTTTCAGCCTCGGCGCAGCGCAAAGGAGCTCCTGCGGAGCTTGCGCGACAATGTTGGCAGATATCAGGTTGAGCCAATCGGCCTCGTGAACCGGACGCATGTGTTTCGAGGTTGGTTATAGCCTCACTCTTTCCTGAGCTGTAGGCTTGCGGACAAGTCAATGCTAATCCGGCTGTATAGGGATGCCGGACTTTGTCTTCTCAAGTACTGGTAGTTCCTTCGCCAATCGGTTTCGGGAGCAGATTCTGCCTTTTGATTGTTTGTTTTATTCCATATCTTCGGTCTAGCGGTGTTGAAACTAATGGTATCACAGATGAAAAGATGAAGCAATTCAACCTGGACATGGCAAAAGGCATATCATCGCATGTCGATATCATCCCACCTCCATCTTTCAGCCAGGGAGATATCCCATTCACCTACGCGTAAGTCACCACCACAGCAATCAATCCAATCGATACCCATCCTAACCCCCCAAAAAACAGTTACCGGCAAAACCAAGCAGTCCGCCAATCGATCGACTCATCAGGCAACATAACAACAGTCAACACACAAAAGCCCACAAAAGTCCTAACGCACTTAGTCTCCTACGACGTCCCGGAAGTACCCAGCAAACCAAACGAGAACACTCCACCCTTAGAAACCCAAGACGCCACCCTCCGGGAAACAGTATCCATCATCCGAGACCTCTTCGACAAGCGCCCAGCCTGGACCCGTCGCGGACTCCGCAACAACCTCAGTACAATCGAACAGCGATACGCCCTCCGGCACGCAATCCCCTACGTAGGCTACATCATGCGGTCTGGACCCTGGCGCGACGCAATCATCAAATTCGGGCACGACCCGCGCACATCCCCGGACTACCGTCCCTACCAAACAGTCATGTTCCGGATCCTGCCCAAGGAAGCGGACGTCGCGCGCGACGGCTACGCGGGACGCCGTCACGCGGTGCCCCGACTCAACGAACCGGTTCCGGTGGATCCCTCCACCGATCTGAAATCAGATACACACATCTTCACAGGCCAGCTGCCGCTGCCACTCGACGGCCGGATGTGGATGTTCTGCGACATCACCGACCCTCTGCTGAGGAATATCGTGTTCCCGGAGGAAGAGGCGCCCGGGTTTATCCGCGAGACATGCGATACCGTCAGCGATGGGTGGTATGGGAGTGGGACGCTCGCGAAACTGAAACTGATCATGCGTCATAAGATCCTCGGGCTCATTGAGGAGCGGATTCCCGATGATCAGGACTTTGCGCGGATTCTGCGTTTCCCGGATTATGCGACGCCGGAGAATGTGAATACAGCGTTCACGCTGGATGCTAGCGTTGTGTCGACTAAGGAGCTGACTATGGCGACGGAGATTCGGGCGATGATTAAGGGGACGCCGTCGTGGAGGGAGTCGACGAATCAGGGACAGGAGCAGGATGCGATGGCGAAGCGTGGGAAGGGTGCCGCGGGTCGGCGAGTGCAGTGGCGGGAAACGGCGGGCGAGGAGGAGAGTGAAGGTGAAGAGGAGGCCATTGAGAAGCAGGAGATCCTGGAAGCAGCAGTGGATGACGTTATGGAAGCCACTACAATTGGTGGAGATGATGACGGAAATGATGATCTGGGAGAATCGGATGGGGGAGAGGAGATCGAGGAACTGAGACCTCGGCGCAAGTCAGGAAGTCGGCGATGATTATATTTGAAACATCCATGTTGGCTTTATCCAAAGAGAAACACACACATATTCGAATCAAGATACTTATTTAAACTTAGGGAATTGTTTAGCAGGATGTATGTACATCATAAGACATCAGAGACGTAACACGTTCTCGCTCATAAGCACAGGCATAGCATCGTTCAACGGAATGATAGATATAAAGCCAGATAAATCCAACGAGATAGGAAATATTATACTAGTCAAGACATTGTAGAGAGGATGGAGTTTGCACTCTTCTGTGCGTAGTTATTCAGTAGGAACAAATGAGAGCTGGAACAAGTCACAGTCGGCCGGTCATCAAGACCCGAGATAATAATATAGACAAAAAAAAATGAAAGTAATCCAAAAGGGTATCGAATATAACAATGCAAAGAAAATCCAAGTGCTAAAACCCTAACTCCGTTTTCCACTGTGCGCCCGTATTTAAAGGAATAATGAATGATGATGGAATTATGATCACAAGGCCGATTTAGTCGGCTTCATTGTGTCTTAAGGAGATTCCTCCACAGCGCTTCCACTCTCCCAGACCTCAATCTCCGCCTCCGATGGTCTGGACTTGGCGTCCTCGACCTGCTTAACAGGTGTGGTCGCTTCAAGTAAAGATGAGATAGAAGAGACGCTGGAGAGTTTGCTACGGCTGTGACGACCGGATCGAGGTAAGGTGGGAAGAAGCGTCTTTTTGGCGGGAGTGGCATCGGTTTCCTCGTCGTCATAGACGATGGCATAAGAGAAAGCGTGGCAGTCTTCGCCATAATAGTCGGCAGCATCCAGGTCACCAAGGGGAGCCCGAGGTTCTTCCATCATGCCGGACTTGCGGGCGGCAGCAGCGGGAGATTCCCGTTGGCGAGAGCGAGGAAGGTCGATTCCCAGTTCGGCAGGGGGGATATTCTCCTTGCCTCGGGTGATCGATTCCCCCTTGCCTTCGTCATCACTGATATCCAGCACACAGGTAGAGTGCTGCATAAGGTTGGTCATCTCTTCCTGTTCTGAATCTACATAAATGTCGAAGGACCAGCCCGAGGGAGCCTTTGTGGCAGGTTGGCTCGTCGGCTTGCCACTTGCCAGCGCGGCTGCAAGGGAAAAAGGGCGATTGACACTCTTTTTGCTTGCAGGCTCAGGGCGGCTCTTCGCAATGGTCGAGCGGCGAGCGAATGGCCTGCACGGTTTGGCCGGTGGGGAACGTCCGGCCGGTTTCAGAGTGGGAGCGGATTTGGGGGCAGACAGGGATGCCTTGGGGGGCGTGGTTGGGATGCGAGGAGCTGTGTTGGACTTCACGGTTGTCAACGTGATCCGTGAGGTCTTCATGGGCTTTGTAATATTCTTGACGGACTCGTGCTCGTCCTCATCCGAGCCACGCTTGCGTTTTGTCGACGAGTTGAAGATTGTGGGGTCGATGTTCTCGGTGTCCACCTCCGAGAGGGGTTGCCTCTTGCCAGACAGGATCGCGCCTGATGGTCGAGTCAGTACGTGTTGGTATATAGCCATACTCCCAGAAACATACCATTCTGTTGGTTCTTAAGGTTCATCTTTGACTTGAGCAAGGGTCGCACGCGTGGTGCATCCAAGCTCGCAAAGGGCTGCCGCACGGTCGTGGGAGTTATTGTCAGAGCGGCCATGTTATTGAACGCGAAGTATGAGAAATCTGAGACAATTGAGACGCAGAGTAATAGGGCTGAAGTAATAAAGGGAGTCAACCAGGCAGCAAGCGACGACTGCCGTGGAGCTGAGGGGTGATAAATGCCTGCGCGGGTGTGGATTTGTTTTGGTCGCGTCGAGGGAAGTGGGGGTCGACGGGCGGTCTAGTACTGTACGGTAGTACTACCGTGATCAACACAACCCAACGGTTCAAATGGAACCGATCGCGAAATATCCAAGGATGGGAGGAAAGAAGTCACAAGTCGGATCAGGACTCGGGGTCTCTAGAGTCCTAGTTCGTGTCGACCTTTCAACCAAAGACACAATAAACAACACGTCCCGGAAGGATATATTACACCACAACAACACGATGAGGGGAATGAGATTGAAAGGATGAAGAATACTGTCACAATAGTGGCAATCGAGACAAGATATAAAGCTATGGCAGTAAGGGTGGGAGGAGAAGTGGAGTGGAATGGCTAAGAATGGAGGGCAGGGTATGGGAATGAGAATGACAATTGAGGAGCGCGAAACATGCAGATGCGTGGTTTCAGAGTATGTACGGCTCGAAGAGGAATGAATATTGAATCATCATCATTTCCCTAAAGAAGTATAAATTATAGTTATAATTTACAATAGTTATGTAAAGTATGGAGAGAAGGAGAACCTCGTGAAGAAAGGGAGGGGCGAAAACGCGTGAAGACGTGTCGTTGTCTATCAGCTTAACTACCTCGATTTGGCAGTTCAGGGCTGCAAGGCGCGTAAAGATTGGCTCACGAGGCACAATTCAATGCTCTTCCCCTCACTTCAGTGCCCCCCCCCCACTAGAGCTATTTGAACTTGCTTACTCGTAGTACTATTAGTCGTGTACGTACTACCTTTGTATAGGACCTAGACCCTCTGAACCAGCTAGAAAATCGCGTCGTTCGGTCCGTCGGGTACGCGGATTTCCATCTTTCCCATTCAGTCTTACATACCAGGTACACGTTGAAGGTTAGGTACTAGAACCCTCCACGCCCTGAGATTCGACAGCTGTTGAGAATGATGACGAGTATAAAGACTCATGAAATCAACGACATACTTTCCATTTTTGAGGTTGATTGTGTCATTGACTCCTAATTGGTAGAGTTATTGCCACACTAGTAGTAAGTGGTACATGATGTAGATCGTCGATGGTAGATAATCATGTAACCGTACCGATCTAATCAGCAATGCGGTAATTTTCACGTTCCCCACCCGATCGATACACGCCAATCTTTCGTGTTGCGCTTCTCAGGCACGGGGGTTCCACCTCCAACAAAAAGAACTATTCATTAATAACATTTTCTACTTTGAATCAAGAAGAGTAAATAGAAGGAAAGGTCATGCAAATAACTGAGCGACTCGTTGGATTACGGGTATAGTAGCCTGTACAAATTAGTATCCGGACAACTTTTTGAGTTGGCCCTAAAAGTAAAGCCGTTTATGACCGTAATCTACACGTCCTCATAGAAGATCTAGTGTCCAACAATAGCGCATGCTGTACTAGCTATAGTATAATAGTAGTAGCCAGGTAAAAGGAATTTGACGTGTCACCGCCGGAGGTATAAATATCCTGGTAGCCAGAGGACTCGGTAATTCAAAATACTAAGCTTATCTTGATACCAGCCCTAATACAATACGGAGTATACCTTATGACACCATCCCTGCAACGCGTCTTCTCCATCACGACCCGTGAACTCAAAACCTCGATTCAAGCTCACCATGCAACTTGGGCAAGTCATGAGTCTTGTCGCGTACTATGATCATGTTCCCATAGTCTCCCAGCATCGAACACGTATCCCAATCCTGTTTCATGAACAACGCCACCCCTTCCTTCATGCGCGCTCCAACGGCGGCTACAAGGAAAGCATGTTATACAGAGTACGAACCGAACAAGCAAGTAACTTTAATTAACTTAAACTGTAGCGCCCATTCTATAAGTAGAAATCGATCGGCCGGCTCTATTTCCAATTTAAGGTTCCTTGGGACTCTTGACGGCTTCTCTCAGCCTGTGTTTCCCTGTCACTGTAGCTACCATGAAACACCGCGAGGGCTCGCGCTGTCTTCCCATGATGATTAGGACCTTGAAACTTTTAGACTGCGATATGCATGCGACTTACGCGCCGAGACTAACTGATGGCGCACGATGTTAGGGTTTCGGGCTAGCATTGCGGGAATGGACTGCCGGGCGCCTGTCAGACGTGAGGTATGGGAGGTTAGTCCCGTGCACATTCCATACTTCACCCTCGAGTCTTTAAGAACTTATTTGATGGTCGTCAACGGGCAAGGTGCTTTCTTTTTTTCATTTTATTTCCTACAATGCTCCATTCCAACTTTTTCTTTTTCTCTTTACCGTATTCTTGCATACCGGTTCTTCCGATATTAGTGGACAATCGTGCCGTCTAAACTCGTCTATGATAAATCCCTTGGGGGGTCTGCAGTAATGTACATTTCATTGTCTCTTCGCTTTCGTTTCTAATTAGATCTCGTCCTCCCATGGAATGCTGTCCATGGCTCCTTGTCGCTCCACGCAGCGAGCTGAGGCCTGTGTTGCCAATCCCATGGCGTCATCCATGACCTTCTGATATCGAACAGGCTTCTCCTCGCTTGTTAGATCTTGACCAGCCTTGCCGTCCGCACGCCGTTGTTCGCGCCACCGCGCCACCCCGACCGCGTATGCGCCGACAAAAGTATCTCCCGCTGCGGTGGTATCCAACACTCGGCTGACCTTAGCGGCGGGAATCTCATTGGTAAAGCGGTTGACTCCGTCCGCAGGCCCAGACGTCCTGGCATCAGTAGCACTGTACCAGACACCCTTCGACCCCAACGTGATCAGGACATACGTCACGCCCAGCTGATGGAAATACCGAGCCACCTTGTCGTTACCGCTCAGTCCCTCTGCATTGGGAACCACCTTGAGCAGCTGCTCCGCCGGTGGAGTCATCAATTCGGCCTCCGTCTCGTTCATAATAAAGTGGTCCACTGCCGCGTACACATCCTCCGGCAACCCTCCGGGTGGAGCAGGCGCAGGGTTAAACATGACATCAGGGCCGGCCTCAATACCTCGCTTACCCTCCGCCCGGTTCTTGGCTTTCCAAGCCCCAATGTCTCGGAGTATGCCGATGACGCTCTCGACGGGGATCTCTCCCTGCATCACAATCACATCCGGTACTGGGGCTGCCATCGCCATTCCCAGCACTGACGGCTCAGGCTGCATTCCTTGATAATTCGCTCCAGGCGAGAACAGAATGCGATTCTCTCCGCCGGCCGACGAGTCCACAATGATCACCGCCACTCCCGTATATGCATCTTCGACGATCTTCACCCGCGACGTATCGACACCGGATTTCTCGAGGGTGGGCTTTAGTAATGCATCGAAGTGGCCGTCCAATCCACCGACAGCGCCAACCATCTCCACTTTCACGGAATCCTTGCCCGAAAATGTAGACGAGGCTGATCGTGCACGAGACAGCCGCCCGCAGGCAACCGCCTGGTTCGCGCCCTTGCCTCCAGCGCTAATAAAGTACGAAGAGGACGTGATCGTCTCACCGGCTTCAGGGAAGCGAGGTGTCACCGACACCATGTCGGCGTTGAGAGAGCCGACAACGCGGATTGTCGGGGCCATTATGGCTGAATCGGACGATTTGTGACGTCCTGTAGAGGTAGGAGGTTGAAAATCGCGGGGTGCGGGGGAAAGTTCGTAAAATGTTGTATTCCGTTCTAGCAAGCGGGTTCCGCTTCGCTTGCTGTCTAGTAATCTCTAATTATTCCGTAAATCGTTAGAGTGATTGTGTAGATATTATTGATCGCGAGGTTGTATCGTAGTGTGGACGTGGTATGAGAAAAGAGTTGACGTCGGTTGGGACCGCGGGGTTCGGTGGGGTGTCTTTCGCCTGGAACTATTCCCTCACTGACTGCCCTTGGTGATATATAGCAATTCCATAGGTTATGACTGGTGAGCAGCAACGTTGACCTATTTTTGGTAAATATCACTAAGTCATGAGCTTATAGCCATGATAAGCATAATCGGAAATAGTAAATTTTCTATGGGTTTTATATAGCTTATACGTTCCAGCCTCGGCAATATATAAAGACTCTCAGCTCGTCCATATAGATCGTCATCGGCCTGTTCGTAAGACCATCTATTAATAGGGCAGTCATACCAATCCGCTATTTCGGAAGCAAACAAGTAGAAGCCGAAGGCCAAAGGCTTTCTCGAAGTATATCCAATTAAGGTCGAAATAGAAATACCTACCGATCAACCATTCTCCTTGCCCTGAGGCTAGACTTGCCCTCAGCTTGGAGTTACCATTACGAAAAATGGATACACTGCACTTCGACGTCTCCATACAAGCATGCAAATGAACTCAAGACTCCAATTAGAACTCTTCTCACGCACTCTTTTATCAAAACCTATCTACGACCTAATCCCAAGTAAACCCACATCGAGTTATGGTCCAAGCTGTATAAACTTGTGGCCAGAGTCTCCACTCCGGAATTTATCATCGACGGGAGCATTTATAATACAGCAGTGCCGAACGTCGGCTCAACTGAAGACTTAGCTTTAACCTCAGCACCCACTCTTAAACGAAGAATTACTTCCCCAGAAAACAGATCTGATAAATCTAGAATAAATACATCATGCCCTACGAAGGCCATTGCATATGCGGACGTATCCGCGTCTTGCTGGAACAGCAGCCTCCCAGTTCTCTCGTTTGCCACTGGTATGTCCTACTTCCCTGTCTATACTAAAGTCCATATACTGATTCAGCTACAGCCAAAATTGTAGTAGATCGGGGGGTGGTCAGTCCTCCAACACCCAAAGAAAGCATCAGGTCAGTCCATTAATTAATAATAACACGTACGCCAGGCTCCTCTATAAACTACGTCCTCCACAAGGAAGAAGTCACAATTCAAGACCCTCAATCTAGTCTAAAAGTATATGAAGATACGAACACAGTCAGTGGAAATCGCATTCAGGTACAAATATCTCTTCTCTAGTCTTTTGACCCTATTTACTTATCCTGGACATGACACTAACCTAATGATGCTGATGTCCCGTAGCGCAAATTCTGCTCAAACTGTGGCAGGTTGGTTCCCTCTCTCCCCTCTTGTTTGTTTGCTATGAGAATGATAGGCTGAGAATGGGAATAGTCCGATTATGACCGAGAGTCCCAGCTTTCTGGGGAAGGCTATTGTGAAGGCTTCTTTGTTTGATGTGATCTCTCAGCCTGATAAGGAGCTTTTCACGGCTCAAAGACAGGCATGGAAGGGGCCTGTTGAGGGGGCGAAGCAGGAATAGTGAATTATGTTGTTAGTCTAGAGGGGTGATGTTAAGTATAGGTAGTGTTGGGGTTGATGTTTTTGAGATGGGATGTGGGTTTCTAGAATATGAATATCATGGAATACTGATGTAAAAGAGATCTTTTCTCTAAGAGTTATCAATCTCACTCCCTGGGGCCAAATTGATAGTTTTGTATGGATTATGTCAACTTTAGTCTCTTAGTCTGGATATGTAAGTATGACCGTGATTCTAGGTAACCCTGACTCAAATCCTACGTACAGATCCCATTATCATGGAAACCTACAAATAAGCAGCCACTTGATCTGTCAGTCATTCACTTACATACTAAACAACCAGCGTCACAAAAGCCTCTCAATCGGTGAATGAAAGATTCTAACAGGAAATTTCCTGTACAAACATCGTGTGCGGAATACTCCCATTCTCACTTAGAACATCCGCAACAGAAGCTCTACAGAACAGCCAGCTCACACCACACTCTGCCGGCATACAGAAAAGGCACAAAACTCCAGTCCAAACCAATATGTTGTCCTTAAGATGGCTGAACGCTGTCCTCCACGAATACCATATCATCGACCGCCCAGTCACAGTATCTGATACCTACCAGCACCGTGAACAAGATCAGAGTGACACAGCAAGTCTCCCAGAGAATCCTACTGCTACTGCTGCTGCTACTGCAACCACTGAATATGAACCTTCAAAATCAGCCACGATCAAGAGAAAAATACCCCCAACAACCTCACATCTAACGGCCACGCAGCAAAAGCGCCTGAAACTAGACCTCACATTCGAAGACAGACGCCACAGAATCACCAAGCACAAGGTCTATCACCACGAGCTCGAGGTCGGCTTCTACGGAGATCTTATCTCGTTGCACTACGAGGATGCAATCGCAACCGCACAGTATGCCCATACCGTCCCCCTAACTGACGGCAAGTGCCATTTCCACAACTTCTGGGTCGACGCAAGTGGGAGTCACGGCTCCGCTGGTGCGGCGATTGCATACAAGGACCCCTACTACAGCGGAGAGTGGATGGATCGGGGATATGCGATCACAGACCTGAAGGATAAGAAGCGGGTCGATATGTCGGAGTTGTTTGCGATTGGGGCTGCATTGAGGCTTGCGCTGATACGGATCGGGAAGAGGGTTGCTGTTGCGAAGGGGATAGAGGAACATGCCGTTACTGTGTTTTCGGATTCGATGCGTGCGTTGAGAATGATTCGGTGGTGGGCGAATTGGTGGTCTGAGGGTGAGGTCGATAGGTCGGCGTTTGGGGCGATTGCGGGGGATGTTTGTGGGCTTTCGAGGCAGCTGTTTGAGTTGGGGGTTAAGGTGAGGGTTTATTGGGTGCCGGCGCATGGTGAGGCTTGTATTGTTGGGCATAAGCGGGCTGATGTGCTGTCGAGGGCGGCGGCGAGGCATGTTAAGCTGCTTGAGCAGCGGGATGCGAGGTATAGTGCTGATGGGGTTGTTCAGTTGGTTGAATCGAGGTTCTTGAAGACTTCATCTGCTTATGAGTGCGATTCGTTGTGAAGTGGGATTAGTCTGGAGTGTTCGCGTTTGCAACACTACCGCTTCTGTTACTGGGCGTTGGTGGTGGATAGATATCGTGGCGTGGGTTACTGGGATGTGATGGAATTATGGTAAATTGCTTGATTCCGACCTTGAATCTGTGGATCTGTGTTGTGTATCTTAAAATGAATACAACGCCGTACACCATGTTCAACCGCTGTGCCCGAATCCAGTTTCTATTAAGACATGATATCAGGTAATGCATGCTCCCCGTAGTCAAAAAAACATTATTGTCCATAGCCCATACACACTCCATGCGAGCATCAGTCATCAAGTTAACAAAGATGAAAGAGAATTATACTCCGTGACGGTACACTTGCGATCCGCCGGAGCGAATGCGCACAGTATCTCTGCGCTGCAGGACCATCAAAGCCCGGTTAAGAGCCTGTTCGGTGTAGCCTCGTCCGTCAACGAACTCGCGGCGAAGAGTTGCGAGACTGGTGCTCCAGCCAATGGGAAGTCTGCGCTTCAGTTCATCTTCAATCTTGCTGACCTCTTCCATCATCTCCTTGCTACCCTGGCCCTCGCCCTGAGTGATGGCGTCCATGGTTGAGGCCAAGAAGAGACGGATGGCCTCGTCAACGTGTGCCTCCGTAGCAATCGGCGACAAGCTCAGCTTGGCAAGGGACTCGGTAATACGGACGATGGCCTCCAGTTGACGGACTGTGATAGGGATAGAAGAACGTGCGTTGGCGTCGAGCTCTGCGCGGTGAACTTGTTTTCTAATCGAGACGAAATGAGACGAGAGCTTCTCTGCCGCTTCAGGCGATAGACGCGGGGCGCAACGACTGTAGTGATATGTTAGTGATGCTCGATGGCTTCGAGGTAGTTAGATGGCCAGGAACTTACGTGCGGCAATAGCTGATATAACGCTTCATCTTGTCTAGCGGAATCTCGGCCTCAACTTGCTCTTCAACACCTCGGCCACCCATGTGTACACCCATGACGTGGCGTGCGATGTTCTCATCACGACTGCGGTCGTGATCATCACGGACAATGAAAATCATATCGAAACGAGACAGAATGGTTGTCTGGAAATCGATGTTTTCGCCAGGAGTTTTCAGGTCATCGTACCGGCCGAAGATAGGGTTTGCGGCGGCCAAAACTGATGTTCTGGAGTTGAGGATGGTGGTAATACCGGCTTTGGCAATCGAAATAGTCTGCTGTTCCATAGCTTCGTGGATGGCGACTCTGTCTTCATCTCTCATCTTGTCGAATTCATCAATACACACAACACCACCGTCAGCAAGGACCATTGCACCACCTTCGAGATAGAACTCGCGTGTCGCTTGGTCTCGCTGTACCGAAGCTGTCAGACCAGCTGCAGATGAACCTTTACCGGAAGTATAGATGGCGATCGGTGACACCTTTTCTGTGAATTTAAGAAGCTGAGACTTGGCCGTACCGGGGTCACCAAGAAGCATTACGTTGATATCTCCACGCAGTTTCATGCCGTCGGGAAGAATCTTTTTCGAACCACCCATGAGCAGACAGACAATAGCCTTCTTGATATCAAAGTTGCCATAAATAGAGGGAGCAATGCTCCTGGCGAGGGCATCATACAGATCAGGCCGACGGCTGAGCTCCAGGAATTCCTGCTCTTCTTCTTCCGAGAAAATGGCACTGCCCTTGACGGTTTGGTCGAGGTCAGTGCTGATGCCTACCGCCCGCATATAAGGGTTACGAATGGCAGGGGCACCATCCTTCTTGCTGCCTTTGGATTGATAGATGGAGAAGATACCCATGACTGTGCAGCGGGAACCAGGTACAACGCGATTTGCCAGATAGCGGTCTGCTGAAACGAGAACATGTCTGGGTAGCTCACCCACTGGGACCTGGTCAGGTGCTTCCTGGAGCTTGAGAACTTGCTGATCGACGAATTGGCACTTCTCGTGAGAAACGACGTAAGGATCTAGAGGGCACTGTTCGCCAGGGGCGTCACCGGGTTGCTGCTGGCGGCCGCATCTCCGGGGTAACGACAGACCCGAGAATCCGCCTTCCACACGAATATTTTCGCTATGATCGCAGTTTTTGCATCGGATGTGAACAACTGTTGCTTTCGATGAGATCGTTGAAGCACCGATAACAATACCAGGAATGCGGACAAGGTGGGAGATATTTGTCGCATTAAGGTCACGAATGGAGATATGTGCTGCAGACGAGTGAAGCAGAAGCTGATGGGATGGGAGCACTACGTCTCTTTGAGAGGGGTAAACGATTCTCTGAGTGCATTGCTGGAGAGCATTTTCGAACTGGAAATAGGAGTGATGGTCAGAGCCAGTCTGGTCGATGCCCAATGGCCGAATTACTCACAAGGGGGATGATGTCTGCGGGTTCAGTGGTGAGCTTGTACGCCAGCTCTTCATTATAAGAGACCAAGTGGGCAATATCAATGTCACAGTAGTACTGCTTCACGAGCACATTTTGCCGAAGCTGGTCCCTGTAAACTAAGTCAGTTTTGCGACAGGCTTGTTGGTTGTCATGGCGGCGTACCGGTAAATAAATGCATTATCCAACTGGAATTCCAAAACGAAATCTCGTAGCCTCTGCTGGATTTGTGTGCGGGACTCTTCTGCACCATCTGTGCTAGGAGCAAGAACGCTCAGAGTATACGGTGTACGTCTGTCCATGATGAAGACAGCAATTGGGGAGGGGAGGGGTGGGTTGAGGGTGAGCGAGGGGGCAATGTGTGGATTGTTGACTATCACCGCCGAAGGAGGTGCAAATAACTTTTGCGTGGACACGAATGGTGCGCGTCGCGTCTGATACACGCGTTAAGTGGTTTTGGCCTTAGGCATCATGCAATGGGAGCTTCAGAAGCGCGGAAAAATAGTAACCCCGTTTCCCCCCAACTGGGACTAGACCCCCTCTTGGGGGCCTGGAGCCTTACCCGATTGGGCCGGCTGTCATGCTGAGGCCCCGAAAGCACGCTCCCCAAGATTGGATTACTTGTGCTTGCGCAGTTGGTGACGTTACATGTTAAGCGACTCCTGTTTGAAGTCTCGCTCGGGTACCAAAATCGTAGCAGCGGGAACTCATTGGAGGAACGCTTGCTCTCGGTCCCACCTGGACTATTCTACAGTTGTCCTCTTGTCATGTTGAGATAACGACGTCTAGCATAGCACGGTGGCCGTCGGAGTCGCCAACAACTTGGCATCACGAGATGTCCTCTGCGAGCCCACGGAAGTCGATCGACAGCCTCGCCTCGGGTGCATCAACACCTTCGCTGTCCCAATATTCCCTCAATCAGCTCGAATCCCCCCGCGTTCTGCCCCAGAGATACCCCCTGAGACGAGGGTCAACTGCAAGTTCAATCGCGAGTATTGGAGGCATTCTCGACTCCTCAGCTCGGCATGGGTCAATAGCAGAGTCAGGGCAGAATGGTATGTTATGATCTGTTACGTCAATTGCCGGTACGCTAATTTACCCAGCCATCTCTACTCTCCTTCAACCTCCGATTGTCCGCACCGGCCTTGTGCCCCATACCGCTGTACCGTCTAGTGGATATAAGCCGCCGAGCTCCCGCGACATCCCCCCGGTTACCCTGACAAATATACCGCGTGTAGACGCCAAGGTTTTTGATCCGTACCTATCGCAGGTTGGGTCCTTGTACGATGTATTCCAACAGGCGAAAGAAAGCGCTGGTGATCAGGAATCGCAGCTAGCACGGGACGGAGGAAAGGCCTCGCCTAAGCCAGATGATAATGAATTCTTGTCGTCACAATGGTCTCCGGAGCGGCGTCCCTCAACAATATCGGTCAATTCCCGTGCGAGCTCGCCTTTCGATGCTCGTGGGCGGAGACGGTCGTCTGCTCGAGGTCGTGGACACGCAGTGACACCTCTTTCGACCATCCCTCAGGTATATTTTGATGACGACTTTCATCTCGAGAACCCGCGGACATTCGATGTGGTATCAGAGAAATCTGAAGTTGTTACCCCGCCGAAGACACCAGGCAAGGACGGTAGATTTGAAAACGGAGCCGTGGTCGGACCGGCACCAACGGGGAGAAAGGCACTTGCGACAAATGCGATATTGCAAGAAAAGCTTTCCTGGTATATGGATACTGTGGAAATTCATCTAATTTCATCAATCTCAACGGCATCCAAATCATTTTTCACTGCCCTCGGCTCGCTCCGTGAGCTGCATTCGGAGGCTGCTGATTCTGTAAAACGGATTCAAGTGCTGCGGAAAGACCTCCAGAAGATTGACCGTGAAATGGCCCTAGGCGGCTTGAAAATCGTTAATCTACGGCGCCGGAGGGAAAATGTCAGGTTGCTAGCAGATGCTGTATCTCAGCTGCGAGAAGTAGTCCAGTCAGTTTCTCGGTGCGAGGAACTGGTTGAGAATGGAGATATTGAAGAAGCTGCAGATAACCTTGAAGAGGTGGAGAGATTGATGGCTGGGGAAACTATTTCCGGTAGCCCAGCAGGCGTAGATCCACAGGAGCATCCTAGAAAAGCCATTGATTTGAGGCGACTTAAAGCTCTTGAGGGTGCATCTGATGACTTAGCCCAGTTAAGGACTCGGATTGGCATGGGATATGAGTCCCGCTTCTTGAATGATCTTCTTGGAGACCTGAGACAACATGTTGAAAATGTACCCTTGGAAGTGACGTTACAGCGCTGGGGCTCTTCGTTTCAGCGACAACGTGGAGTGCAACGCTCGGGCGTGACTGTTTCCCCGGCGTATATGACTTTCGATGACCAGCTGAGATCGAGACTGCACACGCAACTGACTGGCCTTGCACGGGCACATCATACAACCGCAGCAGCAACTTCTTTCAAGACGGCAGTGCTACGAGAAATGAAGAGCTTAATCCGCAAACACATGCCTAGCTCGAGCGATGATGATAATGAGTCAATGGTGTCCGTGTCCACTCATCGATCCTCCCAGCTCAGTCAGCAGGAGAAGTCGTCGATTCTTGCTCGGAACTTGCGTGCTTTAGACGTGGAAGATGCCTACGCTATGCTCGCCCGCGTATATACCGGCATCAGTGAGTCCTTACGGAGGCTTAGCGTTCAGGTCAAGGTCCTTCTTGATCTTGCTAGTGGATTAGGGAATAACTCTGTTCTGAAGTCTCCAAGAAGTCCACATTCACCTAACATGGACAATGCAGCTGCGTTTGGGGCAAGCTCGCAAACAGCGGCAACAATGATGGCTCAGGACGAAATTTTACAAGTTCTAGACATGTCTAGTCTTCTTGGCCAGGCGGTTGATATCGCCCAGTCGCAGGTGAACAAAGTACTGAAGGTTCGGAGCGAGCAGACGTCTCATTTGCCTAAGGAGGATTTCCTGAAATACTTTACCCTCAATCGACTCTTTGCGGATGAGTGTGAGGCAATTTCGGGTAGAAGTGGCACAGCTCTGAAAACCCTTGTGGGCAATCAGATCCGCGATTACATCGCCCGATTTGGCGATAAACAGCGACATCGTGTTGTTGAAGTCATGGACGCGGACCGATGGGATGCAAGGGACTTCGGGGAGACAGAAAATACGATTCTGAGTCGTATTCTCGATGCTAGTACTAAAGATATCGAGGCCTGGGTGGATGCCTCGAAGATCTGGTTGCCTCAAGATAAACCTGAAGGTAATACGTCGGATAATACGACCAACGGATCTGGAAGAGACAAGGTGCGATCTGCAATGATTGACGAGCAGAAATACATTCTGTCGGAATCCGCGGTGGCCATGATGAGGAGCATAGAAGAATTCCAGTTCCTTATGGCAAACATCCCCAGCATGATCCAGGATATCGCACCCGGTCTTTTGGAGTCGCTGAAGTTATTCAATTCACGCTCCTCTCAACTGATCCTTGGTGCTGGAGCCACACGTAGTGCCGGTCTGAAAAACATCACTACGAAGCACCTTGCGCTGTCCTCACAGGCTCTGAGCTTTATCATCGCGCTGGTGCCTTATATCCGGGAATTTGTCCGTCGCCATTCACCTTCTAGTCCGTTGATGGGCGAATTCGACAAGGTGAAGAGGCTGTATCAGGAACACCAATCCGGTATCCACGAGAAATTGGTCGACATCATGAGCGGGCGGTCTTCTGTGCACGTAAATGCCATGAAGAAGATTGACTGGGACGCCTCGGGATCTAGTGCGGTTAATCCGTACATGGAGACTCTCGCAAAGGAGACCGGTACACTGCATCGCGTGCTCAGCAAGCATCTACCGGACATGACCGTGTCGATGATTATGGATCCCGTCTTCAACAGCTATCGGGAACAGTGGACCAAAGCATTCGATGATGTAAACATTCATACAGAGAATGGAAAGCAAAGGTAAGAAAAGATCTTCCTCACAGCATACAAGCAACCATCTAACGCCGCGTAGATTACAACGGGATGCGGAGTACTTCCAATCGAAGCTCAGCAAAATAGACGGATTTGGAGACCTAGGAGAACATCTTCTGGAGCTGGTGAACCAAAAGACCCCGAAAGCCGAAGCCAAGGAGAACGGCTCGAATGGAGGAGCCAATACAAACAGCTCCTCCGATACAAGCAACGGCAAGAAGAGTCCTTAAACATAAACTATGGTTATAAAGATGTGAGTTTACGGATGTCTCGGCCTTGACGAACACATTGTATACATTCTTCTCGCTTGGATGTACCAGAGATACCATCATGTTAAGGCCAAAGAATTGTACAGCGATTTAGCGGTGTTTACCCTTTCTAAGTACTTGTTTATTTTTCCCGGATGGCACAGCGTCCGATTTATATCCTTCTATAGAGACTTAATTAAAACATTCTTTTTACCAATTTCTTACACTAATCAACAATAAATCAACAATAACAAGAGAAATGAGATAAAAGAATTAAGAATCAAAGTAGATAAATCACCTTCATGTATCATTAAATAGATAATGATAGATAACATAGTAGGCCCTGTACCGTAGCAGAAGCCCAGACCATATCATACAAAACGGTTTATTTAAAACCCCGAATCAAACTCCCAGAGGTAAAAAAAAGAAAGGTAAAAGAAAAATTCATAACCTCATTCAATCCTTATGAGCACCGAGACCTTTATTCTCTCCCAAAGACTTTGGCTCATGGCCACCCTTTCCGCTGGAGTGGCCAGCACTGCCGCCAAAGCTCGTGGCGTTACCGGAAAGCTCCTTAGCTGCCTCAGGGAGTTCGGCAGTTCTATACACGCGACCCATTTGGTTGTTCTATAAATCGGCAATGTTAGCTGGGGTACTCGTATATATTGGAGATAAATGATAAAAACATACAGAGTTACCGGCACCGTGGACCTTGGTCTGGCCTGCTTCGATGGCGTTGTCGCTGTGAGGGACACCGTCGTCGTATTCTGCGCCGCGGGGCATTTTGATTTATTTTATTTGTGAAGGTAAGAGTGCTGTTTGGTTATTAGGTTTGCTGGTTTTCGAGATATAGATGGTGTATAAACATACCTTTAGAGAAATATGTTGAAGAAGAAGATTATGTCTATGGCGATATAGTATTCAATTGATTATCTTGTAGTTGTTGACTTGAGTGTTTACTTCACAGCAGAATTGTTAACGCCTTTATATGTCCTTCATGCATGTCTAGCCCTTTCTATGATAACATCGACATTCGCCAAGACCAGTGTTTGGTGACAGCATTGTGAAGTCATTGTGGAGACTGGTATGACTTCATCTGCCTTGCATGGTTTCGGCCGGTTTGGAAGGGTTTGGAGGGTTGATTATTTGCTCTAGGGACATTTTATGGAGATATGGAATTTTACGTGTTTGTTATGTATTGGTGATATTTGGGGGTTTGGTTGTTGATGTTCAGGTACATACTGAAGTACTAGTTCTTGGCGGTGTTGGTTCTTCGTACCTATCCAATAGGGCAAACAGTGCAAACGGCGCAAATTACTGTTGGTGTCGATGGCGTTTCATGTGAGGGGAGTTTGGTATGTTTGTTCTAAGGGGCTGAGGGGTTTTCATAGATGATTTGTTGGTTTTTGTTGGGGCTTATCGTGGTGTTGTGATAGATCTTTCTATTGTTGTGTATTCTTGTCGGTGCTGTCCGCGAGTGTATGATTTGGGTTGACTTTTGTATTTGTTGAATTCATTGAATTATTGGTTTACCTGCTTATCTCGTTGTTACTTCTTAAAGTATACTTACAGAGGTTAAGCATCATGTCTACTATGCGAGCAGTAGTCGCGCATACGGCTGGACCTCCCGATGTCCTTAAAGTCATACAATATCCCCTCCCCCAACCCACTTCTGGGCAAGTCCGGATCAAAGTCAAGGCATTCGGACTCAATCGCTCCGAGATGTACACTCGACAGGGTCACTCTGGTTCTGCGGTTCAGTTTCCCCGCATTTTTGGTATCGAAGCCGTGGGTATAGTCGACGCCGCACCAGGACTAGAAGATAAATTTCCGCTCGGGGCCACCGTGGCCACAGCCATGGGCGGGATGGGCCGAGCCTTCGATGGGGGATATGCGGAGTACACATGTGTACCGGCAAAGCAGGTACAAATACTGAAGACGAAGCTGCCTTGGGACGTGCTGGGGGCGCTGCCGGAGATGCTGCAGACGGCCTGGGGTTCATTGATCAGGTCACTCACCTTGAGACCCAAAGATAGATTGCTGATTCGCGGTGGAACCTCCTCGGTGGGCCTGGCCGCAGCGGCCATTGCTAAGAAACACGGGGCATTTGTGGCGTCAACGACCAGGAAAAAGGAAAGAGAGGCATTATTACGGGATTATGGGGTGGACGAAGTGTGGATTGATAATGGGGCCATTTCTCAACAGATCGCCGAAACATCGGGCCAATATTTCGACAAGGTGCTGGAGCTTGTGGGAACGGCGACTTTGGCTGATTCTCTGCGTTGCGTGAAGAAGGGAGGCATTGTTTCTATGACAGGAATTTTGGGAAACGAGTGGCACTTGGAGAAGATCAACCCAATGGAATTGATCCCCAGTGAATCGAAACTGACGGCATATTCTGGAGGAAATGAGGAGTTTATGAGAACGCCTCTGAAGGAGCTAGTCAAAATGGTTGAGGAGGGGAAGCTCCAGGTCCGGGTGGGACGCGTATTTAAAATGGAGGACATTGCAGAGGCTCATCGGTGTATGGAAGAAAGTGAGATTGAAGGGAAGATTGTAGTGATTCCATAGCCCTATTGCTACCTCCGGATTTAGATAGTGTAGCTTGTCCATATATCTCATAGCCGTTAGACGTGATCTGGGAATGGACGAAGCAATTGGCCCGAAACCGACCAGAGCCAGAGGCGGTTGAAGAAGCACCATCCAACCTGAACAGGGCTGACCATGTCGAGGCGTCCAATGGCGTTCAGCCCGCGACTCTATTCGTCGCAGATCAATAACCACTGTGGCACATCACGTCGTGTATCCCGGCATACCGACATTTTTTGAAATCGGGCGGGTTGTAAAATTATGATATGAAGGTAGCATCACAGATGCTAAGCAATTATACACATTTTGCGATATTTTTGAGAGATTGTTGAGGGGGTGAGGTCTGGAGCGGTCTCCGACGTGCACGGTGGTTCAGTGGGGACCAAGTACTAACCAAAATATAGTAAGTTGGGTGTACCGGCACCGGTGTACCTAGATGTCGAACCCGAGACTCGGGGGTGTGAGAGGAATTAATTAATCCCACCGTGACGGTCTCCAGAGAATTGCCCGTTGCCACATCTTGGCTTAATTGCTGCAGATAAAGCAATTCTTACCATGGTAGACCGCATATGTTGCAAAGAAAGAGAAAAGATCCATGGATTCAAGTTGGATGGTATATTGGCCATGGCACATGACCCTCGACCAATGAGAGCGGGGCCACCTCACCTGCGGCAGCCGGTGAGCCATGACGTAATGCTTCACCTGGGGTTCCCCGGATTCGGAATGAAGAAGTGGGGGATTCTTGGGAGAGAGAAATAATTAAAGATAAGGAACAGGTTCCTTTCCTTGATGGACTAATATGTAATAGTAAATCTGATCGTCTGGTAGATATGCTAGCCTGAACCCATGGTTGCGAGCTGGTCTTTCTTTTGTTATGTATATCATTACTATCATTCTGATTGCAAACGGAGGTGGACACTGATAGACTCAAGTCAGTACGACATGTACCATAAAAATAGAAGGAAGGAAAAATAAAACATTTTCCTCCTACGGTACAAACAAAACCAGTCCTGCAAGAGATTGAATGATGAGCATCATCATCTGGTCGGATGATCTTGTAATGGTCTTGGGGTTGACTGGGGTTGACAGGGGTTACGATTCGCTAACCAGTTTCTGGCCCCGTTAGTCCATAGCAAATAATGAGCACGAGTCCGTGCCACCGCAGTAACTTCTGTTTAGAGGTAAATTGAGGAGGTCCATGGTCCCTACTGCTCTCTTTCTTTCCTTCCATTTCCTCCTGGTGTTCATGAATCTGTTCTACTGAAAAGGACCTAGCAGAAAAGATTCTTTTTTTTTTTTTTTTTTTACCCTTCCCCTTCTTATCTTCTCAAAACCCCCGTTCCAAGGGAACAGGTTCCACTGGATCCGTTCCTAGCTTTTTGGTGTCTGGTACTACCTTGTTCTGTACCTTATTTATACTAACAGCTTAGGTACCTCACTAGACTGGGCCCTGCCAACCTCCCGCTCAATTCGAGCTTAGGCTTCCCCCCGCCACCCCCATTCAGCTTTCTATCCCCCGCACGTACCTCCTCTGTCACCGGAGGGACGATAAAGACCCTGTGCGAGGAGGCTTGCTGGGCGAGCTTTAGCTTGGGCGGCATCGGCTCTCTAACTCTTCCATTCTTCTTCATCTTGTTTCCTTCGTTTAATCTCAACCGTTCTTCATCTTTCCTCACACTTATTGTCGCGCGCTCTCTCTCTCAATTGCCTATATCTTTCCCTCGCCCGGATAACGCTCGCCGGGAATCACAATGGCCAGTGAGGAGACTGGCGCCGAACCCCCCAAGCGGGATGTTCGCAACCATATACTTTTCGAAGTTGCGACAGAGGTGGCTAATAGAGTGGGTGGAATTTACTCCGTCCTCAAGTCTAAAGCTCCCGTGACGACTGCCGAATATGGCGAGCGATACACTCTGATCGGACCCTTGAACCGTGCTTCGGCAGCGGTGGAGGTGGAAGAATTGACTCCATCCAATCCCCGCATGGTCGAGACGATCAAGTCGATGAAAGACCGTGGTATCGACGTGATCTACGGTCGCTGGCTGATTGAAGGCGCTCCCCGGGTGCTTTTGATCGACACAGGAACGGGATATAAGTTCCTGGACGAGTGGAAAGGGGACCTGTGGAACACAGCGGGGATCCCATCGCCGGCGGCAGATACCGAAACCAATGAAGCGATTGTCTTTGGATACCTGGTAGCATGGTTCTTGGGTGAAGTACGTTTGATAGACTGTACCATCGTTAGATGCGGAGTCCGCTAATGACGGTAACTAGTTCATTGCCCATGAAAGACGGGTTGCGGTGGTCGCCCATTTCCACGAGTGGCTTGCTGGGGTAGCCCTCCCGCTGACCAAGAGGCGACATATGGATCTCACCACAATTTTTACCACCCATGCGACCTTACTCGGTCGCTACCTCTGTGCGGGATCAGTGGACTTTTACAACCACCTACAGCACTTCGATGTGGATGCAGAGGCTGGCAAGCGTGGCATCTATCACCGGTACTGCATTGAGCGAGCCGCAGCGCACACGGCGGACGTTTTCACTACCGTCTCCCATATCACTGCATTCGAAAGCGAGCATCTCCTCAAAAGAAAGCCAGATGGAGTTCTGCCGAATGGGCTCAATGTCAAGAAGTTCTCCGCAGTGCATGAGTTCCAGAATCTCCACTCGCAGTCCAAGGAGAAGATTAATGACTTCGTTCGGGGTCATTTCTATGGTCATAACGATTTCGATCTGGACAATACACTCTACCTTTTCACGGCGGGACGCTATGAATTCCGGAACAAGGGCGTTGATATGTTCATCGAAAGCTTGGCTCGGCTGAACCATCGTCTGAAGGCCAGCGGCTCCAAAACCACTGTAGTTGCATTCATCATCATGCCAGCCCAGACCACGTCTCTCACGGTTGAAGCCCTCAAGGGACAGGCTGTCGTTAAGTCCCTACGTGACACAATCGAGATGATCGAAAAGGGCATTGGTAAGAGAATGTATGAGCGTTGCCTTGCGTGGAGGGAAGGCGACAACATGCCAGACGAGAAGGACCTAATGGCCAGTCAAGATCGCGTGCTGTTGCGACGCAGGTTGTTTGCCATGAAGAGGCACTCCTTACCTCCGATCGTCACTCACAACATGGCCAATGACCACGAAGACCCAATTTTGAACCAGATACGCCGTGTTCAGCTGTTCAACGATCCAACCGATCGCGTTAAGGTAGTCTTTCACCCAGAGTTTCTCAACTCCTCAAACCCCGTGCTGCCGCTCGATTACGATGACTTTGTCCGCGGTACGCATCTTGGAGTCTTCCCGTCGTACTACGAGCCCTGGGGTTACACACCCGCGGAATGCACCGTGATGGGTGTCCCCAGTATCACCACCAATCTGTCTGGTTTCGGTTGCTATATGGAGGAGTTAATCGAGAACTCATCCGACTACGGTATTTATATAGTAGATCGCCGAATGAAGGGTGTTGACGATTCCGTCAATCAGCTTACGGATTTCATGTTCAACTTTGCTTTGAAGAGTCGTCGCCAACGGATCAACCAACGTAACCGTACTGAGCGGTTGAGCGATCTGTTGGACTGGAAACGTATGGGATTAGAGTATGTCAAAGCGCGGCAGTTGGCTCTCCGGCGAGGTACGTTTTCTCCATAACCTCCATGTCCACCATGTAGGTCTCATATTGTTTGCTAACGCATGGATCACGATCTACAGCCTACCCGTCTTCATTCGGCAGTGGCGACGACTTCTATGATATTATTGGAGGAACAGAACAGAAGATATCGCGGCCGTTGTCCGTCCCTGGGTCACCAAAGGATCGATCGGGGATGATGACCCCTGGTGATTTTGCGTCCCTGCAAGAAGTCAAAGAAGGGCTGAGTACGGAGGACTATATCGCGTGGCGGCTGCCGTGAGTTATTCTTTTGACTACATGATAGACAGAATTGGGCAAACGCGTTGCTAATTGGCCATCCAGTGGTACAACCGATGATGATGAACCAGACGACCAATACTTCCCACTGACTCTACGAACGAAAAAGGCATCCGATCGACCCGCGTCGCCGCTCGACCGGATATCCGTCAATGGTGAGAATTGATTGACAGCTGCATACCTTAGTGGTGATTTACTGTCCAGCGTGTTGCTGTGCGCTGGTTCGAGTCCCTTTTGTTGTGTGTTCCTGTGCCATAGCTTTCAACATTTGTCATTTTTACTTACTCCAATTGCATGTTTGTTGATATTCTTTGGAGAGAAACACAGTGGGACCCTGTCCGGGCCAAGGACTGTTAAGGCTCCCTGGATAAAGCTTCACGTCTGCATCATCCGTCGTTTGTACTGTTGCATTGATGTCGTTTTTGCCTTGTGTGAGTTTGCCAGCATCGGGATTGTCTTTTAGGAGCGTGGATACATTCATTGCATGATGTGCGAGACGCCATACATTCGTCTTACGCAATTGCCTGACATCATATCTAAGGGTTGTTGAGACGCTAGTGAGGGGTCGATCGTAGTCCCACTACAACACGAGGATTGACCGGACCACCGTGCTCCAGAACGTCGACACTGATAAATATGCTTAAGCAACAACACATAGAAGGGAAGCGCACGGTACTTGACCATGACAATTCATTCCGAAATACTACCAACTGTCTCAATCGTTGTTCTCAAACTGTCCGCAGACGGTGCGGGATTTGCTCGGAAGTCATCGTAGTGGGGGGTATAGGAAGAAGAGAGGGTATACAATCCCTGTTAAGAGGACCACGACCAGGGATCGCCGAGTACTATCCAATGGGACCGAGTGACAGTTATCGTCTTCTGGCGGGTCCCGGTGAGTACTGAAGCAGGGAAATAAGACGAGTAGGGCTTAAGTACAGTTACTAGTAGAGATTCAGTAGGTGGGGTGGGATGCCATGTGACTCAAAGCCTATTATTTATTGTATTTATTCCTTGACCCCTCCTCGACCACTCTTCCTTTCCCTTTTTCACCACAATCACCCATCTCAATTCCACCGATTCCTCACTTGCTATCGCCGCAACTCGCTCGGTACGGCTCACCATGAGGCCGCGCAGCCAGAATGACCTTCTGAGTCGTTTCGCTATGGGTTAATTTTAACCTACACGGGTCAAGGTATCGTACATAGTATAACAGTCATAGCTCGCGCATGACAGGTGTTCGTCTTGGACCTGCCCTGGTTACCTGGCTATCCTTCTACTTCATGCTATCCCTGCGCGTCTGCCTCTCTTGAAAGGGCGTATCCCTCGAAGGAGAAGCGAGACGAAGGGCGAAAGCTGAGTGAAATGTGTACCGGGTGTACAAGGCAGAGTCCGGTCGTTCTGAGATTATACTGTCATAACTTGATCTAGATAATACTAGCGAAAGGACATGCGTGGCATTGATTGTTCCCCTTTATTCTCTTGGTACAGAAGAGGGACTTCGGTCCCCCATTACTAACAAGTTTCAGAGCTCTTGACCTAAATTTGTGCCAAGATGTCTACTGACAAGATTACCTTCCTCACCAACTGGTATGACATGCCGCTGGTGTTGTTTCTATCTGTGTTCTTGCTGTTTTTTTCTGCTACGTTCGTGAACTGTTACTAAGTGGTTGTGTGTTAATAAAGGCACGCGACGCCGTACCACGCCCCCTTGTACCTCGCTCAGAGCAAGGGTTACTTCAAGGAAGAAGGCCTGAAGGTTGCTCTGCTGGAGCCCAATGACCCCTCCGATGTCACTGAGATCATTGGTAGCGGCAAGGTCGACATGGGCTTCAAGGCCATGATCCATACTCTGGCCGTATGTATCTTCGCTCCTAAGAGTCGTTTGAACGGATGTCTAACCCTCGAACCAGGCCAAGGCTCGTAACTTTCCTGTCACCTCGATTGGCTCTCTTCTTGATGAGCCTTTCACCGGTGTTGTGTACCTCAAGGATAGCGGAATCACCGAGGACTTCCGCTCTCTGAAGGGCAAGAAAATCGGCTACGTTGGAGAGTTCGGAAAGGTATGTACCACTGGCTGTATCAGTGGACGAGCTGTGATTAATGTATGCCAGATTCAAATCGACGAGCTCACCAAGTACTACGGCATGACTGCGGACGACTACACTGCCGTCCGTTGTGGCATGAACGTCACCAAGGCCATCATCCGTGGTGATATTGATGCCGGTATTGGTCTAGAGAATGTGCAGATGGTTGAACTGGCCGAGTGGCTGGCATCCCAGAACCGTCCGCGTGACGACGTTCAGATGCTCCGCATCGACCAGCTCGCCGAGCTCGGCTGCTGCTGCTTCTGCTCCATCCTCTACATTGCCAACGATGCCTTCCTGGCCGCCAACCCCGAGAAGGTTCAGAAGTTCATGCGTGCTGTCAAGCGTGCAACCGATTACGTCCTCGCAGAGCCTGCAGCGGCCTTTGAAGAATACGTTGACATGAAGCCCATTATGGGAACCCCTGTCAACCGTAAGATCTTCGAGCGGTCTTTCGCCTACTTCAGCCGTGATCTGAAGAACGTCAGTCGTGACTGGGCTAAGGTCACCAACTACGGAAAGCGTCTGGGTATCCTTGACGCCGACTTCCAGCCTAACTACACCAACCAGTACCTCTCCTGGACGTTGGATGCGGATTCGACTGACCCTCTGGGCGACCAGAAGCGTATGGCGGAACTGCAGAAGCAGGTTGCTTGCGATGGTGGCTTCAAGCGTCTGCAGGTGGCCTCTAGCGCATAAGCAGCTGTGACAACGTCTTTGAGGTCTGATTGGTAGGCTTATGCGTTATTAGTCGTACGATCCTATGCAGAATAAATGGCTTATCAAGTCTGGAAGTGTTGTCTCTTGAGTTTTACCTTAAATGTCTGTAGCGTAAGCGTAGGGCGTACGTAAGCTGCCTACGTAGACCCGCGTATCCATCAGATATAGCCAAGTAACAGACAAACTAGCCATGCCCCAACCTGCTAGTGCGTAGTGAATGACGCTCTACGTGATAAGATACACATCAAAGCCAAAGTCTAATATATCCTGATTTATTTTCAAGAGGCGTCATCGCCATGGAAGATTCCGGCAGGCCCACCTATGCAGTGTTCGGATACACTAACACATAGATACTAGATAGACTGGTTTCTTAATGCACTTGGCACGAAGATTCACAGATCCTATCAAGGTTAGATCGTCGGTGTGACCGCGTATATCTTTGAGTCGGAAAGGTCGATGCAGAGGGGGTTTCTCCTAATTTATATACAGTGGGTTAGGTAGAACTCTGAGGATAAGGACCAGCAAAGGCAAAGGGTTGTTTATTTCCACCAGCCTAAACATCACTTCCCCTTCCACCCATCGTCATCGTCTTCTCCAGGCAAGCCTCCAGACCTCTCACGTCCCAACAGGGCAAACTCAACATCATCCATCTCTCCGTCACTCAAGTCTTCATCGCCGTTAAACCGATCCAGCAGCTGCCAGCTGCCCCGTTCTCTGTCCTCAGGACTCTGCGCGCCCGCTCTTGACTTGATTCGCCTGTATATAAACCACCCCGCAATAGCAAGGACGAACGCCGATGCAAACCCTCCAAAAAAGAAAACCAGTGAGCGAACAGGCGAATCCCCGTCATCCTCATCATGCCGTCCAACAACTGCCTCATTAGACTCTGGATCCCAGCGGACTAGTTTCGTGGTTCCTAGGATATGACCTGTAGAATTTAGGCCATGGGCACGGATATACGTTGATTCTGTGTCCGCGGGAATGGGGATGGTGGTTTCGAAGCCGGATTTGGGCACCGCGGCTAAGAATGTGTATATCTCTGGGTTGGGTGAGTCCGCGCCCTCGAGAGCCCAGGTTACGACTTCGGTGGCGCCGTTCCAGCTCGCGGCGGCCGTGTAGTTGTAAACAGAGATGTCGGGGGATGTCGTTGGGTGGCCGACCCAGGGGTATTTAAGGACGCGGTAGGACATGATGTTGCCGTCGCCGGAGGCGGCGCCGAAGTGCGTGTTGCAGAGGATGGTGCCGTCAGAGGCATACTCAGTCCATGTTGGGATGTGGCCATAGCCTACGAGAACCTTTGGGTTTTCGTTATTAGAAGTGAGGAGCTGGACTGAGCCCTGCGATTGGCTGCTGATGGGGTCTGGGTTCCAGTATTCATGGCGGACTTTGACGGTCATATTGTCCTGATCGATGTCTAGGTAGAGGCCGCGGCTGGGTAGTTCGGGGGCGCCTGCGCCGCGGGAGGCATTGTCAAAGATGGTGATGGCCGTGCCGTTGTCGCGGAAGCGGGCATGATGTTGCCAGGCGAAGTTTGTGGCTGCGCCGTCCGAAAGGTCTGTGAAGTCGTTGTTTTTGCCGCCGAGGCGCCAGATGATGTCGCCTGTGCGGCCGTCGATGTAGGTGAGGCAGCTGGCGTAGCGGGATGAGATCAGGTAGTTGCCCTTGGCGTCTTTGTCTACGCTGTTGATGTGAAAGAAGTCCCATGGGTGGGCTTCAGAGTCGCCGTTGCCCTCGCGGTCTCGGTACATGTCGGTGAAGTTGAAGTGCTCGGATGCTCGCCATTGGAAGAGAGCTTTCCCCGTCTCAATGTCAAGCTCTTGGAACGTACCGTCCCAGAGCCAGCCTTCTTCGAGACCGCCGACTGCTGCTAGATCTGCGGGGATGACGTCGTAAATGGTGATCAGTGCGGTGTCGTCCTGTGTAATGTGGAATTCGTGAAGATCTCCTGGGAGATGATTGGCCGCGTTGATTTTGTATGCTTCTCTGTAGGAGGAGTCTAACTTTTGGTGGCTTAGAATATTATGACTTGAGATGCATGCAGAGATGGAAATTTCATTGCGCTTGGCATAGGTAGGTAAGGTAGTATATGATAGTAGAAGGGGGATATATGCCCTACCATATAATATGCTCCCTCTCCATGTCCCCCAACGCCATCATTGCCCATCCAAAAAGTTAGATAATCTTGTCCTTTGAATGTATAAACATTTAGATTATACGATTGCCCATAAAGCTTCGTCCAGACAAGATGTCCATCCTGATCAAGGATCATCGGCCCTGGGTTAGCTACTTTATTTCCTCGCGGCGCGATGAACGTGTAAAGCCCATCCTTGCACTCATCGCTATATTGCAGATAATTCAATGCCGGGCCGACGATCGGCGACGATCGATACGTCTCGGTAGGCCATTCTCCAAATTTCCCTTCGTCATAAGCGGCAGACTGGATATAAGGACCATAATCCGCTTGTACACGGGCAATCACAAGCGTTAGAAGAATCAACACCCCGTTTAACATGATCATCATCACGGGGCGGAGACCGACGAAGAAACCCCCGGTGTATATGTATGGGCGAAGAACACAAGCTACCAAAAGTCTGGGGGACGGGCGCCGTTTAAATTTAAACTAACGGTGTCCATCGCCAACGTATGGAGCCAAAAGAAAAAAAAAAGATTCGTCAGCTGAAATCGGCGGATAGATTTTCATCCATATATGCGCTGAATAGTCTAGGTTTCCAGTGGAGCTGCAGCCCTAGGAGTCAGGCATCTCATCGTCGGCTTTTGCGCCGTGAGATCCACACTTAGCGCCCCGTTTTTTTTGTGGTTGACGAACCGCTGGTAATTAGGCTGCCAATCACTGATGCTCTTCATATCTGGTACTCCACTTGTAAAGGGAGAGTTTGAACAACATGAATGCGATGTGCAACCCCTTATTGTTTTCGCTGGGTGATTCTTTGTGCACGAGGCCATTCTGCGAAGTGGAGTGAGTGGGTGTCTTGGCAGGAGAATTCTGAGGTGGAGAACAATTAACTCCCTACTGGGGTTTGTAGGATTTAGCCTCTGGGATAGATTGATGATTGATGCGATTGAACTAGGCTATACGTCAGTAGTGGTTCTTTTCACTTAGCCGGGATCGTTCGTCTTACGTCCAAGCTGGAGTTATGATTGTTAGTGGTTGGATCAGATCCTTGGCATGGTGGATGCAGTAAAAGTCATGGCATAGATGGTGGTCGGAATTGAGCAGGAAGGAATTATATTTGTTATGTTTTTGGGTGATGCTTTGAATGGGTTGAATAAATGCATTTATTGAAGTCAGCAGGGCACGTGCTCTCATGTTTTTTGTTCACGTTCTTCTCCAGGGCTTTTACAACACTCTCATCGAAGACACTTGATATGCTATCCACACCTACAGGGCTGCCAAGACGGCCGTCAAAGTTGCCTGGGTAGAGAAGTACTAATATGGGTCACTGCATCCTTGGCTGCTCAGCTGAGATGCTCGCATAAATGCTGTACCACAGTCGTCACACTCAAGGAGGCTCCCAAAATCATGTACTACGCTTCTTTGGAGTCAGTCATTAATCTATATTTCTTATACTAGGGGGCTGGCTAATCTATGGCGTGGCAAAAAGTGTGTAATTACAAGAAATAGAAGGGGTATCGTTCTTCTAATTCACCTAGAACAAAACCATCAGCCGCGAAAGCGTTTATTTGGAGCGTTTGTAGATCTTGCTGAGGAAGGCATTGAAGACCTCCTTCTTCAGTCCCTCAGACTCATCCACGGCGGCGATCTTCTCCTTCAGCTCGCCGACGATCTTCTCCTCGTACTCCTGGTAGACCTTCTCGAGATCCAGCTCCTTATAGAGGGCCTTGACGTTGGCCTCAAGAGCGTCATCCTTACGGCCATAGGACTCGTCGAGGACCTTGCGCTGCTCGGCATTGCAGCGCTGGAGGGCCTGGTTGACAAGCCAAGAGCACTTGTTGTCCTTGATATCGGTACCAATCTTACCAATGACCTCGGGGTTGCCATAGGCATCGAGGTAGTCATCCTGAACCTGGAAGTATTGGCCTAGAGGGATGAGGATGTCGTGGGCCTGGCGGAGGTTGCTAGGGGTAGCACGCTGGAGGTAGAGCAGGGCCAGGGCAACAGGCAGGTAGAAGCTGTAGTAGGCGGTCTTGTAGGTGACGATGAACATATACTTCTCCATGGAGAAGTTGTTGAGGTCGACCTTGTCCTCGGGGGCGGTGATCAGGTCACAGAGCTGACCCAGCTCAGTCTGCCAAGTAGTCTCATGGAAGAGATCGATGAAGTCGGCGTAGGCGGGGTGCGACCGGAAGTGCTTCTTAAGAATGATATAAATCGAAGATTCGAGCAAGAAGGCATCGTTAATGGCGATCAGACCGACACCTTCCTGACGGTACCAGCATGGCTGACCACGACGGGTGATCGAACTGTCCATAATGTCGTCGCTGACCAGGAAGAAAGCCTGGAGAAGCTCGGTGAGCCATCCTAGAATGCTGAGGTGTTTAAACTGCTCCTCGGTCAGGGGCTGCTCCAGAAGAGCCAGACCGGTGTCGGGACAGGAAAGACCACGGTTCAGCTTTCCACCGGGAACGTTGACATTGAGGGCCTATTGTAAGTAGCCAGAATAGTCAGTACATGTCCTCCGTAGCGAATTGTGCACATAAACCGGGGGGGGGGGCTATACCTTCTCGAACCACAGCTGGGCATTTTCTGGCAAGTTCGACTCCCTCGCATAGGCCAGAATATCTTGGGCCAAGGAGGGGAAGACCTCCTGGAAAGCGGCACGGTCAGTGGCAGGCATTCCGACGTGAAGTGTATCGGATATGTAAATTAATTAATTAATTAATGATTGAGCAAAAGTGAGAGGGGCACACAAGGAAGAGGGAAAAGTCCGGGAGGGAATTGATGTAGCAATCTAATAGACCCCAATCGGTAAAAGCCCCTCTGAACTATTGTTTGTCCTGTTTGCCCTCACCGCCCATTCACCAATCAGCCTTCCCCATACTGTGTACTCGGATTCAACATACTTGTTGATGTTGATGCCTTTCTGATTCTGTTTTTCCCTTGTACCCACCAGGTCACATTCACCATTATTTAGCGCATCCGTTGGCGATTGGAACTGTGGGGATTGATCCGTCAGCCGTCTCAGTCAGAATTAGCAAGAAAGAACGGAACAGCTTTGTTTCGCGCGAAGTTCCCCCCACCATACAAACAAGCGCGCATGGACATGATTGGCGCGAAAGTCTGTTGTTGACTGACCACCATAACTGCCAATCTCTGAAGAAATCGATTTCACAATCGTCGCCATGGCGGCGCAGTTCACCGAAGAAAATGTTCAGGAGCTCAAGTTCCGGCTCGAGGACGCCACCATAAAATGTTCCGAGCGCTGTTTATACCAGTCTGCCAAATGGTACGACGCGCGGGCCTTCACTCCAGTCATTTGAATAGAATTAGATGTTGATCGGATAGAACAGGGCGGCAGAAATGCTTGACGCCATTGTCCCGATTGACCAATATGATACGGACCCCGAATCCCCAATGGATACCCCCGACACACCCTCGACCCGCCCAAATCCCTACCTCCGAACCCAAGATCCAGTCGAAGCTTCCCTTGAAGCCCAGGAGTCCTACAAGTACCTCTTGGCAAAATCCTACTTTGACACGCGCGAGTACGATCGCTGTGCAGCAGTGTTTCTGCCACCTACGATACCCCCCGTTGCACTTTCTACGTCGTCGCCGAACCAAAAGAAGAGACACTCGTTAACCCCACAGAAGGGCAAGTCGAAGCCATCCCAGTATGCAGGAGGGAAGGATGGCAACGTGGCTAGGAACCCATATCCCAGGCTGAGTCAGAAGTCATTATTTCTTGCGCTGTACGCCAAGTACCTAGCGGGGGAGAAGCGGAAAGATGAGGAGACCGAGATGGTGCTGGGACCGGCCGACGGGGGTGCGACAGTTAACCGAGAGTTGCCAGATCTTGCACGAGGGCTAGAAGGATGGCTGACGGAGCGTCGGGAGAAGGGATTGGAAGATCGCAACCAGGGATGGCTAGAATACCTCTACGGAGTCATTCTTCTCAAAGGGCGGAACGAGGAGGAGGCAAAAAAGTGGCTCATAAGGAGTGTTCATCTGAACCCATTCCATTGGGGTGCCTGGCAGGAGTTGAACGATCTTCTCTCGAGCACGGAAGATGTATGTGGCTGTTCCTTTATGCGCATGAATGCGGGTCGGGTGCTAATTGTTAACCAGTTGAAACAAGTCGTCGATCTGCTCCCGCAGAATATTATGACACTTCTCTTCCACGTATACTGTAGTCAAGAACTATATCAAGCCACTGAAGACACGTACCAGGCTCTCTCGGAGCTTGAGACGATCTTCCCGAACAGCGCCTTTCTCATGACCCAGAGAGCCCTCCTCTACTACCATTCGAAAGGTATGCACCGTTTTTTAGCCTTGACGCGAATGCATTGCTAACAGTCTGGTAGACTTCGAAGAGGCATCACGTATATTCACCGAAATATTGATTGCGTCTCCTCACCGTCTTGACAGCCTCGACCATTACTCCAACATACTATACGTGATGGGCGCGCGTCCCCAGCTCGCCTTCGTCGCCCAAGTTGCAACCGCAACAGACAAGTTCCGACCCGAAACCTGCTGCGTTGTAGGAAACTACTACTCACTCAAGTCCGAACACGAAAAAGCCGTGATGTACTTCCGTCGCGCCCTAACACTAGACCGCAATTTCCTCTCAGCCTGGACCTTGATGGGTCACGAGTACATCGAGATGAAGAACACACACGCGGCGATTGAATCTTACCGCCGCGCCGTGGATGTCAACCGCAAAGACTACCGAGCCTGGTACGGTCTCGGCCAGGCATACGAAGTTCTTGACATGTCCTTCTATGCTCTATTTTACTACCAACGTGCCGCCGCACTGCGACCGTACGACCCGAAAATGTGGCAAGCCGTCGGGTCCTGCTACGCCAAAATGGGCCGGGTCCCGCAGAGTATCAAAGCCCTCAAACGTGCCCTCGTAGCAGGCTCCTACTACGCCGAAGACCCATCTCAAATGGGAGGCTCAGGCCGCAAGATCCTCGACCCAGAAACCCTTCACCAAATCGCAACACTCTACGAACGTCTTGGCGACGATGAAGAAGCAGCCGCCTACATGGAACTTACCCTACAACAAGAATCAGGCCAAATGCCCGTGGAAGAGGATGCCTCTTCCGACAACGAAAACGACGATGACCAATCCGAGGCCGGAGCCCAAAAGTCCTCACGCCGAGCCCGTCAATCCTCATCGTATAACCAAAACGACGACGATGACTCTTGGCACGGTACAGGGCCGACAGTCACCACCTCGAAAGCACGATTGTGGCTCGCGCGGTGGGCTTTGCGAAACGGGGACCTCGAACGCGCGGATCAGTTGGCGGGTGAATTGTGCCAGGATGGAGTAGAAGTCGAGGAAGCGAAGGCGTTGATGAGAGATGTGAGGGCTAGAAGGGAAGGCGATGAGTAGTCTGCTTTATTTAGGCTGTTCACTCTGTATTGTTATGTTTTGCCTTGAGCAGGCTTTCATTCTTACGGTAGCGAGGCGTTCGTGCTGGGTGTGCTTACGACCTGATGTTTTCATCCTGAAGCTGGTCTGGGTGTTTTTTATGATGGTTATATAGAGATGTACTATGGGTTATTTGTTGAGAATATGAGTACAGCTTATAAAAGCAACCAATTGATATCCTTGTCATTCCTCTGTACGAATGTCACAAATTAGGCATTACATAAATAACCATCAAGTCTCCCGTCAGTCACCAAGCCAAACCCGAAGGTCCACTATCATCACCCATCCCTCAGAGCCTCAAACCGACTCCAAAACACCCATAACCCTCCTATCAAACTCAACAGAAACTCTAACCCCCTGATCGAGAGCTCCCCTGGGACCCTCATCTATAGGCGTACAAGGTATCGTCTCCTCTCCACCCTTCAAACCCCACGAAACACAAGCATAAAAATACCTCCTCCCGATATCCTCCCATGACATTCGTAGGCAGGATCTGGGATCGGCCACGTCTGTGCCCAGGTCCAGGAGGGACGAATCGAGGAGAAAGATACCCCCAGTTTGTAAGTGGTTGGGGGAATGAGAGAGCGCTTGAAGCCTCTTGTAGAGGGTGGTGGTGAGATCGAGGAGCGTTTGGCCGAGGGGTGTTTGCGTGCAGTTTAGGAGAAGAATAACTAGCGTTGGTGAGGTTCGTGACTGTGTCTTGGGTGATCTTGATAGGAGGGATTTGAGGAAGGTGTTGAGATTCGGGGTGAAGGTTAAGGGGAGTGTGCTGTTGGAGAATTGCCCTTGGGTGGATGGGTTTTTGTGGATGAGGTGGATTGAGACGGTGGTTAATGGAGATTTGGTGGCATTTCCCGGCTTTATCTGCTTTGTGATGGTTTTGGGATCTTGTATAAAGGTATTGGCCATTGTAGATGATATGTCTGAGTGCGCTGTTTTATTGTTGTTATCGGGCTGGTTGGTTGATTTGCTTTGCTTAGACCTCGTAGAGTTGGACATAGAAGACTTGTTCCTTTGTTGGCGGGAGTCTTGGTGCGACGAGAGATTTTCGTTGCTTGTCAGGAAGTTGCCATGGGTACCTGAATCCTCAGATGGGGACATTGATGCCATTGTCTCATCAATGTAGATAGGGATAGTATGTGTGGTTGTTGGGGTTCTTTCGCTGCTTTTTTTCACGGAATTGTGTGAATAGTTCTGTAAGCACGTCTCATCGGTTGGTGTGCTTGTAGACCTGTTTGATATATGCCCTTTTACTGGACTCTGAGTCACCCCTGAAGAGCTTGTCAAGCTCTGGGATCGACTGGCTATATACGCTGACGAGCCATTCCCGAGCTTCAGACGTTTATGCCATTCGGTTTCTTCTCGCGCTAACTCTTCTGAAGGGATTTCCCGGGCATCGTCAGCTAGAAGCTGTAACTCTGAAAACGATGCAGCATCCTCAAACGATCTATCCCAATGGATCTTCACGATCCTCGGGAAACGAAGCGTATAATACCTGGCGCCTGGTGGTTTCTCGAACCCGCTACCTAGCATCTCGACAACAAAAGGAGTTCTGAAAACAGCATCCATGCCGGTAATATTGCCCGCTCCATACTCTATATCGAAACCATGTCCTGAATCAATGCCGCAGGCCGTATACTCCCCAAACTGATTGAGGATCTGCATGTTCTTCACGTTCATGCAATGGCGGTTAATTACACCAACCACCCGAAACTTGGGCTTAGATTTGGACTGCAAAACATCCTCTTTATTGAGGAGACAGCCAATGAAGAAATGTGTCCATAATAACTTATGGATCTGCGTTAAGCCAGCGGTGTCTCGAGAATCATATCTTCCGCCGACGATCGCAAGGTCTACTGTATCGCCTAGACCTGGGATGTAGTCTTTCTTAAGCTTGATCCAGCGGCCCATGGAGCCATTTGCTTGGCTGGGAAAGATGGTGAAGTATGGGTCTTCGCAGCCCTTTAAGACAAACCCTTCCCATCGCTGAGCGATGCCCTTGGCGAAGATATTTTCTAGCTGCGTTTGACTCCCAGGTCGGCAGAAGTCTAGGATTCGTTGTTCAGAGATATCTGCACGGCCTTCAATTACTTGGACTACATCTTTCAGTAGCAATCGTCGCTCTCGGTGTGGTTTCTTCAAGCAAGCGTCTTCGTCAAGGAGTAGGATATCGAAAAACACGATCATCAAATGCTCATAAGGTTGTGGTCTAGCTCAAGTCAGATTACATTGCTCCAAACAGCTTAGTTTTATTTCACTTACGGGGAATCATTCTCTGTCCCAATGAAAGTTCCCGAACGGGCGATAAACTTGCGTAGCTTATGGAAATCCATGATTTTGCCATGTCGATCGCTCCAGACAAGTAGCTCACCTTCGAGAACACACCGACGAGAGAATTGGCATCCCGGCCTTCCTATTCTCAGGGAATCTCTAACAACAGAATGGATCCCCGACCTGTCTGTAGTAGAATCCTTACCGCTCTTCGAGAATATCTGAATAGACCTAGAAGGCTTCGAGAGATCAACGTGTATTTGACAGTATTCACCATCGTACTTCCTCTCTACACTCATACGACGGCGGCCGATCATTTGACAGCAGTGTTTGATACTCCGGGCCTTGTAGTAGTCAGGTCGTCCGATCTTAATACCAATCACCGGACTCAATTGTTGCATTGCAATAATTCCCAAGTCCCTGGCTAGCCCTGGCTCTGGATGTGGTGGAAAGTGACTAATAGGCTCTGACACAAGCATATTCAGCGTCGTCTCAAAAGAGTCCTGAAAAAGCAAAAGATGCGGGAGCAGGAAATGAAAGCTCTTCAGCGTCAAATTCCGCGGCAAAGTTACAGGAGAGTAATTCTTGAGTATCATGCGAGTCAGCCATTTAGCATCTCTACTGCTCAATCGCCGATATAGAGGAGACAGCGCCTCATCGACATCAACCGCTGCCCGTTGTCTACGCACGCGGGGACCGGAGAATTTGCACCGAGACGCAACTCTATTCAAGGCATCATCAATCTCCTCGACGGTTACCTTCTGACCTTCAGGGATGTGGTTCTCGGCCTGTCGCATGACGTTGTCCACACATTGTGCTAGATCTATGCCCCCAGAAACGCGCCATCGCTCGAGTTCTTCCCGCCGCGATGACCCAAGAAGAAGACACCGACCTATTACCCTTGCTAGGGATGTATCCTGTAGCCAGTATACTCTGTCTGTCCGCTTCTCTGGGAATAGACACGAGAGGACGGCCAACTGGTCGGTGTCTTTATCGTGCAGCCGTCTGCCATGTTGCTTGAACCACCGAGTTACCGTTTGAACATCTGGGTCATGGTTTCTTGCTCCTGTAGTAGCTTTCGAAATCTTATTATTCTCAAGAGAGGAAAGTAGGTCACACAAATGGGAAAATTTGAAGCCCATCTATGTATGCCGTTGCAGACGGACGGTTTCAAGCCACAGGCAAACTCTAGGACATAAATACAGCTAGTTTGGACAGCTCGGTCAAGCCAACGGTGTCATTCCTACCAAAGGCAGTGTACATCAAGCACAATGGCACTGGAGACAAGGACACAACTTGAGTGACAGACTTGACGCGAAATCTCAGGGAAACCACACGGGACCGCGTCCATGGATCGCGAAAGCACGTGATAGGCACCAGAAAATCGGTCTTCATATGAGAACATCGTTACAAAACAATGAAAGAATTGTGAGATAGTCTTGTCTTGTTGATGACAGTAAAGTCTTATGTAGAATACATGAGGCGCGTAAGGCCATGCACTGATAAAGCTATTATTCCCAGCCAGACAACCCAATGGTATGAGACCCTACGGAAATGAAGAAAACAACCGTCAAACTCCAGGCTTTTAAACGTAAGATATGTGGATATAGGAGAATATACGTAATGCGCAGAGGGAGCAGCGGCTACAGAATGCCTTGCTTTTGAAGACTGGTAAACGTTAGCACAATTCTTGCCACATCCTAAGAAAGGGGAAACATACTCCAAGTAGATCCTTTCCGGCATCACATTGCCCTCTGCGTCCTCCATCTGCACCACGTTGTCGCGGCTGTCCTTATCCTTCTTGCGGTCATGCTCAAGCTTTTCCCACAATCGAAGGGCGTCGTCGATCCTAGTGATTTCGCGGAAAAGGTTCGTATTCGAGGTGATACCCAAACACTTCAGACCCCAGATATGCAAGCCTTCCGAAAAGTGCTTGTCAAAGGCGCGACGACCCATGTATACGAAGTTACCGCAGATCTCACAGGGGTACTCAACACCCAAGCCGTGCAGCTTGTACAGCCAGTAAGGAATGGGCTTTCCATCCCAAGCAAGCGGCAGCTTAAGCGGGTTGTAGATCCGGTCATCTCCATCATCGTCGGATTGATCGCCTGCACGATCGCCGCCGGCATTTTCAGATTCTGCGAGCAGCGCCTCAAGTTCCATTTGACGTTCTCTCTCTGTCATACCCTGCTTCCGCTCAACGTTGATCCGTGTGGCTTGACGCTCGGCATCCAACACCTTTGCCAACGACCGAACACGATGCTCACGCTCTGCCACAGCGCGTTCCTTCAAACGGGAAGCAACGGCCGAAACGCCATTTGCTGTTGCTGGCTTCTCGCCAGAGTCACCAGAAGCCTTTTTAGCCTCAGCGGCCCGAATGTGTTTCTTGCCTGTCAAGTGGTTCTTGTAGACGTTCTCGTTCTTAAACTCCTTCTCACAAGCAGCGCACCAAATTCCCTCTCCAGATCCTTCAGTCTGCGGACCCTGAGGACCATTCTGAGCTGCTTCATCCGACCACCCAGGAACCTCATTAGCAGCCCATTGCTTCTCAAACTCCTCATCAAAGCTACCAAAAAGCTTATCCGAGTCCTGCAAAGGCCTAATCTTCTTGATAAATCCCTCCAAATATGCCGCAAGTTCCCCAACATACTGGAAGTACTTATCGGACAGCTTATTGGGCCGCTTGATAAGCATCTGAGGGGGCGTGAAAGCGTCAAACACCTCAAGGTACTGAACGTACGTTAACCGTTTAACGCCAGGCAGGTTCAGGTAATCTTCGTGCGCTTTCGTAAGGTCCAAGAACTGTCCGAAGCCCTCTTCACCCGTAAACAAGTTATCGATGTCCATTCCGATCGGCTCGCCCTCATGGCGCTTGTATGCTCGCTCCAAGTTCTCTACGGGCTCATTGGGATAGCGCTTGTGAAAACCTTTGATCTCGTCTAGTTGCTTGTAGAACTCTTCGAATTGGTCGCCGGTTGAGATAGCCTGGATTTCCTTCTCGCGTGCGCCGTCCGCGTCTTTGTAGATGTCTAGTAGTCTCTTCGACTGTTCGTCTATGCGGTCCAGAAACTGGCCGATTTCATGGTCACGGGCCAAGCGATCCCTAATCTATAGTGACAGTTAATCAGCTGAGAAAACAATGTGTAGAAACGGAGAGCAAACGTACGTTACGAGGCTCATCGGCAACGCGATCCGCAATCGCCTGCTCTAGCCTCTCGAGATCCTCGTGGATAAATCTTTGGTCTTCGAGAAGCATGGTGAATATACAGTCCCAACAACGACTGTTCCCGGGCAAAAGATGTGATTCTCCAAGTTTCGTAATGATATCGGCAACTCGTCGCTGTTCATGAGAAGCTTTGCGGCGAGTGGTGATCACGTGATACGGGCGGTGGCGCTCCAGGAAAAGTCGCGGTAGAAGCTTGATCGAGACCTCACATTAACTAGAGGGGCCAGCACTATCGCGCGAATTGATATTCTTCTTTCTTAATCTCTAGTGGAACCAGTGAAATCAAAATGGCGGACGGCATTGACAGACGGGCAGACGGTATGAAACATAGCTACATACCACGAAATACATGTATACTGACAAAGGCGCAAATTCAGACCGGATGGAGTTCAACACCTCCAAGGAGGTGACGGTTGCTCCGACCTTCGAGGACATGCACTTGAAGGAGAGCCTCCTGCGCGGTATCTACGCTTACGGCTACGAGTCTCCATCGGCAGTGCAATCGCGAGCCATCGTGCAGATCTGCAAAGGCCGCGACACGATCGCCCAGGCGCAGTCCGGTACTGGTAAAACCGCTACCTTCTCGATCAGTATCCTGCAGGTTATCGACACCGTTGTGCGCGAGAGTCAAGCGCTCGTGCTATCCCCGACTCGCGAACTTGCCACGCAGATCCAGTCCGTCATCATGGCGCTCGGCGACTACATGAACGTGCAATGCCACGCTTGCATCGGAGGCACGAATATCGGCGAGGACATCCGGAAGCTGGACTACGGACAGCACGTCGTCTCCGGTACGCCTGGTCGTGTCGCGGATATGATCCGTCGGCGCCACCTGCGCACCCGCCACATCAAGATGCTGGTGCTGGATGAAGCCGATGAGCTGCTCAACCGCGGTTTCCGCGAACAGATCTACGACGTCTACCGCTACCTGCCCCCGGCCACACAAGTGGTGGTTGTTTCCGCGACCCTCCCCTACGACGTCCTGGACATGACGACGAAGTTCATGACCGACCCCGTGCGCGTGCTGGTCAAGCGTGACGAGTTGACCCTGGAAGGCATCAAGCAGTACTTCATCGCGGTGGAGAAGGAAGAATGGAAATTCGACACGCTTTGCGATCTCTACGATACACTCACCATCACCCAGGCCGTGATCTTCTGCAATACGCGCCGCAAGGTCGACTGGCTGACGGACAAGATGCGCGAGGCTAACTTCACCGTGTCCAGTATGCACGGCGAGATGCCCCAGAAGGAACGTGACAGTATCATGCAGGACTTCCGCCAGGGTAACTCGCGAGTGCTTATCTCGACCGACGTTTGGGCCCGTGGTATCGACGTCCAACAGGTCTCCCTGGTTATCAACTATGATCTCCCCACCAACCGTGAAAACTACATCCACCGTATTGGTCGTAGCGGTCGTTTCGGAAGGAAGGGTGTCGCCATCAACTTCGTTACCAGCGATGACGTGCGGATCCTCCGTGATATTGAATTGTACTACTCCACACAGATCGATGAGATGCCTATGAACGGTAAGTCCCCGTAATCAAGTTACTACATTGCCAGCAGGCCCAGATCAATCTCTAACAACAAAACCTACAGTCGCCGATCTCCTTTCATAAACGTCATTACCATCCTCATCAATGCCATCAACAAAATCCACTCTCCACCCACGGGCTAATCACTAGTACCACACCCACAAACCAAGTACCAGCCCCGTAAACCGCATAAAAAGAAGAGAAAGAGAGAAAGGAAAAGACCAACACCAGCGTGGAGGAAAAGGGAACATACATAAATTGGTAAGTCTCAAATTCACCTTATATCACATCTATAAATAAGACTCACTAACGAACCCCAGATACACTCCAAATACACCAAAGTATAGGGTTGGGAGAGAATCCAGCCTCCAACATCTTCTTCCCTTCCCCGTGATGTCTGTTTTCATTTTGAAAAAGGAGTTTTAGCTATGCGGGATATTTATCATTCACGATTATTGAATTCGGGAATTTGCTGCTTCCATTTAGGTGATTCTGTTATTCAAATCTATTCAACCGGTCACTTTGTTCTTCTTTATTGGTTTCCTTTGCGAGCATAGCCCGTAGACTACTAGTAGGTCCTGGAGTGAATTGCCAACTTCTCGGCGCTCCGCGAGATGAAAGAGCTTGTGAAAGAATATGTCATCAGGCAGACCAAGCTGACTTTATTTATATATATAAAGCACCTATGCTGCAGACTCTACCAATGGAGAGTGGAATCAGAGTAACATGGTGGTGTGCTGAAACCAACAAATTGTGGAGACAGGAGAGATAAAGAGAAGAAATGAAGAACAACCAAGCAAATCCCACTCACACCAGCCCAATCCCGCATGTTGTCCGAACCCTCCAGATCACCCAAACGAGAAATCAAAAGCGAACCCTAAGAAGCACCGTGTAACCTGTGTATGTGATGAGAAATAAAAAAAGGAAACCATATGTGTGTGCCATCCCAAACACATCAGTGCAAGACAGGGGCAATTAATTATTGTTCAATAAGCGCAAATAGAAATGACGTATCAATCAGTAATGCCAAAACGGGAGCACCAGCTACCTTTATCGAGCGGACCACCAAGGACCAGGAAATGTGTATATGCAGAAAGGGTTCGGGAAAGATTGAAAGGGCAGGAACTAAAGGCATAACAAAGAAAAGCCTGTCTTTTGAGTCCAAAAGCTCCCAGTACATCCCGTGATATGCACAAATAATCAATCTTCAAAAATGGTACCAATAGGCTTCTTCTAGCGGGAGTTCGTTAGAAGCTCGACGTTGATCGTAGAGCACTCGTGCGGGCGAAACCGTTTGCCGATATCGCTCGCTGTGTCCGAGCCGTAGTATGAGGGTTCACGTCACGCTCCCGGGTCCAACTGAACTTGTGAGTTTCGAAGCTGAAAAAGAGAAGACTGATGGAGACTTACATTCTAACCAAGCAATCATCTCCTGCAGAAGCGAACATTCCGGGATTTGTAGGGTTCCAGGAGATTGCGTTTACACACCCAGCAATGTGGCCCTCCAGAGTTTCTACCAGGGTCCCATTTTCTTTATGCCATACATAAACTCGAGAGTCTTTAGAACAGTTAGTGAGGAAACCGGAACAAATATTGACGCAGGACGAGTTTACCTTCGCTTCCACTGACGACGAAATTCTCTGCAGCTCCTCCGAAAGCACTCCGGATGACAAAAGAACCCTGTTTTTGTCCTTGGAAACGCCGGATTACATCGGTCGTGTCAATATCAATGAGTTGTATTTGACCCTCTGACAAGTTCACAAGCATGTGGCGGGAATCTTGGCTGACTGCAACCGATGTCGGCTTGCTTTTCAAAGCCAGACAATACTCCTCCTCGTGGGTGAGGAAGTTATACACATGGATCTTCTCTTCGACATCGGCAGCGATGAGGCGTCGTCCATCAGGCGTGATGACACAATCCTGTACGCGGAAGTCACCCTGCCACATGTGCAGAGCATGACCGCGCATACTCCAATGGCATAGGTGCGAGTCTTTGTCAAGAGAGGCGGTCACAAAAGAGTCCCCGTCTGCCGCCCAGGCTGCAGCTGTAACCGGCTGTCGATGGTGATTAATGGTCAATAAGCATCGCCCAGTCTGTATAACATTTAGTCACAATACGGTCCAGATTGTAAGAAGCGAGACTTACATCCACACTCCACACACGGGCCGTTTTATCCTGAGAGCAAGTGATAAGTTTCGAGTCATCCGGGCTCCAACAAGCATGCACAACACCGTCATCATGTTCCATCAACTTATGCAGCACAGCAAAAGTGCTGGTATCGTAGATAATGACACTGTGGTCGCGGCCTGCCGTGACCAACTTTGTGCCATCATGGGAGAATTGACAGTACCAGACCTCATCCGAATGCTGACTTAATTCAAGCCCCGGTCGAGACGGAAAGTCCGCCTGATCGCACATGTGATCAGAATATAACGATGGCGGACTTGCTGTGTTGTGGTATAAGCATTGGTTGATCTGATTTTGCTTGACATGGTCCAGTAATATTGCGAGACGGTTGTCAGGAATCATGACTGACGGCGATATAGATTCTATGTCTCCTGTTAGTCCCGGCCATAAAATTATTGACGCCATGGATTTCCGCCCACAACGTACTTGATAATTCCGATAACAATCTCTCACGAGAAGAACTAATCGAGCCATCCCAGCCGGCTTGATCATGAAGATGTTCCGGCGGACACATGAGAAGGCTGTCGCCCGTGTTAGTCTAAGAGCTTCGGGGAAACGGGATTTGTGGTCTTAGACCCACTCACCTAGATAGAGCATGGAGACGCGCGATATCATAATTAAGCGGCGTTAACTCATGCCGAAGAACGGTCAGAGCCGCAGAAAGATTACGCGCCTCTAGCAGTTCCAAAAACTTCTGTTGTCGCAAATAGAAGAGCATCTCATTCATTTCCGCATTTTCCACCAACACCAACCTCTCCTTCGTCGGAAGGTGGTCACTGTCGCCGCTCGTCCCCCGCCTCGTCCCATCCGGATAGAACGACTGTACCAAAATTCGCTCCGCCTCCGCCCAACGTCCTGCAAGCACTGCACCTCTGAATGTAGCAACTGCCGGACTCTCCAACTGATAGCCACTCTCCTTGCTCAATAGTGAAGCTGCTCCATTATAGCCAAGCTCGTACAAACTTTGAATGAGAATGCGCGTCACTTCTTCGCGGTCATGTCCGAAATAGGATGGAGGACTGACCGAGGACTTTTGTACTCCATTCGTATGAAGGTCGCCATTAGAGGCAGCGTACGAAGCCTGGCCGTTCAAGGAGTGGGAAAGACCCACCTTGTGAGACGGCGAGGTAACGGAGCCGTTAGACACGTGGGAAGGACCATTTGCACTTGATACCCCATCGGGACGCATATTTGTCAGGCGCCTGCGCTTGGGGGACGGTGAGTGGCCCTCTGCAGTATTTGTGGGTACGATTCTTTGTTCTGAGACACCGGCTTCACTTGCCGTATGATCTCCGGTATGACCTCCTGTTCCCTCGATGTTGGATTCAGATACGCCAGGGGTACTCGGGCGGCGACGACGGCGGCGAGTGGACGACAGATGGAAATTTCCAGTAGCACCGACGGCTGGGTAGGAGCTGTCGACGGAGGGATCTGGGCGGGATGACGACAGGATGCTATCGGAAGCGGCAACGCTTCTCGGGTAGGACGACGTAGGTTCAGTGGGGATAGGAGGGTCAGGGCGGTCGGGAGCGGCGGAGGAGGGTATATAGGCGAAGGGATGGTCTGCCAGATCGAATGCTTGGTAGATCTGCCCTTTCACCTGGCTCTGTAGAAGAACCAGGGGAGCAGACCTATATCAGTGGCGGGTCACTGATACTGCGTCAGGTCAGACCTAGTGTTGGAGCTGGTCACTGGCCGAACGACCGTCAATGCTCGAATTCCGTGAGTTGACCGAGTTAGGATCGGTAGGTAGAAGGTAGATATTGCTTTATTACAGCTTCTGGTGGTGGGTAGAAGGTAAGAATTTCCTAGTATCGACGGGCGGAGGTCTTATCGGACTTGGGGAACACTGGGGGGTGGGTGGGTTGAGGTAAGAACCCGGGCGGAAGGCGCCAAGTCGTGGGGAGACGTCGTGGGGTTTCGATCGTAGAGGAGGAAATGTCTAAAGATACGTGTGAAGTCTCAAAGCATGAAACCGTAAGACCAGGGGGAGAGCAAAGGGTCTGGGAGATGTTGGTGGATCAAGCGACAGAAGTTGGAGAGTCGAGGTTGAAGAACATCGGCGGCTTCTCTTCTTCTAAACTCCGTGGGGCGAGGCAGTCACGACATCCATCGCTTTTGGTTTTTAAATAATTTTAATTCCAATAAATTAGATTAGGTACCGTTTGATGCATTTGTCCACCACACCTCTTCTTTATTTATTCATTTATTTATTTTCCCTCGTGTAATCTCTGTCATTTTTCCCGTTCTTTTTCCAGTTCATAGTTCTTCTACTACTACTGGACCAGGATCCAGCAGGGGACCCTCTGTAGTACTGATGAATTTACACTAACAATATTCCATGACGGTTTCCAGGACAGATAAGCATCTCCGGACGTATATATAGACATAGACAGCTTCGAATGGACTCCCTTTCAAGGGCAAAATATTCCTAGAGGTTTTAGTAGTCACCTTGAAACGCAAAGCCAGTACTCCGTACCTAGTAATGTAACCTCAGTGCGCGAATTAATCGACTTCTATCTCAAAAGGCTAGATAAGGAGACCATCATCTGAACACTGGTCATGAATCCAGCTGACAATACTCCCCTTTTTCCACACACACACCAGAGGAAGAATAAGAAAAAGAAAAAACAAGGTAGGTCAATCATTCACGTCGAAACCAACCTAAAGAGAGACTGATGTGGAAGCAAGGATACTAAAGCCTCGATCGCAGGCTAATGAACGGGTATTCAAGGGGACATTCGAAACGGGCCAACGATCAACGACATACCAACGCATCACCTGCACCAGACCATCTCAGGGATGTTTGAGGTCAGACATGAAAAGGTAAAAATGGGGGGAGACAAATAAATTCCTGTCCAATGAGTGGTTCCGACGCTTCATGTGCTCCTCCTACTATCTGAGGATCATTGCTGAGCACTTCAGGTGATCCACTTGAAGTATGCGAACTATGGATGTGCCGTTGTAATAAACCTACTCCCAACTCCGTATGGATGCCTTTGGTTCTTATTTATTATATGTGGATATGTGTTAAAACCAGTCTGCCCCGCAGGATATCACTCCAACTGCTACCCGATCTCCTCATCTGCAACTGTACCTGTCAAAGAACTCCTGAAACCCACGTCAACGGTGGAGTCAAGCCATCTGGTACCACTGAAGTTGACTCTGGTGGGGACAATCAATGCAGGAGAAAGCCCATTCTCCCGCGGGAGGGGAGTCATAAGAGCGGTCTACAGGAATTTAGTGCTATCTTGAGAGGGTCGTTAGAAAAGGACGTTTCCGGAACGAAGATTATGGTTATCATACAAGTTCGTGTAGTTCTACCAAGACAGTATCTCCGGAATGACCCGATCGTCTCCCCATACTACTTTCGTACGTGGAGTTCTAGACGCGACGTCAGTCTAGTAGGACTAGTAGTACACGTCGTAACCCTATAACCCATGGTTCATACACGACAAATAGGAAACTGAAACATCGGCCGACAACAAAATGACGGAACGAATGTTCGACGGAAAAGAAGCCAATCGTACGAATTGGTCCATGCTGTAAAAGTATGACAAAAAAAAAAACAAAAGGATCATGGTCTCTGACCTCATCATGATGCTTATTTGGGGTTCCCCACATTTGTTGCCGCTGCGGGTTATATAAATCTGGCGAACCACTCATCACCGTGAGGTTACTGAAGATCAACGTCAAGCTATAAATCTGCACGGATCTATTATATTACTACTGCATCTTACTCAGACTATTTGCAACGTTACCTGATACTTCACGATGGCCTGTGATTGTGGAAATACCTGCGGCTGCTCCGGTCCCCAGAGCTGCACTTGTGGCCAGGCCTGCCAGTGCAAGAACTGCGGAGTAAGTATAGCTATCAATGATTGGATTTTATATAACGCTGATTATTTGCAAAGAAGTAAACCCATTCGTCCGTACTGGACTACGTGTGATGAATCCGGTTCAAGCGTATGATATTGAATGAAGGGGATGCAAATGAATTGGAGTACCGTCTAAGCGTCAATTTGGACCTTGTATGGAATACTACTTAATACACATTCTCTTTCAACGGTCTATAAGATTGTTTATATCTCGTATATATACACACATAAATTCTAGACTTTATACACAATCCCAAAGCACCGTATTCATGCGGAGTTCCTCTGCTCCAGTGCCGCTTGAGACGCTTTCAGAGCACCCGTGATGCTGAAGCATACAAATGGCGATAACACGTACATCACCTGCACTCATTAGCGCGAGAACACTCGGGGTGACCCAGATGTTTCATGACTTACACTCAACGATTTGGCAATCGCCATCTTCTCCAGCTCTGAAATCTGAGCCAACTCGGCCAGTCCGGATATGACCAACGCTGGGGGTCCAGCCGGCATGAGCATCAAACTAAACCATAGGATAGGATCAGTCAACACAAGATTGGTCTTCGTAGCCAAGCCATACACAACGGCTATGCTAAGTCTGTATCATTACACGTTCGTTAGCAACATGAAAGTGATGCGAGCCCCATCCCAGAGAAACCTACGCGGGCCATATCACCAACCGAACGAGAAAGATCGTCCCAATCGCCTTCAGAGGCATTCGCCCCGAATCACCGCTAGTTTTCATCTTCTCAAAGCTAACGCCCAGCTTACACCCCACCACAAAGATCTGCAACGTCGTGAACAACTTGCCAATGTTCTTCACACTCGACGTCAGCCAAGCGTTGAAAATCCCGCCGTCCTCGTATTTGTTGAAGAATGCTTGATGCAACTGCGGCACAAGACCCAAAACCACACCGATCACGGTGCATGCGATCGCCACATCGGCGAACGGGGACTCGAACGGGGCCATAAGCCTCTGTCGGATGCGCTTAGGTAGCATAGATGAAATGCGCTGGGTTCCGTGCCGGATGCTGTTTGCAATGTTGCGGCGGGCTTTTTGTGCTCGCTGTGGTAGGAGGGATGTCGCCTCATCGACATGACCGTGGTTAGTGGTGTCATTTTGTGTTTCAGGATTGGTGTCGTCTGCTTCTTGATTCTCTGGATCGGTGGATGACTCGTGGCCGTCCTGAAGTAGCTTGGGACCCACGGCGTAACCGATCGTTTTACTCACTACAGCGCAGAGAAGAAAGTAGCTTTGGGCACGAGAGATGGCTTCGGACTCGGTATCACCGTCTTTAATAATCGGTTTTAGACTCCCCACGCTTTCCAGCGATTGCAACAAGAGAAGCGGCAGCGAGGTCGTGTTGTTGAATGCGCAGGCAGGCGTCACCCAGCGCGGGAGCCTCAAGCCCTTAGAGACGAAATATGCCAGGCCGATCGAGGCACACGTGTAGAGAATGGACCAAACTGGTAATGGAGAGGTTATGATTGAGTTTCAAGATAGGTTTGGGGGAGCAGTACTGAGAACGGGGATGTAGTTCAACGCATTTCCAAGTTGCAGCTGTTCGCCTAGATTGATAATGATCAAAGCTGGGAGAAACAGCTTGACTCCCAGTCCAGCCATATCATTGATCGAGGACTCTTGAATCAATCGAAACCTTTGCGCTGCAATTCCGTAGCTCATGGTCAGCAGGACGGAGACGCAGGCTTGTAAGGCGCCCACCAACGGCACGTCGACATCCCCATCTACCATGATGAGTCCTCGGGTTACAGTTAACGAATCAGTCGAAGTTGAATCCAGGTTTCCATGCCAAAAAGAAAAGAATTATTTTCGAGCTTATTTATTCGTTCCTTTTTCTATGGCGTCATCGTGGCGTAACCCAGCGGAACGGGACTCAATAAGAAGTTGGACCAGATCTGAAGATACGTTCCTGGATATATCAATCAAGTCTTCTATTTCTACGGGCTCACGAGACCTGTTTCCATATTCAGATGTAAAAATCTCTCATGATTGACGGGGCTTATAACTACATACTTACGAATCATTATCATACCATGAAGCGAGAACGGATACAGTAAACACAATAAAGCCCGCTAGACAGAACATTGGCCGGATCATTTCATTCAATAAACTTCTGGGACAAATGCAGCCGGAACAACAATTGGGGCTAGCAGTTTGATCCCAAAAACAGTCCCGCAAAACAGGGCCACTCCAGCAAGGAACGCAGTAAGAAGACCTAGCTGTCCCAGAGTCTCGACACCGTACCATGCTGGTTGGGACACCCTGCGTTTCCCTAAACGTGTCGTGCGACTGTAAAACGGGACATATTTGAATTCGAAGAAACTTTCGCCTCCAAGTCCCTCTTTCTTGTCCATAATGACGCTATAAAAGAGCTTGCGACGTAACTAGATATGGTCAATATGTGGGTGAATGGGGCAGTTTTTTGGGGCGTCTTCAAAAAACAAAGGCTAATCAGGACAAAGCCTACCTCAATGATAGCTTGATCAAGAATCGGAAACACTCGAAGTCCATAGCATGCGATCATGACCATGATACACTGCCCGTACACGAGTGCTCTGTAGTATAAAGCGGGACGCGGAAGGTGAAGGCTATCAGATAGCTCGTCACCGTTGAGTTTTCTCGCCATGGCCTCAAGGTATTCCTTCGATGCATATGTGGGGGCTGTATTTTCGAGACCCAGGATAATATTCTGCGCCAGTATCCTGCCGGTATCGGTCGGGTCTATCTCAGACACAGAGAGCGACTCCATCATCGCTCGTGCCTGTGTCGGTGTCTCGAAGCACTCGGTTGGTGTGCCCATGTAATACGCCACAAGCCTCCAAAGGGCAATATAATCCTCAATTTCCTGGTTCCGTAGAAAGATGCCTTGTCGTGGAAGCCCAAGGAAGACCACACTCGTTGAGAACGTGTGGATAGTCGCAATGCAATCCAGGTCGTTGATAGGGATTCCGTACCTCTTGATGTCGTAGTATTCGGGCCTATGCTTGACAAGGCTCAGAACCCTACGACGGACCGACGCATGTAGCAACCGGACACGAACGGAGGAGACATGACCTTTACCCCCTGGCTTAATCGAGTCCAAAGATAAGGACACTTGAAGAATATGTTGCAGAGTTTCCAGCAGCCTGCGCCGTACAACATCCGCCGAGAAACCTCCTGTCCGGGCCAAGGTCTCAACAACTCGGGGGGAACCCCTATACTAGTATGTCAGTCCTAGCTCACATGTTCCTTTTTTCGGGAGACGAACATGCCGCCGAGGAGGCTTTGAAAGCCGAGCTATCAACTTCATAAGTGGGACTACACGGTACAACCGTTGGACCATGCATCGACTTACTACATTAAGAATCGGTGTTCCATAACGAAAGAACACTTCTTGCCCTCGTTTGATCTGCTCCCAGTCGACCCAATCCGGGACGGTATTAATCTCAGACCACAGTTCGTTGAGTTTTGGATCGTCTTTTGCGTGCTGCTCCAGCAGGGAGTACAGGTCTCTCTTCGGTGTTCGAGCGTCGGAGCTCCTTGTGCTCTCTACACGGGCACCACCTGGGGGTGAGATATCATCCAGGCGATCTAGGCATTCATCTACGAGTTTGTCATAGTTGAGCATGATGGAGTGCAACTGCTCTACTGGAGAGTGAAGGCCGTCGATCCATTCAAAGGTGTAGCCCCAGCATTTGTAAATCTTCGCATTCGTGCTCCTCTGCTGGGCCATGCTGTAGTAATATCCAATAGCGATAGAATGATGCTAAAGTAAGAAAACTTCGCTATCAAACTGGATGACAAAGTCTTGGTTATATATGGGTAAACCAGTCACACCTGCAGCAGTTTGCATTTCGGTCTGTTTATATAAGGCTGTGCCCACTTTATGAAGTGACACCACGAGGGTAGTAGCCATCTGTGAACAATTATCCTTGATTATGATCTCCAATGCAAGCCTCGGATGCTGCACTTCCCCGCACATCCATCCTCCATGGCGGCCCTATCCTATTAGTCGCTCAACCGCCTTCACGTGTCCACGTATAATAAGACGTTGAGCCACAGGATAGCCGATGTTGATCCATGGGCCCTCGATCCGCTTGCCGGCACTTTGTTTGTCTAGCAGAGGCTTCACTGTTCTATGTTGAGCACGAGGCACATGCATGCTGTGTTACAGGTTGACCAGTGCAGATCTGCGGATTGCAATTCATCTCTGCACTAAGTATCGTAGTCCTGTTAGGGCTCGGAAGTTGAAGTTTCCGATTTAGAGCTAGCTCTCAGATCATGATCAAAGTTGTTGGATACTGTCCTTCAGTAAAGTTGTCAGCATAAATTCTACGTTCCGTGCATAGTTCTGGGCGGCCACAAGATTACCCACAGAGAAACTATGACCAACAACTTAACTTCCGTCCGCTTGATTAATCCTCAGGCTCGTGGCCGTGCATATGACCAGTCCGTGAAAGAACAATAGACCCAGTGAGTAGCCTATCCATTTATGGAGCCTAAACACGCGCCTCATCAATTGATTCGACGGAGCTAATGAAATTGGGCGATCGTCAAATAAATCCCACCCTCCTATTAGGCACTTGCATCAAACGCCACAGGACCACCGTATGTTAGGCTTAGGCGTGCGTCGGTTGAAAACACGGCCCTCCTTGCTGGATCTGATAGAGGCCAGTAGCAGTAGTGGTGGTGGAAGTGACCAACCATTGTTGTTATCGTCGTCATCACCGCCCACGGACATCGACCAACTGCCACCGCTCCCCGACTCACCCACTTCCCCGTCTTCCAGCTCCAGCTCCAGCTCCAGTTCCTTCCCGACCCCTACCACCACCCTCAATCCTTCCCCCTCCTCCTCATCTGTCCACCCTCCGGCTATTCGCATTATGGCCCCCTCCGGAAAGGGCCCTCAAGGTGAGGCCCACCATGGCTCCGTCTTCTCCGTCTCCGGTCCCGTCGTCGTGGCCGAGAACATGATCGGCTGTGCCATGTACGAATTGGTATGTTGTCAACCCCGCCATCTACATGGCCCCTCGTCTGTTTTCTTTGCGATGGGCTTTACTTCTCTCATCGAGGTTTGGTTTTCAATTTTGCTCAAATGTCCGGTGAATCCAGTGTCGTGTCGGGAAAGATCAGCTCGTCGGTGAAGTTATCCGTCTCGATGGTGATAAGGCCACCATTCAGGTCTACGAGGAAACTGGTACGCTTTCGCATTCATTTTGCGACCGACTCGGATTGTCAGTCTAACATCGCTTCAACTCCACAGATGGTGTGACGGTCGGCGACCCTGTCGAGAGGACGGGTAAGCCCCTAGCGGTGGAACTGGGACCTGGTTTGATGGAAACGATCTACGACGGTATCCAACGCCCCCTGAAAGCGATCTACCACCAGTCCAAAGGAATTTACATCCCCCGTGGTATTACTGTGAACGCGCTGGATCGCGAGAAGAAATGGGACTTCAAGCCCGGGCAATACAAAGTGGGCGACCACATCACCGGAGGTGACGTCTGGGGTTCCGTGTTCGAGAACAGCTTGATGAACGACCATAAGATCCTTCTCCCCCCCCGCGCTCGGGGTACCATTACCCGTATCGCAGAGGCTGGAAGCTACACCGTCGAGGAGAAGCTTTTGGAAATCGAATTTGACGGCAAGAAGTCCGAGTTCGGTATGATGCAGACCTGGCCCGTCCGTGTACCCCGTCCGGTCAACGAGAAGGTTCCATCCGACGCACCCTTCATCGTCGGCCAGAGAGTGCTGGACTCTCTGTTCCCTAGTGTGCAGGGTGGTACCGTCTGTATTCCTGGTGCTTTCGGATGCGGCAAGACTGTCATTTCCCAGTCTGTGTCCAAGTTCTCCAACAGTGATATCATCGTCTACGTTGGCTGTGGCGAGCGTGGTAACGAGATGGCTGAAGTGTTGATGGACTTCCCCGAGGTATGCGATTCCACGTCACCTACTCCCTGCGTGATTTGTTCGGTGCTAATATGACATTCTCCTTACAGCTTTCGATCGAGATCGATGGTCGCAAAGAGCCTATTATGAAGCGTACATGTCTTATCGCCAATACATCCAACATGCCTGTCGCCGCGCGTGAGGCCTCCATTTACACCGGTATCACTATTGCCGAGTACTTCCGTGACCAGGGTAAGAACGTGGCTATGATGGCTGATTCCAGTTCTCGTTGGGCCGAGGCGCTTCGTGAACTTTCCGGTCGTCTGGGAGAGATGCCTGCAGACCAGGGTTTCCCCGCCTATCTGGGTGCCAAGCTTGCTTCCTTCTACGAACGTGCTGGAAAGAGTGTTGCTTTGGGAAGCCCCGAGAGGATCGGCAGTGTCAGTATTGTCGGTGCCGTCAGCCCTCCTGGTGGTGATTTCTCGGATCCTGTCACCACGAGTACCCTCGGTATCGTCCAGGTGTTCTGGGGTCTCGACAAGAAGCTGGCCCAGCGAAAGCATTTCCCTTCCATCAACACTTCGATGTCCTACAGTAAATACACGACCATCCTGGACAAGTTCTACGAGAAGGACTACCCCGAGTTCCCCCGCCTGCGTGACCAGATTCGTGAGCTGTTGACCAAGTCCGAAGAACTGGACCAGGTCGTGCAGCTGGTTGGTAAGGCTGCCCTGGGTGATTCTGATAAGATCGCTTTGGATGTGGCGGCCATGGTGAAGGATGATTTCCTTCAGCAAAACGGATACAGTGACTACGATCAGTTCTGCCCTCTGTGGAAGACGGAATATATGATGAAAGGCTTTATGGGCTACCATGACGAAGCGCAGAAGGCTATTGCTCAGGGTCAAAACTGGGCCAAGGTTCGTGAAGCCACTTCCGACATCCAGACTGCCCTGCGGAGCATGAAGTTCGAGGTCCCGGAAAACCAACAAGAGGTCTCAGAGAAGGTTCGTAACCGTCTTCCTTGTTCGGCCTACATTAGTGCTAACTCAGCGACTGCAGTACGAGAAAATTCTTCAGACCATGTCCGAGCGATTCGCGTCGGTATCGGATGAGTAAATGGATGTAGCTGGACATAGAGAGGACTAGTTGACAGACGGGCCGTACTGTTCGGTTGCCTGTAGCATAACCAATTCCCATGTTCTGTAGTTCGTGCCGTTTATTTCTATTTAGCTTTTGTGAGAAATTCGTCAGCCACTGAATCAATTGCCTGATCGTTTCCGTAATTGTTGTTCCTTTTCCATCCTCACTTAGGCAGCATTGTTTGGCCGCCTTTGGGTGGCCAAAAAGCACATGACGCGGCCTTCTCATTGGGTATGGTGACCTCTTTTTTTTTGACCTCTGCTTTCTGCGCTGTCATAACCTTGACAGTAAGGACAATCTCAGGTTTAAAACGCCATTCATAGAGCTGCATTTGAACGCCAGACATCTGTCACTGACCAAACGTGGGGTGGTTGGGTATATATTCAACTGGACTTTCGGTTCTTATCGCTGGTTATCGTTGGATTGAATTCTGGACCGCAAGCGAAAGTCAACCACTTGGCCGCTCGACTTCCCGCTCTCTTTCCTCTTCTCACTTCCACCTCCGCAAGTCGGATAATACAGTCTACCTGCTCGAGATATTCATTCTTCCCGGTTCTATCCCCTTTTTTTGTTCCTTTAGATTTTCCTCTTCGTTTGGAGCGACTGTCTCTTGCATTCGCTGCCAGCCATGGCAAGCCCGACCTCGTGCGCAGCCCCTGGCCCCTCGTGCTCTATATCCGATGGCATTGACTGACGGACGGGTGGAAACAGAATAAACGTCAACGATCCCAGCTTGATCTCGCTGGTCAATAAGCTCCAGGATGTCTTCGCGACAGTCGGAGTACGTATCGTCAAGCTCTCAGGAAGCTCTGTTGGTTCAACCCCTCGCCGCGACTGACACCGCCTATTTTGTTTAGGTTCACAATCCCATCGACTTGCCTCAGATTGCCGTCGTCGGTTCACAGTCCAGTGGTAAGAGTTCGGTGCTAGAAAATATTGTCGGACGGGATTTGTAAGTGGTTATTGCTGTACTAGTGGGAGTTCGACGCAGGTGACTGACGGCTTCACCTCATTTCAGCCTCCCCCGTGGGTCCGGAATTGTCACTCGGAGACCCCTCATTCTTCAACTGATCAACAAACCCGCAACTCAATCGAATGGCGTTAAGGAGGAGAAGTTGGATACAACGGATAGCGCCGCCAACCTAGATGAGTACGGAGAGTTCCTGCACATTCCCGGCCAGAAGTTCCACGATTTCAACAAGATTCGCGAGGAGATCGTGCGGGAAACGGAGTCCAAGGTCGGTCGCAATGCCGGTATCTCCCCTGCGCCGATCAACCTCCGCATCTACTCGCCCAACGTCCTGACCCTCACACTGGTCGACTTGCCCGGTTTGACTAAGGTTCCGGTCGGTGACCAGCCCAAGGACATTGAGAAGCAAATCAGGGATATGGTCCTGAAGTACATCAGCAAACCTAACGCGATCATCCTTGCGGTCACCGCGGCCAACCAAGATCTTGCCAATTCCGATGGTTTGAAGCTGGCACGGGAAGTCGACCCGGAGGGTCAGCGTACAATTGGTGTCTTGACCAAGGTTGATCTGATGGACGAGGGAACCGATGTCGTGGATATTCTTGCGGGCAGGATTATCCCGTTGCGCCTGGGTTATGTGCCAGTGGTCAACCGTGGTCAACGTGATATTGAGAACAAGAGACCCATCTCATACGCTCTGGAGCATGAGAAGAACTTCTTCGAGGGCCACAAGGCCTATCGGAACAAGTCTTCGTACTGTGGAACGCCGTATCTGGCGCGGAAGCTGAACTTGGTATGTTCGCCTGGCGATAATCAGGGAAATCCAGGCTGCTAACTGTTAGTAGATCCTTATGATGCACATCAAGCAAACCCTGCCCGATATCAAAGCGCGGATTTCGTCCTCCCTTCAGAAGTACTCCGCCGAACTTTCGCAGTTGGGAGATTCCATGCTCGGCAATAGCGCTAACATCATCCTGAACATCATCACGGAGTTCAGCAATGAGTATCGTACGGTGCTGGAGGGTAACAACCAAGAGCTGTCCAGCATTGAGTTGTCAGGTGGTGCTCGTATCAGCTTCGTGTTCCACGAACTTTACTCCAACGGTATCAAGGCGGTGGATCCTTTCGACCAGGTCAAGGATATTGATATCCGGACGATCCTCTACAACTCTTCGGGTTCATCGCCTGCGCTTTTCGTTGGAACCACTGCCTTCGAACTGATCGTCAAGCAGCAGATCAAGAGGCTCGAGGACCCCAGCACGAAGTGTATCTCCTTGGTGTATGACGAACTGGTCCGCATCTTAGGACAGCTCTTGAACAAGCAGCTGTTCCGCCGGTATCCCATGCTGAAGGAGAAGTTCCACGCCGTAGTCATCAGTTTCTTCAAAAAGTGCATGGAGCCGACCAACAAGCTTGTTCACGACCTCATCAACATGGAGGCGTGCTACATCAACACGGGTCACCCTGATTTCCTAAACGGACACCGCGTACGTATCTTATCTGACTTTGGATACACGCACCAGTTTTTAGATACTGACTGGAGCAGGCCATGACTATTGTGAATGAACGCCAAGCCGGTAGTAAGCCTACCCAGGTTGACCCGAAGACGGGCAAGCCTCTCCCTCCCCGGGCGAACAGCCCGTCGGTCGATCTCGGCAATACGGAAAGCAGCAGCGGCTCTGGCTTCTTCGGCAGCTTCTGGGCTTCGAAGAACAAGAAGAAGATGGCGGCCATGGAGGCCCCACCGCCAACCCTCAAGGCATCGGCCTCCTTGTCCGAGCGTGAGACGACCGAAGTTGAAGTGATCAGTATGTCTAGTGTCTATCGTACACGGAGCAAGTACTAATGATACGCAGAACTTCTCATTACGTCTTACTTTAACATCGTGAAGCGGACCATGATCGACATGGTTCCGAAGGCCATTATGTACATGCTCGTTCAGTAAGTGTCTCCGTGCCCTATCAAAGCTCCCGCTCCGACTAATGTCCTCTAGGTTCACCAAGGACGAGATGCAGCGTGAACTCCTCGAAAACATGTACCGCAACAACGAACTGGACGAGCTCCTGAAGGAAAGTGACTACACCGTGCGGAGGCGCAAGGAGTGCCAACAGATGGTGGAGAGTCTGTCCCGCGCCAGCGAGATTGTCAGCCAAGTCCAGTAAACATCCGAAGGGTGTCCGATGTGTTCGAGAATCCTGGTTTAGATACGATTTGAGTCTTTCGTCGGTCTCGCTTTAGCTGGTTCGCCTTTTGGGAGGGTTTACTTTGTCGTTACTCGCCGCTATGCCCCATGCCCCATGCCTGATGCTATATGTCCTGATACGAGCGTTTTTTCTTCCGGAGCCAATCTCGGATGTCAGGTGGACAAGATTCATCTCACGAATTTGTATTGCCTAATGATTGTTGTTCGTTCTTAGAATACAGAGCAGTTTAGTCTAGTGGGTTGTACAGTACAGTACAGTATAGTATATATATATATATATACAGTTCTATAAAATGAATAGAGCTTTCCCTTCGGTATGTACATATATGACTTTATGAACAACCACAACCATCACCCAGCAAAGATATCGGAAATCTAATCCCTCCTCCCCTGATGCCGATAAGAATAATACCACCCTTCCCTGGCCAAATCCTCCCTCACCCGATAATTCTCCTCAGCATCCCGAACCAACCCCATATCCACATCCACCACACAAACCCCTTCCTCCCACCCAAGAGACCCCACAACACCCACCCCAGGCATTGTCACCCTCGACAATCCCAGAAACCCATCCCCCTCCGTCTCCCCCGCCGCATTCGCAAACACAACCCCACACGTATTCTCAAAACACCTCGCCGTAAGCACCGTCTCGAGAAATAGCTTCTCGCAGTCGGGATTCTTCGCCCGAAGCGCCGGTGAGGCGTCATTTTGAGTCCCTATCGGATTCATCATTAGCCAACCACAGTTCTTCCCACCTCCAAACAACCCTACAACCCACAACCTACAATACCTCCCAAAGAAAGAAAGGACGAGAGAGAGAGAGAAGGAGGGAAAATAGTAGAGGGAACATACAAAACGTAGGAACAATCACCAATTCCGCCCCAGCAGCAATCAACTCCCTGAACGCCTCCGGAAAGGCCAAATCCCAACATATAAGCAACCCGACCTTACCGATGGGTGTATCGAAGACCTCGTGCGGATCGGACGCCGAAGAAGTCAGGTATGGGCGTTCCGGGTGCCAGATGTTCTTCTTCCGGTAGGAGGAGAGAATCTGGCCGTCGTTGGAGATGAAGTAGGCTGTGTTGTAGAGGATGGGGTCTGTTGGTTGGGTACCGGTACCGGTACTGGTGGGGGAGTGGTTTTCGACAATTGTGCCGGGGACGATGCAGATGTTGAGGTCCTTGGCGAGGGATTGGTAGGATTGGAGGTATTTGGTGGTTATTTGGGGATCGGTTTGGGGAAGGTAAAGGGGGTTTGTTGGGGGGAAGGCATTTAGATGATATCTAGATTTTGTTGGGTAGGGTTTTGTTAGTGGTGAGTGGTGAGTGGTGAGCAGCGGAGACCCTAAGGGCTTGTTGGATAAAGGGAGGGAGAGGTGTACTCAGGGAGAACGGCCAGTTGGGCGCCTTGGGAGGCTGCGTCGCGGATGTAGGCGCATGCCTTTTGGTGGTTTTCGTCCATGGCGAGGTCCTTTTGAGGTCAGTTATGGGGGGTTTCTTTCTGGGGATGGTGGGGTAGAGTGGTTATGTACTTTAATGTGCCATTGGATTACGGCTACGCGGTGGATTGGAGCCATTTTGGTGGATTGGTGATTGGAATGAGGATTAGTATCTTGCAATGAGGATTATAGAAAGAATGAGGTGAAGGAGGTGAAGGAGGAAGGGGTGGTTGATATATGTTGGAGTCATGATGGTGTGGAGAGAGAGAGAGAGAGAGAGAGATCTGGACGGGTGGGGTCAGTTGGAGCAGGTTCTCCGAGGAAGTTGGGGTATGTCAACCCTATGTTGACTTCATCTATAATTACCGTATATACAGAATCATCAGAGAGTTGCTCCGTGCTCTGTTTATCCTGTCTTTTCTATATTGTCTTTCTAGACCTAAATTTCGTGTCTACAATGCATCCAGATAAACTGTTGCCCGGTGCCCTAGCCCCATTGTGACAAAGAAGTGGCTTATGGAAAGAAGTATTACATACATACATAATTTGTAGAAGCTTGATTAATAGCTTTGGCCTACGGGGCAACATAGAACCAACGACTGACTATATAAACAAGACCCCCTAAAACTCTAGTAGATTCTCTTCATCGGAATCCCCAACCTTCTCTCTTATCTTGCAGCGCCATCTATCTCAGTCCAGCACAATGTACCGAGCTCTGATGCTCATAGCCCTGTATCTATTAGCCCTAGCCGTTACTGCTCTCAGTCCTCCTCCCAACCAACCAGCCAACCAACGAGCAAATCAACAGGCTCTGACACCAGCACGGCTGGCAACAAAGAATCTGCACAAGAACTGCCGAAGCCTACGCATAGAGAACCCACCTCCGCCACGACAAAACACAAATACCGCAAACAATCAACCAACGTACGCAACGGAACTGACAGCCTCTCCGGAATTAGAATATAATAGCGATGCGTCGACCCTGCGCGGATCCAAGCGACGCGCTAATCTGCCTCGGCCACCCAAGCCACTCTTGGTGGGCAATTGCCGGAAGCGGGACGGCCAGATCCGGGAGACAAAGCTGTCCTTGGACTATTGTCTCGGGTGGCGAGAAGAGAATGGTGGAACTTTGATTGCGGAGAGCAGGTAGTATATATCTCCCTGGGTTATTGAGTGGTGGCGTTGGCTAATATGTCCCTAGTGGCTTCGGGATGCGAACGGGTCAATGTAGGAGCTGTCGCTACCTCAAATATCTCTGGGGTGATTTAGATTTCAAGATCAAATGCTTTTGTGATAATGCTTCGGACAGGACGGAAAGATTGTTCTCGACATGTAAGTCAGACTGTCTCGCATGCTTGGGCTGGTTTCGGTGCTGAAAGACTGTATAGCGGGAGTGATAACGTATGATAACGAATCGGGTCGTATCCGCTGCCATAATAACCCTGGGTCCTGAAGCGTGTGAGTGATCGTGTTCGGTCTGGGTATCATTTCGGATTAGGTTCCAAGAGGCTGGTGGGATTGTGAATTGCTTTGCTCTGGGGTACAGGCTGTTCGTATCTGAGGCCATTGAGGTATCTCGGTTGGTAGTTCATTGTGCTGTAGTCCGCGCTCTTAATCAAGCTGAACCCTGCTTCATGTTATATTAAAGAAGCTAGAGGCTATCCAACATGTGGAAATAGAAACCGGAACAGCACTAGGTCTATCTGACCAGACCGATTGAAAATTGGAAAGACGTTCATTGTCTTTTAAGTTGTATATTGGCGTATTGCAGGTGAAGGGCACATATCTGGTGGATAATGATGTTTCTAGGTATCTAAAGGCCTGTTCATCCTCATGTCAACATTCGCTCATATTTTGTATTTCTTTCTTAGGTGAACTCTTTATCCCGTTGTATTTAGTGGGTAGAGTAGCCAGATTAAGAACCAGACCATATATATGGCGGAGTACTAGTTAATACGCGAGCGCAGCAAAGGCTCTTCATCAAGAGACAGGACGAGAACATCGGTATGGCATCGGTCCGTTCCGTCTGAAGTCAAAAGTAGTTCGATGTCTGAGCAAGTTAAGGATCGGCGAGTTTGACTCTGCGCGACCGCATTTTTCAACGCCGGTTCTGATTGGATTGGATTCTTCTTTTCGTTTCAATGCTTGTGCACCAATGAGAAGATCGTTAAGAGCGCGTGGCTCAAGATATTGGACAGATGCTGCTCTTTCGCTCTTTCTAATAGTTGGCCATAGCGGCCCGGGAGTCATGTTGCCATGGGAAGGGTGGCTTTGGGTAATGGCGGTCCGAGAGCGACGGTGTATACATAGCGCCAACTCCTCCTTCCTCTGTGATATCTGAGGCAGGAATGGACCATGCCCATCGATGGTTTAGAATTGGCTCCGATCTCGCCACCAAACTGCGATTTGGAGGTGATATGTCTGGATCAACAATTCACACTCTGGTGAGTTGTTCGTCGGTTCACACGAGTCTTATTAGAGTTGATTCATATTCTCTATAGAAAGTCGGTATATATGAAAACTCAGGAAATTAGTGCAAGAATGATCTTGTTGACCGTGTTCTCTCTCTAGATGCACAAATATGATTATTCGAGTTCCGCTGTCCTGCAACATACTTTCGGGCATTTATGCACAGACCCTAGTCTGGATTGTGAATTGTTCTTGGGACGAGGAAGTCAGATTGTGAGGAGTCAGAACTCATTTTCAGCTCGCCATTTCACATGAGCCAAGCAGGTGACTTAGTAGATTGTACGAATGGTGGCCTCAGGCTACATATATATAGATATACTTTTCAACTAGTCAAAAATGAAGAAATACTTAATTAACCACATACTAACCAGAATATAAATGCACAAGTCAAATCATGCGGCCCTCTACCCCTATTGTTGAAATTTAATGCCTAGTTATCATACCCATAACCTGGTCGTGGTGATGTTTACTACGAGTTAACTTCGGATGTGAATCCTAGAGAAATGACATCATACTTTGTCAATCCCCTGTTCTTTTCATAGAAGAAATGATTAAAATCTAGAAGAATACCATAGGGTAATCTGTAATACCAAACAGCAAAGCGCACCCTATCAGACGGCCCAACAACCACCCCGATTGACCCACCGACCAAACCTCGGGATCCGCCGCCGAGACTGACGGGCATGTGAGACTGAAGCTATATCCACCGCTCACACATGACCTTTTGTCACCCACATCGCAGACACACAACGTAGTAACCATGGCGCCTTTAACTGCCGCGGAGATTGTAAAGCACTCCGCGTATGACTCGGTGGCATGGAATCTCCCTCCCACCACCTCAGGAACATGTCCGGTGGCGCAAAACAGGCGCGGCGGCCCCTTGAACCTGTACTATGAAATCCACGGCACTGGACCTGCAAAGCTCGTCGTACGTTCACCGCTCGTGTCCATTCTGCCGTCTTCTGCACGCAAGTACTAAATATGAATCACAGTGGATCATGGGGCTGAACGCCTCACACGACGATTGGAAGCGCCAGACCAAGTATTTCGGCCACCAGAATGCCTCCAAATACACATGCTTGGTCTTTGACAACCGCGGTGTCGGCCGCTCCGACAAGCCAGTGAACTACTACTCCACGTCGGAAATGGCACAAGATGTCGTCGATCTACTGAGTCACCTGGGCTGGATCGATCTCTCGGCCCCCGCCACCCGGTCGATCCATGTCATGGGCGCCAGTATGGGTGGCATGATCTCCCAAGAAGTCGGCATGCTCATTCCAGACCGTCTGGCTAGTTTAACGCTCTGCTGTACGGCCCCGCGACTCGTCCGCACCGCTCCGTTCCTGGAGAACCTGCGCGAGCGCGCGAGCATGTTCATCCCCCGACATGTGGACGTCGAGTTGGCGCGCTTGGGACACACGCTCTTCGGCGGGGATTTTCTCGACCAGTCGGATACGGAGTACGAGGATCCGGAGAAGAACTTCCCTACGAGGCGCGAGCGGTTTGCTGCGGGTCAGTTGAAGAAGCGGGAGGATCCCGATAGCTTTACGAAGAAGGGGTTCCTGATGCAGATTGTTGCATGTTACTTCCATCATAAGTCTCCGGAGCAGCTCAAGGCGTTGGGGGATGCTGTGGGACGAGAGCGTATCGCTGTTTTGCATGGGACGGAAGATCGCATGCTTACATTCCGTCATGGCGAGATTTTACACGAAGAGATTGGGAAGGGGATCCTGTGGAAGGTGTATGAGGGTAGTGGCCATGTGTTGATGTGGGAAAATGAAGATGAGGTTAATCAGTTGGTGAAGGAGCTTGTTGACAGGACTTCCTGATCTGGGACGATTACTTAGATGGTTTCATGCATATTGATTTATTTTGTATACCAACTCCGATCTTCCTTCCGTGTGTACAGAAATGCGGTGTCCTGGGAGGATACATGAGCTAAACCGACTAAAAAAAAAGCCAAAGACCTAGACGAAATAAGCAAGCATGCACGTTTACCTAATAGGGCATGGGAGGCTGACAAGCAAGCTGGAATGTGACCAATCATTCAGCCGCAGACATCATTTGTATCGAACACGAGCTCCAATCAATCAGCCTGCAAATGGAACCAGCGCATATATAAGCATCAGCCTTACAACCATGAAGTCCAGAATCTGGTTTTCTCTTTTCACCGCCGCTTTTTCTATTACCAACCCTCACGTAACCACAACATTCCAACATGTCCAGCGAAAATGAGACCCTCTCAGAAGGGCAATATCACCGAGGCGGGGCAGACGACCTGCGCTCCCCATGTCCCATCCTCAACTCCCTCGCAAACCACGGCTACATCGCTCGCGACGGCCGTAACATCACCGGGAGCGACCTAAAGGCAGCGCTAGAACACATCGGGCTCGGCTTCGACACCGCAGGAGGCCTCGTGAAGATCGCCTTCCAAGACCATGTCGACCCACCCGAAGGCAGCCCACGTACGACCGCCAACTTCGGCCTACGCGACGCCGGCCAAGTCAACGAAGACGGGGAGCCCGTGCTCAACCTCGATCAACTCGGCCGTCCACATGCCATCGAGCACGACGTGTCCGTTACGCGACAAGACCGCGCGTCGGGCGACTACATCCATCTCCACCCTGATCTATATCAACAACTTCTCGCCTCTTCGGGGAATGGAACGTCATTCTCCATCTCGGATATTGGGAACCTTCGCAAGAAACGGTTCGAGCAGTCCAAGAAGGATAACCCGGAGCTTGATTTGGATAAGAGGATGCATTACATCGCTTGCGCGGAGGTCGGGGGTATCATGGGTGTATTTGGGAAGGGGCTTTACCATGTTCCGAAGGAGTATATCCAGGCGATCTTTGGTGAGGAGCGTTTGCCGTTTGACGAGGGATGGCGGCCGCGTTGGACGAAGTTGTATCTGCCGGAGGCTGGGGCGGTGACTTTGGCTATTTCGCATTATGCATGGCCGTTTTAGAGGGGTTTGTCCTCCTTGAATGGTGTAACTGGGTGGGTTTTTGACATTGGTGTTGAGTTTTTCATCTTTTGTATGACTAGATACTATGAGACTGTAGTATCTTTTGATCTGGGGTAGTCATCTTTGATTCTTAATCTGTGGCGCGCTGGAGCAACAGTTAGATCGATCGAGAAATTCCTGATCAAAGATGGGCGACATGGTGTATAGATATGGTTACTGCAGGGAATTATTATCGTATACTAAGTATATACTCAAACTAGGACATGCAAGTGGTAAGTTAGAATCTTTTCCTGTCGCATTCTTACGTCATTGAAATGTGATACATACATGGTAACTTCAGTGACAGGTGAAGACTCACAGTATATAACGTAAAACCCGGGAAAGATTTTCCTACGATACCAACGCCTATCAGCGATGCCGTTGGGGACATCTGTTAGTCATGATAGTACTGAAATAGAGAATAACTACTAGTACGTAGCTGTCAGTTGGACAGGGATGAAGAAGTGATGGTGTCAGACCAACGTTCGAGGTCCTTGGCAAGTTCTACCCCAAATACGTTCCATGGAACTAGGGTTCTCTTTTGTCACTCTTCGTTTCAGAGTGTGAAAGGAGCAAACAACAAAATAAATATACACATACGAGATACGAGCGAGAAGTATAAAATACAAGATTCGCAATACGAGGAGTAAGTACTCCGGTTCCTCCGTACTCTAGAGGGATATTTTGCGGAGAGGCCCCTATATAAAGTTCCGGATAACGTGGTAATACTAGAAGCGTTAAGCTAGCCTTGTAGTAAGTATGTATATCACATTCCAAAACAAGATCGGTGGGTCTTCGCCGTAATCTTCTAGAAGATAGAGAAACAGATCAATTCTAGGGGGAGAACAATGGGATATTCTCAGATAGGTAGTACTACTATTGCTATTACCGTATTGTAGTACGACTCCTAGTGAGGTAATAGTATTGACGTGGCTTGCCCACTCGAACAGCCAATGATTGGGAGGGAATTGAATACGACTGTGGCTTGTACTCCGTGCGGACATACGAGAGAACGGGGAATTCAAAACGTGTGTCCTTTCACTGGCTGCCATTGGATGACCGGAATGTTGACATGTCCATAGATAAGGATCAGATCGATAATACGCGATTGATCCCTGTCATGTTAAAAAGTTGAAACGCCAAAAAAGAAAAGAAAAGTAGTAAAGGTAAAGGGAAGAGCCAAACTGAATGGACCCAAACAAAAAACGATGGAGACCTTTTCAACCGCCTTCAGGTTAAGGTTAAGGTGGGCACTGGCTCGGTGAAAGAGCCAATCCGGGTAAGGGATCTACCGATGTGGCGGATGGCAAAGGTGGAGCCACGAGGAGGTACGGCCACAAGAAACGGATGCCGGTTGCGCACTTCCCCCTTCTGCAGCCAGTCTTAGGCAGAGAAATTAAAGTACGTCGTTGTCCGGAAGTTGATTAGCAGAACCAGAACCATTGCGGCGCTTTTGCTCCAGTGAGGGATTAATTCATGTTTGCTTTTTTCTTCACCTCGAACTAACGCTTTCTCTGCAGCTTAGTGTCTGGCCTAATTTTTTTTTTTTTCTTTTCCAGTCAGAAGAAATAAATAATAAAATTCCTAACTTTTTCCATACCCTGTTTTTATTTTATTTTAGTTTATTTTATTTTTGCTTTCAAAGAAGATTCCCTTTTCCCCTTTCCAATTTCTCTTCTTTTTTTAAATCGGAGCCTCTTGTAAGGTTCCCGCGGACACCGTTTACGGAGTGGATTTCTTATCGCATGACCACTTCCATTCAATCATGCCCTTGATGCCAACATACCTTCAGTTAATATGTCGTCTTGCAAGAACTAGACGCTAACACGGGTCGGTTCTGCGGCCTGTTCGCAGTTGCAACACCTTCTTTCCACGAGAATTCGGATCCGTCCATTGTCTTGCTGACATCGTGCGGTCATCCACGACATCAGAGTTGCGCGATAACCTTTTGATCTTCATTCCGACAGATACACACTTCTAGAATCCTTCCCGCGCATCTCCCCCTCCACGCGAGAATTCTCCGACGATTTCGTGACTCCTGGACGGGCGACTGTTCCACCGTGTCTATCACCAAGCGGTGGTACAGCCGTGGTCCGTCAAGATGTTCTCCTCTTTCATTCGCGGGGTATCCTCGCTCAAGTCGCAAGTGCCACTATTACGGAATCTTCGCCTCAACTACATCTTGTTACACTATATCTATATCATTGCGATCACCCTAATCACCTCCATTATCGTGTACCCGGGCAGCGACATCGCTTATATCGATGCGCTCTTCTTCTCAGCAGGGGCTGCCACGCAGAGTGGACTGAATACGGTGGACTTCAACCTGTTGAGAACATATCAGCAGGTGGTGCTCTACTGGGTCTCCATGCTGACAACCCCCATTTTCATCAATACGGTTCTCGTCTTTGTCCGACTTTACTGGTTTGAGAAGCGGTTTCAGCACGTCGTTCGTGATGCTCGAGCTTTGCGCCAAACCCGGTCTCGAATGCGGACCATTAGCGAAGACAAGGATAACCAGAGTCATGACCGGGAAGAGGCCGGCGTCGGGGGTCGCGCCATTGTCGTGTTGCGCAATAACCAGGGAGAGGCCCAGGGCAGTCGGCAACAAGACGCTATCTATAAATCCCCCTCCGAAAGTGACTCGGGGCCAAGTTCGTCAGCGGCCAGAGATGAGAGTGGCCATACCTCCGAGCAAGAATCCGATTCCAATAACAACCTCAGGCGAGGGTTTGGGAGTCTCCGGGTTCCGGCCCAATTGAGCCCCGAACAACACATTGCCTTCTTGGAGAACCAACGGCGGCCCAAAGGGGCGTTGAGAATTCCCAGTCCGAGGGAATATGACCGTGGTGGTGTGCCCGAGGCCCTGGGAGAAGAGGAGGGTGAAGGGGTAGAAGCCGCTCGCCAGAGCAGCAATCAATCTGACGATCCGCCGAGCCCACGCCATGTGGAGGAGGATGACGAGGTAGGACCGATGGAGGGTCCGCATATTACCATCAACGAGCCGGATATGATCCGGACACGGACGAGGAACTCCACCTTCCCCCGGTTAGATACCCGTCCTACCGTGCGCGAAACAAGGGACTTCGGCGATCCGTCGCCTCTTGCCCGCACCACGACCCGGAGACCCACGTTCACCGGCGTGTTTCGGTCCCTGACGCAGGAGAGAGACCGGAACACGCTTCCATATCTAAGCTGGAATGCGACGGTCGGCCGTAATTCCCAGTTCGTCGATTTGACCGAGGAACAACGGGATGAGCTAGGTGGCATCGAATATCGGGCACTCAAAACATTAGCGGTCGTCTTGATCTCGTACTATGTCTTCTTCCACCTGCTGGGCATCATCTGTTTAGTGCCATGGATCATGACAACTCGTTGGGGTGTGGTCGTCACCAATATTGGGCAAGGACGACCTTGGTGGGCTATCTTCACGGCTGCGTCCTCTTTCAATGATGTGGGGTTCTCCATCACCCCTGACTCGATGAGCTCCTTCCAAGAAGCCATCTTTCCCCTGCTTCTGTTGGCCTTCCTCATCATTATCGGCAACACCGGCTTCCCCTGTATGTTGCGATTGATCATCTGGCTATCGTCCAAGCTCGTGCGAAAGGAATCTCCCTTGTGGGAGGAACTGAGGTTCCTCTTAGATCACCCTCGTCGCTGCTTCACTCTTCTCTTTCCCCGCAATGCGACCTGGTGGCTGTTCGCAATCCTGGTGGCGTTGAACGGGATTGACTTGATCTTTTTCATTATTCTGGACTTGAAAGATTCCGCGGTCACCTCCCTATCTACCGGTATCAAAATCCTAGATGGCCTTTACCAGGCCGCGTGCACGCGTACTGCAGGATTCTCGGTCGTCAGCATATCCGAATTGCATCCCGCGGTCCAGGTATCCTACATGATCATGATGTATATCTCCGTGTTTCCCATTGCCATCTCTCTCCGGCGAACCAATGTCTATGAAGAGCAAAGTCTCGGGGTCTACCCTGCAGAGGAAGATGACAATGAAGACAACCAGACCGCGCCGAGTTATATTGGGGCTCACTTGCGGCGACAGCTGAGCTTCGACTTGTGGTACGTGTTCCTGGGCTTGTTCGTCATCACTATTGTAGAAGGAGGGCGCCTGCAGCGCCAGGACGATTACTCGTTTCAAATCTGGTCTGTTCTTTTCGAGGTCGTCTCCGCCTATGGCACTGTCGGTTTGTCCATGGGGTACCCAGGAGTCAATGCATCTTTCGCGAGTCAGTTCCAAACCTTGTCCAAGTTGGTTATTATCGCCATGCAAGTCCGTGGTCGGCATCGTGGTCTCCCCTACTCACTAGACCGTGCCATTTTACTTCCCTCGGAGGCTTTGAACCACCATGAAATTGCGGATGCCGAGCGTCGCATGCGCCGCCGTGCCTCTAGTCTCAGCCAGATGTCTACAGATCACCGGCCGTCCCAGGCACAGGAGAACGGCATGTCTACCGGACATGATCCCCGAGACAGAAACACATCCCCGTGGTTCAGTGGGAGCCCTATCATGCGCCGCCAGTCTACCATGCGTTCCCAAAGATCTCAGCGGTAGGACTTTGGCTAATCCAATAGATCAATTTTCTTGAAAGCTCCCTTTTCTTTTATTGTGGCCCTCACTTCCAATGGTCTTAATCTTATCTGATTGGGTGTAGCATTTGCTTTCGGTGTTCTAGACCTTCTGTTACTGGGATACATTTGTCTTTGAGCGTCGTGTCTGCCTTTTAGCGTATTATTGCTTGAGCGTCTACAATGCTTGCCTTCCTAGGGCTGTATAATGTGGTTTTGTGCGGCAATTTCGGAGGCTAGTGTTCTCTTCCTGTATATGTCCAATTTAAAGATCATGCAGCAGGCTGCGTGACTGATTCTGAACGAACTGTTTCCTGTATTATCAGACCTCCCGCCGAATACAAATATTCAGGCGACCCACTGCACCATGTGGACTACTACCTGCCAGAGGCATTCGAATTCGCCATCCCAGCGGTACGTCAGATGCCTTATTTGACAAGCCTTTAGGGACAACTATTCCACAACAACATGCCAATCAAAATGCACCGCAACTACAACCCCACAACTACAGCGCCTTGATTCAGATCAGGAGTCAGACATAGGCTCTCCCCTGCGGCTTCATAAGATAGATAGAAGTAGACTCTTCACCAGCTCTTTTATTTACCCGATAGACAGACAACAGTGCCCAAAAAAAAACGCACCCTGAAACTAGTCTCATGACCAAAACTCCTCTAAACCCGGATAACCACCCAATTCGACCCATTCCAAGACAGAGACGCCATGCCATATTCCGCTGAATTCTCACAATCGAAAAGACCCGCTTTCACAAGATAACCCCCAATCAGATATTACGTCCACCCAGCAGCACGACCAAGCTTTCCCGGCCCGGGATCCGTCACCGGAAAAAAAATCATGTTGTGGGTACAAGAGACGATCATGACTTTGCCGTCCGGAAGTGCGGATGCGCGAATCTCCGGGTGAAGCTTTTCGGCAGGATGATGGCTGGTATGTGGAGCTGGCTTTGATCGTGGAAGGCTCGTCTTAGAGTATGCTATCAGCTGAGGGGGTAGGTTCCGTAGGTATAGATGTAGTGGAGGGCTGTTTCATGTCTGGCTTAGAATATAGCATCTATAATGTTTTCTACTGGTAGTGTGCCTAGGTACTATCTGCAAGAAGCTATTGTTAATCTGGCCCTCGCCTCAAAACAATATATGATTCTTCCAAACTCTCACGCCATTATTTCACCTCGCCCACGATCATAACTCCTAAATCCACATTGGCCCGCGGCATCGGAAAGAGACCGCCAATGTCTAAGACATTCAACCGATCCTTCAACCTACATCCCTAAACAGGCAAACAGCCCAAGGAACGACACTACCCAGACAAGCATCTTCAGGTATGCTTAGCGTCGATGTCGATCACTACAGTAGTTGAGGAGATATCATATCAGACCACTTGTCCGCTGCCACGGACATAGGCATAACCTCCGAGATAATCTGACTGCTTCTCTAGACCTACTAACACAGTTAATAGACTAGAGAGTGTAATGACACCTAATCAATCCTAAATATACACGTAGACTATGAAGATTGCGGTTTGAAAGTAGTTTAAACTCGGGCCACGACTTCGGTGAATCTTCGGGAGTATAGTTGAATGTCTCTGGATAACCAGCTAAACTATGGTTTTGGATTGATTGCACCGAATTCTCCTTTCTTAGGCAACAGTACCTAAATAGACTACACTATTTTCTGCAGACGTCCATATTCCTACTCAACACGTGGGTGGAGTCCGAAGGATCTCGTCTTCAAAGTCTCTACACATTCCCTCTATCCAGAACAGTCGCCAACCACTTACCGAAAAAGACAATATTGTTCTTCCTAAATTGGGCCCTGCATTACTTTCCCCACCAGGACATCCTTCCTAGTCTATCAGTAGGTAGACTAAATAGATACGTATATTGTATAGTAAACTATCCGGCCACTCCTCCTCACCCAATTAGGAAAACAACTCACCATATAAATTTCCGCTCCCTCTCCCTCTCTGTCTCCCTCTCTCCAAGAAACCCCATCCTCAACAGCACACCGATCTAAACTAATTCAAAATGCGCATCCTCTCTATCGGCCTCCTCCTCCTCGCCAGCGCTTTCACAGCGCAAGCCTGCACATACTGCCAATGCGAATTCGAAGACGGCTCGCACTGCTGCGTCTACTCTGTAAGCTCATTCACCTACCAACGACACTCATTTGTTGAGTAATATAAATGAGTAAGAGTGCAATGTGCTAAGCTATTGTATAGGACGCAACACAGGGCAACCTTGACTGTCCCTCTGTGTGCAAGAATGCCCATCGCGCGGACGGAAAGACCAGTGATGATGGTATGCCCGGAACTGCCTGCAATGCCGGCGGAAAGTATAAGTGTGCTTCTGCTTTTACGGCGTTGGATCGTACGCCTTGTTATAGGCAGTAGAATGCTTTTTCTTGTTTTGACTTTCTGGAAAGGAAGGGGGTTGGGGTGGTACTGGGTTGTTGGGTTTGTATATAGTTTATCGTAGGGTTGGGGATGGGCTTTCTGTCTAGATGGGGAACGAAGCGCTTATTGTGTTCGTCGTTGTGAACTAGTAGAATGTGTATCTCAATGTACAACAGAGTGGCTATGCTTTTTGGTCTAGTGGTGAAGCAGCCAGCTGTTACAGGTATAGATATGAAGGGAAGCATGTTAGAGGTTCGCAATCGGCGAGTAATGCTTATTCGCATGCTACTCCCAGCGATGCAATGAGCATCTAAAACAAAGAGCGAACAGTACACAGGTCCAGACGAGCAAGTTGTAAATTAAAATCAGTATGACTCTGTATAAGAACCCTATGATCCACCGCACTCCGGCTGCTCCACTTGATTGCCATTTTGCCTGCTTGGAAGGACCTTGTTCCTTGGTCTTGGCAGTGCTTATTTCCGCGTGCCTGGCTTTGACCCTGTGCCTAAATCTTAACAGCCATTCTATGGTTTCAGGGGTCGTTATAGAATTTGGGCCTGGCTGTATAAGGTTTGGATTCAATTTACAAGAAGCATAAGTGATAACCTTGTGTTTGTTTGTTTGTTGATGTTGTTTTGTTTATCAACTCAGCAACCATGGCTCTATTGGGTTTAGCGTGTGTACCTCAGTCAGGGACGCATGCAAACAAATGCTTGATCAACATGATGCCTCGCCGTGTAATATGATTCAGTCGATATAAAATGAATCATGGAGGATCTGACGCAATCTACGATGAGGTCTTCGCTGCATTGACACACCACCCGTTTTGGTTTTGCTCCTTTCCCCACCACGAGTCTGATTCATCAATCTCAACTGCATGCAGTCGGGTTTAAGCTGCGTGGATTTCCTGAACCGGAGATGATCGGAGGCATCGTTTCACCTCCTGCATTCTGGATGACGACATCCCAACAGTCTCTCTGGATCAGCACATGATTTCTTATCGTTCTGATTTATCGACACGCTCTGTAGGATCCGACACATTCTTCTAACCACCAGTTTCAACCGCACTCCATCCCTAATCGCCCCATCCCTTGATCCATTGCAATCAGTCAGAAGGACAACTTTTGCAGCATGACAGATAGAGCATACCACACCCCCGCAGATGACTTCTCGCGATACGGAGGAGCTACAGCTCACCTCCCCAAGCTCGAAGTCAACGATCTCCAACATGCGGGGCCCCCTCCGGGCCCAGGCGCTAAAGCCACGCCTCCGCAGGTTGGACCCGCCCAGCCGTGGTACAACCCTCGCGGGTGGTCACTGCGCACGAAGCTGATTGCTGGCATCGTTGGCGTTGCAGTGGTTGTGGCTATCATTGTGGGAGCTGTCGAGGGGACAAAGGCAAATCGCTATCCGGACTATACGCAACTCAATTACCAGCTGGTAGATACGTATTCGGGAACATCGTTTCTCGATCGCTTTGACTATTACCATGGCGAGGACCCTACCGAGGGGTTTGTCCAGTATGCCGCCCATCACCCATTGACATTCATCTAGGGTTTCATACTCATTTGTAACCCTTTCAGATATGTGGATCAAACGGCGGCAAATGCGCTGAATCTCACTTATGCTACGGACACATCGGTCGTACTGAGGGTCGATACCTCGAATCAGAATGCGGTTAATGGTCGACAGTCGGTGCGGCTGGAGTCTAAGACCGGGTACGATAATGGCCTGTTTGTCTTTGATATTCTTCATACGCCCTATGGCTGTGGTACGTGGCCAGCGTTGTGGTTGACGGATACATTCAATTGGCCGACGAACGGAGAAATCGATATCCTGGAGACAACCAACAATGCTCCCGAAGGCAATGCCGTCACATTGCACACGACCAGTGGCTGCAATATGAAAGTCAGGCGCAAGCAGACTGGTGATACGGTGTATACAACCTGCGACAACAGTACCAACGGCAACGCAGGGTGTGGTGTCCAAGGATCGCCAGATAGCTATGGTGAGCCTTTCAACAACAACGGCGGAGGTGTAAGTCCAAGGACCCGCATATCACGACCACACCAGCTAACAATACAACAGGTCTACGCCCTGGAACTGCGGGACGCCGGCATCCGCGCCTGGATGTTCCCACGAGACTCTATCCCAGACGACATCACCAATTCTAGCAGCTCTCCAGACCCATCCACCTGGGGCACTGCGTTAGCCGACTTCCCCAACACCGATTGCGACATCCCGTCGCATTTCCGCAATCAAAGCATTATTGCTAACATCGACCTGTGCGGTACGCTCGGCGCTCAGAAGCAGTTCTACACCGAACAATCGCATTGTCCGGGCACGTGCAACAATTTTGTCGCAACCAACCCATCAGCCTTTACAGAGGCTTACTGGGAATTCAAAAGTTTCAAAGTCTATCAAGCTCGATAGATTACTTTCAACATGGTTTATTTTGCTCAATGAGCACCGTTACCCGTATATGTTGGGCGGGCATAATGTAATGGATATGGATTTATGCGATTATATGGGTGGCTGTCTGGAATCGTCATTTCGCTAATGCATTGCCATTAGCTAATAATATTAATAGTTATTCTCTTTTTATGGTTGTGTACGGTCTAGGTCTGTTGGGTTATCTATAGAGCATTGCTAAGCTAAGATATGTCTACAGGGAAGGCAGATTATCAGTGAAGAGATTTGCTGGAAACAAAAAGGTTAGATCTTTTGAATAGTAAATTAATGATTATGTCACAAAAACGAAGTCACTGTCCTTGGGTAGTCTAATATATGTAAGTATGAAAAAGTGGAAGGTGGGAATAAACACTCATACCATACACCTTGAAATATATATACTAGTCAGCACAAAAAGTAGTATTCACTAGAAGACACCAAACCACTTCCAAAACAACTAGTATACTGAACAAACCAAAACAGCACAATAAAAAACAGTCCCACCCAAGAGAAAAACGAGAATACGTTGTACTTCATAGTTACAAGATCTAGCCAAACCAAAAACCAAATGCAAGGGAAAAAAAAAACACACCCATCCGAAAGGAGGGGAAAAAGTTAAACTGGACTTGAGGGGAATTGAACCCCCGACTTCTCGCATGCGAAGCGAGCACTCTACCACTGAGTTACAAGCCCATTGTAACTTGACTAAGTATACTATATTATGGTCTATGATAGAAGAGTTTTATTTAAAGAGTTTCGAAATACTAGTCTGTAAAAGAGATGAGAAGCATCTTGCAACTTGGGAATAAGTACAATATTTTTCATTTTGCAATGATAATTGGGCCGTGTCACCTATTACGGTGTTTGGAATTAATGGTATAAGGTCCTCCTCTTTTGTTTTCTCCTTCTATTTTTGCTGTGTCGATAGAGGTGTTAGATTCTTGGTGAGGCTGTCGTGTTTCGGGCTTGCGGGGTACCTACTTGGCACTGTCAGAATATAATATAATATATGGTTGATATTATAGCATAGCAGTGACATGGAATGGAAGGGGACAAAGAAGCATGTTTGAATGAAGAGTATTTATTAGAAGGAAGGCAACAAGGAAGAAGGGAAACTATGAAAAAAACCAAAAAGAAATGCTTCCGATGCGGGGAATCGAACCCCGAGCTGCTGTGTGAGAGACAGCGATGTTAGCCATTACACCACATCGGATGATCGTTGAATAGTTACCTATCTTGAAGCTACACAAGCCAGTCGCCCCTCCAGCTACATTCTCATTTATAGTCAAAGAATACTGTAATTAGACGAAGTACAATTCCAGTTCACTCAGCAAGCCGAAGACAACAATTGCTCCCCATCTCCGTTCTATATACCATAGACCTGTCAAGTATATCTAAGTACAATGTAAATTTACAGAGAGACCATCAAGAAGCCCGCCACTACCGCTGAAACAAAGTACGCCACACCGAACCAACCATTCACCCGAACAGCAACAGGGCTCACAACACCAGAAGCTGCGCCGTCAGAAGTCGAGGTGCTGGCTGCACTGCCATCACCGGTAGGGCGAGACGTGACCTTGCCTGTGCCTGCTGACCCGGCCTGGCTGACCAGAGACTTGCAGGTGCCAGACAGATCTTTGGCCGACTGAATTGACGCCGCGCCGTCGAAATCACAGGCAGACTTTCTCTTACCCTGGTCCTTGTAGTACTGGTCCAAGACGAAAGATAATTGGTCCTTGCTCGAGCAGACGCTGTAGGAACCATAGTCACCAGTCGTAGCATTGTGAGAAATACCGTCACAGATACCCTGGCCATATCCGCAGACCTGACCGAAGAGCTCGCCGTAATTTTCTGCCTTGACGGAGTCGCTGACCACACAGGATAAGCTGGACACCATGCAGGAGCAAAGGTCCTTGTTCGGGGATGGGGGAAGGGGGCTCGACTTGGCGAGCCACATGTCGTCGACGGTGGGACAGGCGCGGGGCGAGTTAGTGGGGGAGTAGCTGGCGCTGTTGGTACCGGTAGGTGTAGCAGACTGGATTTGCTTGGAGTAGTAGCCAAAGTCTGCTTCAGTCTTGACAGAATTGCCATCAACAGAAACTAGACCGTAATCGTTTTCGGTTTCGAAGTACATGTAGACGATACCGCCGCTCCAGACATTCTCCATCTGGGGACCGAAGAGCACAGGGACGTCGCTGAACTTGCGGGGTTTCTCGTCGTTACAGCCATACTCAGAGAAGAAGATGGGGATGGAATAGTCCTTGTATTCATCGGTTCGGTTCTCATATCCCGAGGTCTGGAATGTTTTATCACCGCACCACTCATAGATATTATACCCGAAGAAATCGATAGACTCGGACTGGTCGCCGCAGTTGAGATAATCAGAGATCGGCACGCGGATATCCGGGTTGTCGGTAGTCGCATATCCAATACCAAGGGACTCCCGATATCCCTGGTCCTTGATGTAGGCTTTCATATCTCTGGCAGCAGCCTTGACGAAGGCCGCACCGGCAGACTCGTTCGCCCTATTGACGACCTCGTTTCCGGCGAAGAACCCGATGACATTGTCATACTGGTGGAATGCATCAATAACGCTGGTGTAGCGAGTGTGCTGGTCGACTGTCCACTCGGGAGAATCCGTTGTGATCGATTCCTCGGGAGATGCCAGATCGGTGATGACATAGATTCCTGCATCGGCTAGCTTTTGCATACAGTCGTCATGATTCTGGGTCGGGTCGACCGCGTAGGTCCGGATGACGTTCGTCCGCAATTGCTGAAGATAGGGGATGTCACGCTCGCATTTGGATGCGTCTGCCAGAGGATCGACGTAGCTGTTGCTAGATTGACCATTTCCACCCGCTCCGCCACCGGTATAATCCTCTGCAAGTATGAATTAGATCTGCAAATGGTGATGGTATGATGTGATAGGAAACATACCCTGATAAGCCACACCCCGGATATAACTATATTGCGGAGTCAGTTTTTGGATGTCTACTGAAGGAACGGTGATCTCACAATTCAGTGCCGTTGTTGGAATAGAAAAACTTAGAGCCCTGTACAGTGGTATTGTTAATTAATAAAGTACGTTTCTAGAGTGGCATAATTGGGCTTGCCTTGATCTCAATGTGTGGGACACTGGCCAGGGCGGACCCCGATATCAGGGAGACACCCGTAAGCGTGGAAAACTTCATTTCAATGAGCGTTCTGAGTGAGTGTATGCAAACTCGATATGAAGCCTTCGTTATATGAAAATAAATATTAAAGAGGGCAACAAGAGCAGGAACTCTACCGAGACGACAGAAAGTCAGTGGAAATGCCTCACACGACACAAGTTTATTCTACAACGAGGCGAAGGAAGACTTAAAGAACTCGAGCAGCTGGGAAGTGGGCAGAGGTAGGCAACACTAGAATCAAGTGCCCCTGCATTGGAAGATGCCACTTCCAGACTGCATTATCATTGCTCCTCATCCATGTTAGCCGGGCTGCTAATGAGAAAGAATGTGTCTAAGAGTAGTTGTCTCCACCAGTGAGGTCGAGGAGACTACTATCGTCTTGGTCAGTAGAGTATAATTTCCGCTAAGAACTGCATTGATACATAACTAATGTGTACTATGGTATATGAGTCACTGAGTAGTGCTAAGATTAGCCAGCAATCTATTGGATGTAACATGGGGGCGACATGTCAACGATTGAACTGGCGTATTAACGAGGGAGAAGGAACTCACTACTTGGCAAGAAAGCTTAGCCGACGATTGGTGGGTCAATCCGATGGAGCCCTAAGAATGGAACTATTCTCAGGGACCACCCCATGAGTGGTTAATTGTGTTTGCTACTGCACGAGCCAGTTAAGATAGCGGTTACAAGTGTATTACACGACTCATTTTAGTCCTTAATCTGATCGTAGAAGGCACCTCTGTCGTCTCTAGCACCAGTAGTATAGCGTTGCATCTGACGATAGTGTCTAGTGTGATAATGGTCTACTGTCCTCGCTTAGGGAAATACCAATCCGGAGACTAATCTAATCAGGTTCAACGGCCCTAATCGTTACCTAGTCAGGCAACGGGTTGAAACCCGACTGCTCATACTAATTTAGGAGCGAAGCAGGGATTTCGAGGGACCTCCGTGGGCATCCGGTATCAAACTATTCTACACCCAAGCTCAAGCCCCACTTGTTCATTTCCGAGAGCGCCAAAATGGGGCACTACTTGAACCCAATATCAGGTGTTCGGCAAATTTCCGGGAGAGTAACGGCCGTGCGAGGAAACGGTGCTAGATTTAGCCAGTTACCACTGGTGGAATCCTTGGGGAGCGAGCTCGATAATATTGACGGAGTATATTGGTAGTAATTTAAGACATCAAAGCTACTAGATGGTGGGGACATTTCTACAGATGACCTCACACTCATTCCTCGGCACTAGTAGGTAGCTCATTCGGTAGATACAAATCCACCGTCTGACCCGGCCGATTCCTTTTAAAGATGGTCTGCTGACTGGTATTCATTTATTATGGAGCGTGTTTTCACCGATTATTCTGTTAGACTGCCCCGGGATATTGTTATTCTCATATGTGGTCTTCGGTACACTTCTCATTCCTGAGGCAGCCTCCCAATTTCTTCTCACCATGACCTTCAATCTAACCAAAGATCTATAACGGCCTTGCTGAATTGGACTGGGATGCTGAAGATGCCTCGACTTGTCCGTATCTTTGGGCAAAACGGGTGTCTGGCGTAACTGAAGCGCTTGGTGCATCTGAAGCTGCATTACTATGGCCTGAACTCTACGTAAACTGCAGAGCTCTTGTGATTGTTATCTAGGGCGGAGCTCTATGCTCGCTAAAATTTACGCTAAAACATTTGTGGTTCTCTACAACGAGTGCAAGATAGGTTGTATAGATCCAAGATGTCCGAGCACATACACGACATATCTTGTATTTGCAATGGAGTAGGGTATAAATATTATTGGTCATACTATTCATGGAGCATTCACAGAATAAAAAGAAAGAAAAGGAACACGGTCTTATCTAGCTTCAGCACTCATCATAGGAACTGGTTGCGCCGTTCTAGTAACTTGATCTCCAGCCCGAACGATGCGCTGACCAGCCGAGTCCGTCAGCATCGGCATCTTACCATCCGGCAAAGAACGCTTCCAAATCTCCACCTCACACCCGCCACGGAGAACCGCGATTCGCATGGTCGAAAGCAAGTTATGAGCGGCATTAGAATGATTATAAACCCCGCCGTTGAAGATAGCAGTAGCGTCTTTACCAACCGCCGACGAAATGAATGCCTTGCCACCGGGATGTTCCTTGATAAAACTCGTGATATCATGAATGACGCCCCCGATAGTAACAAGGGCTCTGCCGTTCTTGGCTTGGTTAACGAACTCGTCCCAGTCCATTACAGGGAGCTGATCGAGGGGAATGCCCCAGTCGAGAGCAGACCGCTTTTGATCCAGCTTCTTCTGTAGCTGTTGGATGCGACCTTTTTCGATCTCATTTTGGCGGAATTGTTTCAAGTCGTAGGCGAGACCGAGCTGCTTCCAGATCCAGATAGACCATTTTGTGGGATCGTACTGCCACCACTCGATCGCGTTACGGTAGTCCGATGGGAACTCGTGGTGGAAGTTATGGTATCCCTCACCGAGGGTGACGAAGGCGGTTATGACATGGTCTCTTGGGGAATTGCGATCATCGAAGGGCTGTTCGCCGATCCAATGGGCAAGCGAATTGACGCAGAAGGTCGCCTGTTGGATGAAGAAGACGCGAAGGATTCCACCGTAGATGAAGCCCCCAAGCCAATCACCCCAGCCTAGGCCGCAGACTAAAGCCGGGAACACGAGACACATGAACAGAGCTGACTTGATATAGTTGGTATGCTGCCAGACAACGACGGGGTCGGCATCGAGATCAGTGACGTCCGTGCGACCGATGCGTTTCGGGTTCTGCTTCATCACCATCCATCCAATATGCGAATACCAGAATCCTTTTTGAACCGAGTATGGGTCCTTCTCTGTATCGGTGTACCGGTGGTGGGACCGGTGGCCTCGGGACCACCATCGGATCGAGCCTTGTCCTGCACCCGCTCCTGCGGCGGCTAGGTAGATCCTTAATGGGAGGGTTGCTTTGTAGCATCTGTGGGCCCAGCAGCGGTGGTATCCTATACTCAGTCAGAGAATGGATGAGAGCTCGCGGCAAGGGAATCAATCATACCGGCCGTGATGCCAAGACCTGCGTTGAAGTAGTATACAACGGCGAAGATGCCCGTATAGAGCTGGAGAGGTGTCCAGTAGGCTCCAAGGCAGCCTAGGAAGGGGATGAAGAGAATAAAGAAACAGTTCAACCAGTTGACATGCTGGTACCAGTTGCCCCAAGTGATGGGTTGTTCAGTGATATGCAGCCGGTTAGAGTTGTGCTTTTTTCTCATAGGAACGTAGTCCGTCGTGCCATCGTTTAGAGGAGTAGCTGCTGGTGATTTCGCATCGAGTGCCATATTGGGCCTCTGTGGCATTAGAGGTCAAGTGTGAAGACTAGAATATATGATGGTCTAGAATGAGTTGAGGTGAAAAGGACCACGTTTTACACGACGAAAGTGTGTAATCCCACGCCAGCAGTGGGCTCCTATGTATATGAACACGATCTACATTTTCAAGTGGCATGATTCAAGTTTCTTTCAAATGTTCGCTCAACAATTGGATCCAGAGAGAATTACAGTGAGTGAATCTCTACGGATGTTGTCATAGAAGACGTTGGGGCTAAAATGTTGGGAACGGGTGGCATGTTGCCTGACGGCCTGACTCAGCCCTAAGGAGATTCGAAACAGTTGACTAAATAGTACAATACTTTGGTTGAACCCAACCCTAGGTCAATGCCATCACATATGTGAATATCCAAGTGATGCCCAGAATCCTGACCCCCAACCATCCATGTTTACCTCGGCCATCGTCGTCACATGAACTTCTGGCATAGAGACGGGTCGAAATATTTTGGCGTGCCGTAGCGAAACAGAAGGCTGATTCATTGTAAGCTTCACATCTCGAGCAGAAACCAAGACCATATCAAAGGACTGAAACGATACTCCACTAGCCAGGTAGATCAGCTATAACAAAAGCAGCTATGAAGACTGAGAGCTGCTGGGTATAAATCAGGAACTTTAACTAGTTCCCCCTCACGAGACTAACCATAGCACTGCTTCCAGACAATGGATTGCAAAGTCTATAGACTAATTTTAATATATATAGACTTACTTTCACTAGTTGGGGGTGCTTCTAAGAAAACATAGAGACGCATTTGCAAACAGGTGTGTGCATAAAATTGGGAGTAGTGAATTAAAATATATACTATCTCTTATATGTAGACTGTGATAGTGTAGATAAAATGCCGGAAATACAACCCCCCCCCTCTTTTTTTTTTTTTTTTTTTTTTTGTTTTTTATAAAAAAAAGTCATTTGATTAAGTATTAATATAGACAAAAACATTACAACATTAATTATACATTACTTAGCTCGCGGAAAGTCCGCGTCGAAATTACTTCAGAATCGGTATAAATCTGCGGATTTCCACGATTTTCAAATCAGAGCTCCAGTAAACCACTTCACAGAATCTAAACCATGCGTCAGATTCAGTCTGCTTCAACGTTGCCACGGCAAACTTCCCACTGGTGAAGACGGCATTCTGTCTTGACGTCTTTCATTAAGCCTTCAGTCCTGTGATTTTTACTCGCACTCTGCTGATGACACGACTGTAGGGAAAGACGGAGACAACCCCTTGAGCACATCCACGGGGTCTACCCTGTCCAGTTCAAGCTCAGTCAAGTTACGATGAGGAAGTTGGCAGAACAATTCGATGGCTTCTGATAACCGATCCGCCATCCACTCGATGCTAGTCTGATCTAGGACATTTTCAGGACTAGCGATGACCAGATCAAGGGAGTCCTGGCGCTCAATCGAGATCACATCGACCTGACCAGCCGGTGGCCGAGAGCTGGCCCAGGTGATATTCGAATATGAACTCAGGCTGCCTAGTGCCAGCGGCTCATTTGCAGATTGGAGGGGCTGATGATGCACAAGACATCCGAATTTGACATCTTCCGGCCAGTTGGTGCATTGCCGAACAATATCCCGGAGGGCTACCGCATCGTGCGGCACCGTTGCAACTTGCTGGGCTTGAGTGTGGCGTAAGAGATCGGATACCGTCCAATTCGGATCAGTAGTGATGCGAATTGGGAGGAATGTGAGGCAAGGTCCAAAGACCTTGTCAATGTTCGGAAGGTCAGACCCGCGCCCATGGACCACCTGGCCGAGGATTATATCATATTGCGATTGGTATCGTGCAAAGAGCCACGCTAAAGCTGCCTTGATAAGCGTAGCGACCGTTGCGCCAGCCATAGGCACTGGCCGGCGTATCTCTCTCCGGGCAGTAGTAGGCGACATAGTGTCTCCAGGTGGATTGGGTAGCGAAGTAATGCACAGCGGATCCAGAGCTGTGGAGGAAGCTCCTCGGAGGTAGTCGGTCCAAAATGATAAGCTGCGAGGGTGCTCTTTCCCCAGGCGATGATGCACAACATCGGCCAATTCGGTGGCAGCTGGTAGTGGCTCCCCGTTGTAGGCAGATTTAATCGCATTCCAGAGGATGGGGAGGCAAGCGCCGTCGTACTGAGCATGGGAGATCCGCGCAATAAAGGCGCATTTTGTGGACGACGTGCTTGTTAGCACGGAGAAGCTTACCGGAACAGTTCCCAGTGGCGTAGACGGAGCCACTTGTCGCTTCGTTTCTAACTGTAGGTATACTTCTGCGTCTTCAACTTCCACTTCAGTAAACTCTGGCTCAAAATTCCGTAGGATCACCTGGAAGCACTGGTGGTCCACGGTGACAAAGACCGTCCGCAAAATGCTGTACTGGGATACCACTGTGCGGCATGCCTTCCGCAGACGATTGGTGTTAAGAGACGTTGAGAATAGTTCTGCGAAGTTCACAATAGACGAAGAATTTAGGTAGTAAGATTGATTATCTAGTACAGGCAGAATGCTCTGCACATTATCATGGCTGAAAGGAGGCGCGTTGTTGAAGAAGGACCGGAAGATTTCTGCCGAATGAGAGTCCGCAACGAGCGATATAGGCGGGCTCTTTGGTGCAACGGCAACTGGGGCATGTTTCCCATCTACGACACAAGCCCAGCTCCGAATAGTAGGATTTCGAAGGACTTCATGAGGGTTGATATCAAGACCAGCAGCCTGGGCATGGGCGGCAATCTTCATAGCGATAATCGAATCGCCGCCAAGATGGAAGAGGCTGTCATCGGCACCGATCATATGCGGAGCGAGCTTGAGAAGCTGGCTTAAAATCATATGGAACTTCTTCTCAGTGACGGTTTGAAATGATCGCTTGCTTGGTTCTGTGGTGCATGAGGCGGGTTGGCAATCCTTGAGGTGGAGTGCTACTATTGCCTCTCGCAAACGTCGACGATCTGTCTTGCCTGATTTTTGACGTGGGACATAGATCATGGGCAAGAACATATCAGGAACCATGAAGCTGGGGAGGACCTCTCGAAGCCGTTGGGCTGCGATCGCTGCGTCGTCGTCGAATTCCCGGCTTGGGGCGGCTAACACGTCACGCTCTAGCGAGGAATTCGACGTTGATTGTTCAGCGAAGCCTTTCCGGTGGATACAGGCGACTATTCGTGAGTGCACTGAGGACTCACCACCCGAAGCCGGGGCTGAATCCTGCGGGAGCACGATCTGCTCGGTAACTACGTCTGCTGCCCCAGGAAAGCAACGGGCCGTATGATACTCGATATCCTCGAGCTCTACGCGCTGCCCACGCACCTTGATCTGTCGGTCTTTCCGGCCTTCGTAGCGTAAAGTACCATCCGAGGTGTTATATCGGACCAAGTCACCAGTCTTGTACAGACGCCAGCAAGGTACGTCCTTCGGGAAGAGTGATCGTAACCAACTCGGGGGCTCAATGAAGGCGTCGGCAGTCCTCTTGGGGTCATTGATGTAGCCCAAACCGACGGGTGGACCACCGATAACCAACTCTCCAATAGCACCGATGGGAAGTAGTCGATGGTGGTCATTCTGGTCGACCACCCAGAAGTGTACCCCTAGTGCGTAGCCCATGTCCTTCGGATCGCAGCCGGGGACAATACGGGATGTTGCGGTATTCAAGACAGAGCACTCGGTTGGTCCGTAAGCGTTCATCAAGTGACAGGCATTAGCCCATTGTTGAATATGCGAGGTGGACATGGGTTCACCCAGGAGGACAAGTGTTTCTATCCAAGATGCTTTGCTGGCGTCCAGCATTCCCGCAATGGATGGCGTCAAAAATGCGTGGGTAACGGTTATCGGACAGGCACCATCCAGCAGCATGCGACTGCGCTCTGGTTCGGAAATGACGCACACTGTACCTCCCGCGATTAACGTCGTGAGGATTTCCATCACAGACACATCAAATGCGTACGAAGAGAATTGTAACACGCGGGACCCGAGGCCAATGGAGAAGGCTCGCATCTGCGCCTGCGCAGCAGCAAGAAACGATACATGTGGGATCATCACTCCTTTGGGAGATCCAGTAGTTCCTGACGTGAAGAGCACATACGCTGGTTTTTCTGGATCAACCATTGTTGGTAGGTTCACCGTTCTCGCGCAGTGGTCATAGTTCCCATGCCCCACCACAATTGCGTCGTTTGCTAACTTCGGACCCATATGTGCTTGAGCCACTGAAGTAAGAACGAAGCGTGCATCTACGCGCCGGCAAAGCTCCTGAAGCCTGGTGATAGGATGTGTTGGGTCTAATGGCACGAAAGTACCACCGGCCTTCATCACAGCCAGCATCGCCACTGTCGTCCATCGTGACTTTTCAAAACATAGGGGAACGTATGTTGTTGGCGTTACTCCGCGGGCAACCATAAATTCAGCCAATTGTGTACTCTGGCTCTCCAACTCAGCATAGCTGAGAGACCCATCGAATCCACAGACAGCCAGAGCCCTCGGCTGTCGCCAGGCACATTGGGTAATTGCCTGATGTACACATTGGAGTTGTGGCTCGCACAGTGCAGTGTTCCAACGCAGCAATCGCTCATGGTCATTGACACTTAGAAGGTTTAATTCACCAATCTTCGCACAGGGATTCCGGAGGATAACTGAAACAGCCTCAGAAAAGTAGTCTGCTAATTGCGTGGCCATGACGGTTGAGACTCGAGAGGGGCGATATGACATAGATACTCGCACACCTCCATTTTGGTCTATCAAGGCATAGAGCATAATGTCTTGCTGTTGATTTTATCTCGGGTTAGTAAAAGTCCTGACTAACCACCATGTGAGGACACGTGAATGAACTGGTTCTCTGCAGTTCTGTGTTTGTCCTCGAACATCACGGCAACACAACTTGACAAACGATGGAAAACACTACTCACCGAAGTTGGATCAAGTCCACCTACTGGTTCGAACGTGAGGGAGCATTTAGATTGTTCTGATCTGGTATCCGAAAGGGCATACTGGACATTGATGGCCGTGGATGCCAGCTCTTGCACCGTGACACCTGCTGCTCGTGCGATCTCCGATAACGGGAAGGTTTGGAAGGATAGGATGTGGCCATAGCTTTCTTGCAGAGAAAGAGCAGCCTGATCAAGGGTTATATGCGGCGTCAGACGTACTCGACACACTGCCATGTTGGCTATCTGGCCAACCGTGTACTGAATGTTTTGCACTGGGACATGGCGGCCCTCGGTCAGAGCCCCAAAGCAGACATCGTCCGACCCGGAGAAGACGCCTAAGGTTATGGCCCAAGCAAAATAGAGGAGGTTTGATGCAGTCCAGTCTGTCCGTCGACAGAACGTGTTAATATCCGACCCACTGCAGGCAAGAGGGACCTCTAACCGCTCTAGAGGCTTGATAGTCTTGTCACCCGCCGTCAAAGGATACGGAAGGGACATAGGCTGCATTCCCATCAGGTACGAGCTCCAGTACGCGCGCGCAGGTTCTTGTGGCTGCCTATGGACGAAATGAAGATAATCGCGATACGCATCCTGCGCACCGTCGGAGAGGACTTGTTCATCATAAAGGGACATTAGGTCCTGCATTAGCAACGAGACGGACGTGGCATCGATAATGGCATGGTTAATATCCAGCCGGCAGAAGATGGATCCATCTGCCGAGTGGCAAATGGTAAATTGGTGTGGGATATCACTATCTCGTCGGACACCCTCCTGAGTAAGGCAGACAGGCAAGCCCTTGCTGTCGATTGGCGACTCAGAAAGAATGTAAACAGGTGCATCGATGTGACGGAACAGCCGAAGCCTGAAACCATCACCATCTACCCGGGTATCATTTTCGAATACGACTCTCAGGGCGTAATGTCGGTCTACGACCTGTTGCCATACTCTTGCCACACGAGCAACATCGACTGGTGTAGCGGAGTTCCCCCTGACCTTCCAAATGAAATGGGGAGCATAACTGAGAGGGTCTTGCATTTGGGTCAGCAATATTCCCCGTTGCACAGGCGTACAAGGTAAGAGTTCCTCGGCCTTGTCATCCGAAGATGTTTCGACACCGGCACCGACATCTTCCTCTTGGCGGCCCTGTTCGGCCCCCTGGTGCCCAATCGCTTGAGGTACATGTATGAGGTTGGCGAATTTCTCCACGATACGCCGGATGGACTTCCACCGGAAGAGGTCCGCCACGGCGTGTTCAATACCTGCTGCACGGGCTTGGCTCGTGGCCTGCATAGCAGATATGGAATCCCCGCCTAATCGGAAGAAGCTGTCTTCTGCTCCGATATTCTCGGGCGCAATCCCAAGAGCTCGCGCCCAGATTGACTGCAGAAGCCGTTCCGTGTCAGATGACATTGCCTTCTGCTTTCCTGAAGCGGTGCTGGTACTCCCCAACGCCAGCTGCTGACGTGTCATCGATGAAGCTGCCTGTCTTAGTCCCCGGCGGTCGACTTTGCCGCCGACAGTACGAGGCATTTGCCGTAAGGCAACGAAGATACTGGGTATCATATAGTCTGGGAGACTTTCTGTCAGTCTGGCTTCGGTCATCTTGGCGTGGTCAGGAAAGTTGGGGATTGAAACGACGTCAAGTGGCTGTTCACCGAACTCGGGAGGCTTTTCGGTGGCCTGCCCTTTCCCTCCAACGGAGAGGAAAGCAACCAAACAGGGGACTGCCCGGACATCAATGGGGGTTACAATTTCAGCAACAACGTCAGTCAGTATCCCTGGAAATGATCGCTGAATCTGCTCCTCAACCCCTTGAAGTTCCAAGCGCTGGCCTCGTAGCTTTGCCTGTGTGTCCTTCCGTCCATGGTACACCAGCGAGCCGTCATCCTCGTAGCAGACCAGATCACCAGTGCGGTACACCTTAGATCGACTCACATCGTTCTCTAAACCCAAACCATCTAACCATTCTGGTCCCCTGAAGAACGCGGCAGCTGTTTGATCTGGGTCGTTCAGGTATCCCCGGCCAAGTAGAGGGCCCTGCAAAACTAGCTCGCCCACAGCACCGATGGGGGCCAGTTGATAAGGGTTTCGGGGGTCAGTGATCCATCCAATGCTAGCAACGGGATGTCCGATACTGGCTGGCGTGGTCTCAAGGGTGCAGTTGGATTGCATGCTTGACAAGATGGTGCATTCGGCGGGTCCGTAGAGATTCATTAGGTGCAGCTTCCCAATCCACTTGACGAGGTCATCGCGCCGAGCGGCCTCTCCGACTAGCATTAAGGTATGCACAGAGCCCAGGGAATTCTGCGGCAATACACGAGCTAGTGACGGCGTTAACAACGCATGTGAGGGTCGAAGATCTTGTATTGCTTCGGCGAATCGCTCTTTGCGGCCTGCGTCTGATGGAACACAGACACAAGCACCTGCGATGAGTGTGCTCAGCGTTTCCAGGATACTGACGTCAAATGCATATGACCCAAAATGCAAAATTCGGGCATCAGGCCTGATTCTTGTCCGCCGCGCGTACTCTTGACTCATTGTGACAAATGGTCCATGATTGATAATGATGCCTTTCGGCTTGCCAGTTGAACCAGATGTAAAGACACAATACAGGGCGTCATTCGGACTCGGAGACCACGCATGACTATCAGTTGTGATGTTCGGTGAACCGTCTCCGAGTCTCTCATCAACCACTATGGTATCCGAGACCAGTGCTTGTGCCGCCTTCGCGTTTTGTGCTCTGGTCAATATGACTGGGGCGTCTATGTCATTGCAAATAAGCCGGAGGCGGGCGAAAGTGTATGACGGTTCTAGTAAGACAAAGGCTGCTCCTGCTTTGATGATGCCTAGCATGGCCACCATCACCCAACGGGACCGGTCCATAAGTACGGGAACTATGCTCTTCGGATGGACATTACGACGTTGCAAAAGGCTGGCGACCTTATTGGACCATCTGTCAAGATCAATATACGTGAAGCTGCCATCCCAGCTACAAACTGCTGGAGCAAGTGGCTGCCGGGAGCACTGCGTTTGTATGGCCCCAGGCACTGTTTCACACACCATGTCTGGGATTGCACCATTCCAGTTCTTTAATTGCTGCATACTGAACGGATTAAGCTCTCCAAGGATGTCGCGTACTGGTGACTGCGGTCGTTGGTGAACATTTTGCAGGATATGACTGAACTGGTTAATGATATGTCGCATCTTCCAACGGGAGACAACCTGATCATCGAACGTAGCTGTAACTGTGATAGAATCGGCCTTCAATACACAGTTGAGCACTATAGCATATGTTGCAAACGCCCCGTCCCTGGCTTTGACACCCATAGAGTCAAACAGGCTCTTATAAGCCGGGCTGTCAACAAGATCCTCCGCTGGCTCAACATTCAGCAACGTTTGGAAGGAACAGGCACGCATTGCTTCTGGCCCCAACTTCGCGATCTGCTGCAAGCCAACATGTTCAAAGGAGGCGAAGTTAGCAACTCGTGCTTGGAGATTCTTCAGAGCCTTGCCAAGCTTCTCGTTTGTGTTGATGCTAACTCGCAGGGGGAATGCACATAATGTGGGGCCGCTTATCGTTTCGACACCCGGAACAGGAGCTGTTCGTCCTGAGGAGACAACACCATAAACAATCTCTGACTTGCTCTGGTACTGTGCTTGGAGTAATGCCCACGCGAGCCGAACAGCAGCGGTGCGTGTGACGCTAGTCTCTTTGATTACCCCAGTTGGTATGGAATGCTCAACCTGGCTTAATGCCTTGGCTCGATACGATATTGAGGGAACCATGGGGAATGGCTCAGTATCCAAACCGTTGAATTCGGCCCGCCAGTGGGCCAGTGAACGCTCGACTTGCGAGCAGGTGTATTCAATGAAGTGTTGAAAAGGAACCGGGTTACTTGGGAGGTACTCATCGGAAACATAGGCCATGTGGGCGCAGTGGAGGAATTGTGGCAGTGACCACGCATCGTACACTGCATGATGCATTGTGAGAGTCATCTTGCAAGTAGCCCCTCTAGTGACCCTTACATGGAACAATGGAATGCCGAATATTCCATGGTCACGATTGCCTATGGGATCTAGCCCTCCCAGGGCAAAGTCTTCTGTTTCCAAGATCTGCGATTCGACCCATCCTAATTCCTGGTTACGGACAATAACTTGCCAGCAAGCAAGATCCGTTGTCTGAATGAGACGAGTGCGAAGAATAGGATGATGGGTGGCCACCTTCTCCCACGCATAGCGTAAACGTACGAAGTTGATATCTGCTGGAATACTGTACTCGTGATGGGCAACATATGCTCCCGCTCGTTCCGCTGTCATGGCTGCCATCCCGGCCTGTATCGCCGTGCAAGGGTAGATGTCTTCTATATCTGCCTGATCAACGCTGCATTGTATCATAGCCTGGTTCTGTATTTCTGCTTTGCGGCCGTATGGAATGAGCGAAAACGGGGTAACATGTGGCCTGGTTGGTTCGTATCCATGTGGTCCCTGGCCATGGCGAGTGAGAGACCTAGCTAGCTCGCGAAGCTGAGAATGCGCAAATACATCGGCCACAGCAACATGAAGACTCCGTGTGCGAGCTGCCGAAACTAACCTCATCGCCGTAATGGAATCACCTCCCAGGGAGAAGAAGTCATCCTCGGGTCCAATAGCTCCCACGCGGCAGTGCAACAGTTGGGACCACAGCTCCCGTAGTGCTTGCTCCTCTGGACTAAAGTCCGTTGCTTTCCAATCCTTCACAACGTTGTTGCATTTATGTCGTTGCTTCTGCATCAAATTTATGCCTTGTTGCCGTATGCGGGATCTGTCTACCTTTCCACTAGGTAGTCGCGGCACCTCTTGAAGGCGGAATAAAAATGACGGACGCATGAAGGGAGGTACAGCTCTTTGCAAATGGCTCTCCGCGATCGACACGGCAGACACAAACGCATCTTGATCTTGAGTGGGCTGCGAGACTGCTGCAATCAAGTACGCTTGATCCGAATCATTACTCGCCACGACGTCGGCGAAGACATCCGGCGTCCCAGGAAAACAATGTCGCACATGATATTCTACTTCCGCCAGCTCAATTCGCTGTCCACGTAGCTTTATTTGACGATCCTTGCGTCCCATATACATCAATGTTCCATCAATGAGCATTCTGACAAGGTCACCGGTCTTGTAAAGGGGTCTATCCGGTGAGCAGGATACGTGGTTCAGCCAGGGCATGTCATAAACGAAGGTGGCAGCCGTAAGCTCCGGCCGACCTAGGTACCCCTGGCCTACAATGGGCCCCTCGAGGAGCAGTTCCCCTACGGCGCCGACAGGGACCAATCGGTCTGAATCATTTCGGTCGGTTACCCAAGCTCGTGCACCGGTGGGGCGGCCTATATTGGTTGGTTCATTCATCAATGCCGCTGTAGAATCCTGTACAGTCGCAATAACGGAACACTCAGAAGGTCCGTAGGCGCTCATCAACCTCACATATGGGGACCATTTTTGCACGTCAGCAGACGACAGACTTTCTCCACCTAGAACAAGAGTCTTCAGAGCTGCTGCCTTCCCGGGGTCAAGGGTTCGTGCTACGGAGGGGGTGAGCAATGCCCAGTCGACCTGGGCCTCCTGTATGAAGTCAAGAAGTCTCTCTTGCCGGTCTTTGTCACAAGGTATACAGATGCAACCGCCCACCATAAGCGTGGTAAGTATCTCCATGACCGATGCATCGAAGGCAAATGATGCGAACTGAAGCACCCGAGAGCCCTCAGCCAGACCGAGTGCTTTACTGTGTGCTCTTGCACCTGTGATATACGATTCGTGGCCCACCACACTGGCTTTCGGCTTCCCTGAGGAGCCAGAGGTAAAGACTGCATACGCCGCGGTAGCTGGGCACACACGCGCCACGGCTGGGGGTATACGATGCATTCTTGCGTTGACCTCGCTGCCAAGCTGTTCAAGCACAATCACAGTATCCGAAATTGTCCTTGCTAGGGATGCGAGCCTTGCGCAAGTGAGAATGAGTTGACTGTGGATGTCATTCTTCAGTATCTCTCGCAGCCGCTCCATGGGGTGACACGGATCCAATAACACGAATGCACCACCGGCCTTCAGGACTGCCAGTACCCCGACAATTACCCATCGGGACTTATCTGCATATATCGGCACAAAGATATCAGGACCGACTCCACGCTCGGAGAGGCGCTCCGCTAGTATGGTTGAAAATCGGTCTAACTCCGCATAGGTCAAGGATCCATCAGACGCAGTCACTGCAGGCGACGCAGGGTTTTTGACGGCGAAATGTGTTATTTCATCGTGAATGCAGCCTCGCATACTAATCGGGGCTTGCTTGTTCCAATCCATGACGCAATCCCAATTCAACTGACTGACCAGGCCAAGCTGACCCAGCTGATTCGACACTCCAGATACAAGCTGCCAGACGATATGCTGGAAAGTGCCAGAGATCAGCTCGGCTTGCAATTCTGTAAACATATACGACCAATAGCTCAACTCTGCCTCTATAGTCTTCTCTCGCTCCATGATATTGAGGGTCAACTCGTACTGCCTCCAATGTCAGTATGTGTTTGGCTCGGATGCATCTGTGACAACATATATATTTTCAAGAATGAAGAAATATGAGCTACAGCTATAGGTGCGCAAGAAGCACTACTTAGGTCGACTTACCTCCGTTGCATCGCAGCCATCCTGGTTTTTGACCACCGTACTAGGCGATAATGGCGTTGTTCTATCGTTTGCCTTCTGCAGCGATAGTGCTGTGTTGAAAAGTGGTCGACCTGTCAGGCCAAGAGAGTGCATAATATCGGGTAGTGGACTATGTCTGTTATCCAGGCCACGACCATACGCGGCCTGACTATTTGCAAGTGTTGAGGTGATCGATTCTAGGGGATCAAAAGAAAGCTTGCACACAAGAAGATTGATAATAGGGCCTGCAATCTCCTGGACATTAGGGATAGGAATATCTCGGGCCGACACCAAGAACCCAAAGCACACACTGTCGGACCCTGTATATGCTTGTAGCAAAAGACCCCAGGCCACCTGAAAAAGATTCGGAATAGTGGTAGTATGGCGTTGACAGAAGTCTCGTAAACACTGAGCAGTGTCCAATGTAAAACGCAAGGAGCGGAGTGCTTTCTGATCAGACAGAGGACTCAGCCGAGGAAAGAGACATGGTTGAACTCCATCTAGATACCGTTGCCAATATGCCTTTGATTCTACCTCGGACTGGCCATTGATATAACTGATATAATCACTGTATGGGGGAGTAACAGGCCCAGGCCCTAGGTCGTCATATGCCCGTTGAAGCTCCGTGAGAAGGATTTGTTGTGTACAACCGTCGATTAGCATGTGGTTAATAACTAACTCACAGCGGACACTATTATCTAACATTGAGTGGACTTTAAGTCGGTGAGCAGGTGTCACTCTGTTACCAGATTTGCCGCAGTGATCAACAAGCAAAGGGGTCATTTCGTCCTCAGGTGCCCATGTTTGAACTTCGCCGTCCTCCATATCTGCCTTTGCTGTCCTGAGGACTACTTGTAAAGGCTCACATCCTTGACTTGGATCCGCAAAGAATACGGTCCGAAGGATTGGCTGGAGGTTGACCACTTTTTGCCAGGCTAGCTTGACCTGAGAAATACTCACGGACGTGCCGTGGTCTGTGGATGGGTACAATGACCATTGCAGTCGTGACCAATATTTTTGGGGATCTCTGGTTTGACTTAACCACATGCCAATCTGAGCTGGTGAGCATGGGTAAATATCTTCAATCTCTGAAAGACGGACCCGACGACCGATGTCAACCATCAATTTCTCGAATTGCTCACGGTTGCCAAGCGACAAGAGTGGAAAGTCGGAAGGAGCAAGTTGTCGATGCCCTCTGAGCGCTTTTGGCAGGTTCTCAAATGTCCTCTCACATTCGTGGAACCATTTTTCAAGGTTTGCTTGGTGCCACATGTGTCGATTATATAAAAATGAGATATTAAGTTGGCCATTCATTACCAGCGCAGACACATCGATGAGGGCAAAACGAGGCATGTCATCTGGCATCTGGATCATTCCATGGTCGGGAATTGCAGCAAGCTCTAGAAGTGCATCTTGACGCTCCAGCTGCTGAAACAATCCCGTATAGTTAAATAGAATCTCCATGGGCGATTGCCCCTGATGGTACTCGCGCCCTTGTGGGTGTAGATAGCGTGAAGAAAAATATGTCCATCCATTAGCTGGAATTGCACGGCGAGCTTCTTTCACGCGCAACACAAATGTGGATATGTCTTCATCCTTGCTCACTGGGGCCCATACAGGAGCCAGGGTCGTGAACCAACCCACAGTGCGGGACAGGTCGATGTGCGAATCCCATGGCTCACGGCCATGGCCCTCTGTATATATGGCGGGAGGTTGTCGATCGTCGAATATTTGGAGGAAGGAATACAGCAGGGCAGCGTGTATCAACTCGACCGGGCGAGTGCGAAAGGCATCATTAGCATGACCCAAGATTGCCTGGGTCACCTGTGGTGAGAGAGTGACTGAATGCTGGGTTGCCTCTGCCCAGGTGTTCCTGTCTACCAACGATTGCCCACCCCAATAGGACAGGGGTGCTGGAGGGGCCTCGGTTGGCAATGCTTTTCGCGGCTCAAGACATTCTGCCACATACTCTTCTTGAAGATGGCACCATTGCTGAAAGGATAGAGGGCCCGGGCCTGCTAAGGCACCTGTGGTTAAGAAGTCTTCTAGATCTTGCAGGAGGACGCGCCAAGACACCAGGTCTATCACCAGATGATGCGCCATCAGTGACATGTATTGCTCGCCTGCCGATGTGGTTATGATATCCACAACAAGTAATCTCCCAGTCCTGATGTCTAGCAGGCCTTGACTCTCTACTAGGATCTCCTGTATACCAATGTCGAGGCGCTGCAGGGTATGTTCCCGAAAGATAAAACAGCTCGGACCATATTTACGTATCCTTTGCTCCCAAGGTCCAGAAGGGGGACGGTGAAACTGAGCCCGTAGCATAGAATGTCGACGGACAATTGCTTCTATTGCCTTCCAGACACGGGCGTTGTCCTGACGCCGCGAAAGGCGGAGCAGGAATTGCTGAGTAAAGCGATTATGCCCACCTGGGCATAACTCAAAGAACAACTTTTGGATGGGGGAGAGCCCGAACCAGGCCTCCTCTGGATATTCTTTGGTGACACCGGGGTGATTGCTGCTGACCAGTTTCATATTGTGTGCCAACTGAGCTATGGTAGGAAATTGAAATATGTCGGCGACACTGACTCTATAACCAGCAGCTTGGCAGTTGGCTCCAACTTGCATGGCGCTCACCGAGTCCCCACCGAGGTTGAAGAAGCTCTCAGCTATACCAACCTCGTCTGCATTTTTGTTCAGGACCTGGGCCCAGATGCTTTGCAGGAGGACTTCCTCGGGAGTAGAAGGAGGCTGTGATGAACACGGCGCCACTCGGTAAGATTTCACGGTGTCAGCAGAGAGTGTGCCAGCGTGTGCTAGTAGCTGACGACGGTCCAGTTTTCCACTTGGGGTTAGCGGCATGCGATGAACCGGAAGAAACAATTTGGGGATCATGAACGAGGGCAGCAAGTTCGATAATCGAGATTCAGCAACCGAAGTTGCGTGGCGGAATGCGTCGTTAGGAGCCAGGAAAACACCACCATCCAGCACTTGATCATCTGCAACATCTGACGCGGCTGACCAACAGATACACGCAGCAAGTGTGCTTACTGGAGGGTGGATATTGTCGTGATGTACTATCCCCACAACTACTTGTGGAGCATCGGTGAAAGCAACTTGTTGCAACAGGTACTCTATTTCACCTAACTCAATGCGCTGTCCGTGGAGCTTCGCTTGAGTATCCTTGCGCCCTAAATAACGAAAGCTTCCAGTATCTGTGGTCTGCACAAGGTCGCCAGTCTTGTACATGCGGCCATGGGCGTCGCCAAACTGCTCCCTCCATTTCGGGGGATGAATGAAGCTTTGAGCTGTGAGAAAAGGGTTGGAGAGATATCCGGGTCCAACAATTGGGCCTTCGATCAACAACTCGCCAGTACTACCCACTGGCATCAAGACTTGGGGGTTTTCAGGATGCACGACCCAGCCGACGCCACCCGTAGGGAAGCCAATGTTTTTCGGATCATGAACGGTCAGACTTGGCTGAACGCTAAACACAGCCGAGCATTCTGCTGGACCATATGCGTTCCGCACATGGACAAATGGCTTCCACCGTGCAATGTCACCATCAAGGACAGCCTCACCGACAAAGGCAAGGTCCTGAAGTGTAGGAAGTTCTTCGGGGGAAAGGATCCGTGCTACAGACGGTGTGAGGCAAACGTTGTTCACACCATACATATTGATCGTGTGCGCCAGGCGGCTGCGGCACTCATCACCATTTGGAACACAGACGCATCCACCCTCAATAAGGGTACTAATATGCTCAATGATACATGAATCGAACCCCGGGGAGGCGAATTGCAGAACACGGGAATGTTCTGAGAAGTTGTATTGTTTTGCATGAGCTGTAGCACTTGTTGTGTACCCTCCCTGATCGACCACCACGCCTTTGGGGGCCCCTGTCGAGCCAGAGGTAAATGTAGCATACATGGGGTCTTGGGTGGAGCAGCTGGCTACCGGGCTGCTAATATCATAGGTCCGAATACGTTCAAGCAGCAAACGAGGATCTTCCTCGTCGATCACTAAACCCTGCAGCCCGAGTCGTGATGCGAGGCTGCGGGTCTTATTCATGCTGACCACTAAAGATGATTTAACAACCTCACACATCTGACGCAGCCGGGCCAGTGGATAGGATGGATCAAGTAACACAAAGGCTCCGCCAGCCTTCATGACTGCTAACATCGCAAGTCCCATCCACATTGACTTCTCCAGACAGAGCGGGACGAAGACGCCTGGCGTGACGCCATGTTTCTTGAATTGAATCATAAGAGCATGTGAGAGGCGGTCAAGCTGATCATAAGTGAGATTGCCATCCCAGCTATATATCGCCGCCTTTTGGGGCTGTTTCAGAGCCATCTCGTGAATCAGCTCGGGTACTGTTTTCTTTACGACTGAGGGAATTGGGAAGTTCCAGGCAGAGAGGCACTGTCGATCTTTAGGGCTGAGTATGTTGACTTCGGACAGTTTTAATTCGGGATGCCCCTCTATTTGACAGTAGATGTGTGTCAGCTGATGCAAAATACGATCCGTCTGCTGTGGTTCCAGTATCGCCGGATCAAACGTTGCTTGAAGAGTCAAGGACCGGGGCGATGGCCGGCACCGTAGAATTAACGGATACGTATCATACGTTTTTTGGATCTCGCGATTATGTTTGAAGATTGAGGGGACCGGCCCACTCTGCTCTGGCTCGACAGCGAGCAACGTGTTGAAGCGACACCCTGCGGCTGTACCAGGCTCAAGGTGCATCAAGTATTGAAGACCGATATGTGCAAATTCCATTGTATCTGCGTATTGGCACTGGATAGATTGAAGTGCATCTGTAATGGTCTGCTGTGGCTGAAGCTGAATCCGTACTGGGATGCAGACCAAGGATGGTCCGCTCAGCTCCTCAATACCTTTCAAGGGAATGCCTCGACCAGTATCGATTGCTCCAAAGAGCACATCGCCCGATCGCGTATATGAAGACTGTAGCATGGCCCAGGCCAATCGTATCTTGGCGCTTATGGGGAACGCTAGTCTGCGCTCATGGTTGTAGGGGAAGGTTTGCGTCAATTCTTGTGACAATACCGGGGTATATCCAGGGACTGGCAGAGATGGGAATGACTTCATCTCGCTGTGGTGCGCATTGGCGAACTGCTCCCTCCAGAAATTGGCAGACCGCTCCTTTGACTGCTCAATATACTCGATCAATGGCCGAAAAGGCCGGCCTACCAATACTTGCCCCTGGTATGCCGCATCCACGTCGTGCAGCAAAAGCCTCATTGACCAGTCATCGCAGAGTGCATGGTGCATTAATACTGTCAAGACATGTGCCGAGGGATCCCATATCAGCCTTGCGAGCGGAGATCCTACCTGCCATATGGTACACGACTGCTCCTCTGTGTTTGCACCCGGGATATGTCCATCGCCAGAGCTCACCACCTCTTGGTCACACGCGCTATACCCTTGGTGGACTATCCATGGAACAGAGTCCCGTAGCACCACTTGCATACAACTGCTGTGCTCCGTGGGAACTATTCGTGTTCGTAAGATGGGGTTCGCTTGGGCAGCCTGATCCCAGGCTGACTTCAATCGATCAATCTCGATGCTGTGTGGCAAGTGATACGTGTACATCACCGTGTATGCTGTAGAGTCCTTAAGTGTGAGCGCCATCATTCCTTCTTGGAGAGGGGTGCATGGGTATATATCTTCAATTTCGTCTACCGTGCAATGGCATTGGTTTGCAATTCTTGACACCTGCTCCAGCCATGCTAGAGGGACGGCATCCTTAAGTTTCCGGCCATTGGCCGTTGCAAATGTATGATTAGAGGGTCTAGATAATTTCCAGGCTCCTGTTCTATTAGCAGAAGCTGTGCCGTCAAGTGGTAGTATGGTAGGTTTCATGGCCTCAGGCTCTCGCGCTGGAGGGTAAATGAAACACGGGTTAGAATCTCCGGAGCCCATTTTCTCACCGTATAAGAGCTGTTTGAGCTATGAAAGTGAGGAATTCTGAATCTATCCTTTTGGTCTTTCCTTCTTTTACATACCTTTTTCTTTCTGCTTCTGTTGGCGTTTGGTGACCCTTTCGTAATATGTAGTTCACAGGTGTTTCCTTATCCTTCTCCCGAGATACTTTAGATTGGAGGACTAGAACAAATGACTGAATAAATATAGCGAACTCAATGCAAGGGAAAAAGCTTTTAAAATCGACCGAGCTCGTTCATATTGATAAAAGTAACGACGCTATTTCTAAGCGGTACTCCTTATCTGAGCCTTTTTTCTTGTACGGCTTTATATACACGCCTCTGGGGCGTCACCTAGGGCAAGTCAGCCTGCAGAATCCCATTGTACCCAAGTCAATGAGCCCAAGTCAATGAGCATGGCGACTGGTCTGGAACAATTGAGACCTTCATGCTTGGCCTTCATGCTTGGCTTGTGTGTTGACCTTGTGATCTAAAATGGTAGTATACAATGTAACCGGCTAGCCGAGACCATAGTAATGGATGTATTAACCGCTTAATACGAGGTCAAAATCGAGGCTCATATCGTATTCTAACCACAAGAGACATGTCAGGAGACTGCTATTGTGATTTTGTGTATTGTTACTGGCTGGAGTCGTCAACCGTCGGGAGCGTCCCTTGGTTTTGTGTCGATCCAGGTTGTTGGGAACCATGGGACGGCAACGATCCATCCCGCACGCCACGAACCTGCTATGGCTCTGGGCAATATCATACTACTTTGGGAGAGCCAGAAGAGGAAGGAATACTAATTATAAAAGCGTGGTGACGAACTAGATTGAATACCGCGGAAAAAGCCGAACATCAATCTTTGGTACAAACTCAATATAGAATCTATAGTCCTAAGGTCTAGGCTTGTCGATCTCGGACCTCAGGTGATTGATGCAGCCTGGTGAAGCTTCTTTGCATCCTTATTTCTGAAGGACTATCGGTCATCTGGTTTTGTTCTCTTTCTCACGCCGTTGTGCATGGCATCAGTGTATGTCCCATACACATCTTCAGCATGGAGTCCTCGTCTTCCTTGCCGGCAAATCATAATGTTCGGGGAGAGAGCATTGATCGCCAGCAGCAGCCCCAGGTGGATGCTAGTAATCGCCCATCCTCTCTAAAAAGTTATGTAGTATGGACCACCCAATTCCCTCATGAGAAGAAATACCCCCATAACAGAATTACCAGAGGATACTCTCGTATGGTGCCAGAGGCGGTGGCCTTGGACCTATGGTGCTCGGCCTATTGTGTGCGATGGGCTCCGGCGTGGTATGTTGATCCTAGGTGCTCTTAAAAAAGGTCTGTCGCTAACGAAGTGCGATAAGGCCTTACCATTAATGAATGTAGTTTTTGGAAATCTCACTGGAGACTTTAATCGCTATTTTACATCTAACAACTCTGTCAATGAAGACGCTTTCAGGGCGTCCGTGAACAAGAATAGGCAAGTCCGATTCTCTATATCACATTTCCCATTCATTCACTAATATGGTACCATACAGTCTTTACATTGTATATCTTTTCATTGGGAAGTTTGTTCTTACATACATTTCCATGCTCTGCTTCCGCATCATCAGCCTCCGGGCCTCATCAGCGCTACGGCTTGAATATATGGAAGCGCTTTTTGCTCAGCCTGTCCGCAAGCTGGACGAAACGTCCGTGGGGACAGTGACCAATGCTATCACAGGCCTATCAAACACAATCCAGCAGAGCGTATCTGATCGCTTGGCAATCCTGTTCCAGTCCCTCGCTCTGTTGGTGGCCGCCTATGCGGTGGCCTTTCGGTATTCGTGGGCATTGACTTTGGTCGTTAGCTCCGCCATTCTGTTTGTGCTTGTGGGGTTTAGTATTACCGTTCCCCATATTGTCAAGGCACAGCGAATGGTGGATCGCGCCGATGAGAAGCAAGCCGCCGTTGCAGCAGAGGTCTTCAGTGCGATCCGAACCGTCCTTGCTCTTGGAGCTGAAGTCCCGCTGTCCCACAAATACTCCTCATGGGTAAAGGAGGCTCGTAAGCGTGCTGTCCGGATGTGTCCAGTTACTGGAATTCATCTGGCACTACTTTTCTTCGCTATGTACTCCAGTTATGCTTTGGCCTTTTGGTTTGGGTTGAAGCTATACAGCGAGGGCCATATTGCAAACGTCAACACTGTCATTGTGTATGTGTACCTTTCCCATGCTGCACACAACCCAGAGTAGCCTGACATGCAGCCAGGGTCTTTTTTTCTGTGCTTTTAGTGGTTACTGTGCTGGGCGGGATCGCGTCCCCATTAATGGCGATCACTAAGGCGACGAGTGCTTCTGGCCCATTTTTCGATGTGATTGATGCGGATCGCGTTTCAATGAAGGGGCTTCGGAGCCCGGATGCTTCCAGTCAGGAGGATATTTGTTTCGACTCAGTTAGCTTCGCCTATCCAACTCGTCCTGATACACAGGTGCTACGGGACTTTACGGCCTATTTTGAGAGGGGCAATACGACTGCCCTTGTAGGCCCTTCAGGTTCTGGGAAAAGTACCGTTGTAGCTCTCATAGAACGTTGGTATCAGCTTCGGAACACCGACCCGCCAGAGGAGAGTCGAGTGGTCCGGGGCCGAATCCTTGTGGGTAAGCATAACCTCAACGATCTTGACATAAAATGGTGGAGGTCACAGATCGGTTTGGTCGAGCAGGAACCTGTTCTATTCAATGAATCGGTGTATACCAATGTGGCCTTTGGGCTAATAGGAACTGCATGGGAGCACGAGCCAGAACGTGTGAAGATGGACTTGGTGGTGAAGGCATGCCGCGACGCTTTTGCCAACGAGTTTATTGACAGACTGCCTCTGGTAATTCAACCTCCTAGTCTATCGCTCTTGGAATGATATTTTATTAACGGGAACCCTAGGGATATGATACTGTGGTGGGTGAAGGTGGCATCGCATTAAGTGGAGGGCAGCGTCAACGTTTAGCAATCGCTCGAAGCATAGTCTGTAACCCATCAATTCTCATTCTCGACGAGGCGACAAGTTCAATCGATATACGAGGTGAGCAAGTCGTTCAGGCGGCCCTAGATCGGGTCTCTCGAGATCGAACAACCATTATGATTGCGCATCGCCTTTCCACTATCATCCGAGCAGACCATATAATTGTGATGAAAGATGGCTCTAAAGCAGAAGAAGGCACGCATCAAACATTGATGGACCATCGTGGAGTGTACTACAGCCTTGTAAATGCGCAGCAACTGGAAAGTCCAGCCATGGATACTACTGCAGCAATCGAGGAGCTTCCCTACACTCTCCCTGAGGATACCAAAGTTGAAGCTTATGCAGCTGACGGCTATGAAGTTACTGACAGCGAGGAGGTCGTCAAGAGAAAAGGAGGGAAAGGCGTAATCCGTACCTTGTGGCATGTCGTACGCGAGCAAAGGACCCACTGGCCTGTATTGGCTTTGACCGTCATCGGATCAATGGGTGCTGGGTGTAAGAGACCCTTTCCCGACTCACCAGATCGATGATTATCTCTATAGTAACTAACAACTATCGTATGTGTATAGCTGCCTTTGCGTTCCAGAGCTGGCTTTTCGCAAAGCTCGTTCAGGTCTTTCAGTTTTCTGGCAACAAGTTGAGTGAAGCGGCGAACTTCTGGTCCCTCATGTTTTTTATTCTTGCCCTCGCGATGTGCCTATTCTATTTCGATGTTGGCTATGCTTCCACATCTTTTTCAGTTGTAGGTGGCAGATATACCCCTAGTCAGATAAAGGTTCCAGGAGAAAGGCTAACATGTAATAATTAGGATATCGCAGCAAACTATCGCCAAGACTACTTTCAGAGCATTCTGCACAAGCCCGTATCATACTATGATCAGGAAGAAAATTCCTCTGGTACCCTCATGGGAAGATTATCAACAGACCCAAAACAGCTGCAAGAGCTGTTTGGCGTCAATGGGGTCTTCCCACTTATTTCGATTTTTAGTCTCATGGGATGCGTTGCTATCTCATTTAGTTTCGGCTGGAAGTTAGCTGCAGTAGCTTTCTTTGCTGCCTTGCCCTTTATCTTGCTGGCTTCATATTTCCGAATTCAATATGAAGTCCAATTTGAGGGCATGAATGCAGAGGTATACGCTGAAAGCTCCAAGTTCGCTACGGAGGCAATTCGTGCCTTTCGAACGGTTACTTCACTCACGATGGAAGACACCATCCTGCAACGATACTCTAATCTGCTGTCTCAACAGAGAATCAGAGCCATTCACAAGGCCTGGCTTGCGACGCTCGTGGTTGCGCTCTCTGATAGCATCGACCTCTGCGCTATGGCACTTACCTTCTGGTCCGTAGCACTATATGCTCGCCCTTTCTGCCTTTATCTCGATTATTTCAGCTAATGTAGGAAACCCGCTTTTAGGTATGGTGGGCAGCTTCTTGCCTCTCGCGAATATGACCCAGTGGTGTTCTTTGTGGTCTACATTGCTATTATCCAAGGGGGACAGTCGGCAGGTCAGTTTCTTAGCTTCGGTCCTAATATGGCACAGACAACAGCATCTGCCCGACGCATATTAGAGACAAGATCTTCGTCAAATGAGCGAGACAATGACCAGAACCACCGTCCACAATCGATGTCTGGTGTTCCGCTCTTTCACCAGGCCGATGTGTGCTGCCGAGACCTCACCTTCCAGTATCCATCTCGCGGTGGACCTGTCTTTACAGGGATGAATTTCAGCATCCACAGTGGCCAGTATGTTGCAATTGTTGGCCCATCCGGATGCGGCAAATCAACTATCGTCTCTCTCCTGGAGCGGTTTTACGACCCCGCCAAAGGTAGTATAGAATTCGCAGGCCAAGATATCCGAAAGTACCCACTTGCATCTTATCGTCGAGCATTATCTCTGGTCTCTCAAGAACCCAAGCTCTTCGAAGGCACCATTCGGGAAAATCTTCTCTTGGGCCTCGAAGCGGATGATGATGGAGAGCTTGATACGTCGAGGGAAGCGCGGATGATAGAGGCGTGCAAAGATGCCGAACTTCATGAATTTATTATATCTCTTCCTGAAGGCTACTCCACCTCCCTGGGTATTAATGCTCAATTATCTCTCAGCGGTGGTCAAAAGCAGCGACTCTGTATTGCCCGTGCACTAATGCGTAGACCACGGCTACTTCTTCTGGACGAAGCAACGTCCAGTCTCGATTCGCAGTCCGAGAGGCTTATACAGAAGGCACTAGAGCGACTGGCGGAGAGGAAAACGATGACGATAATTGCGGTTGCTCACCGACTAGCCACTATTCAGAAGGCTGACTTGATACTTGTCTGCGGAGAGGGAGAGCCTGGCAGCGGTTCTGTTATTATTGAACGTGGTACTCATACTGAACTACTACAGAGAAGGGGTGTATACTGGCAGATGGTAGGCTCCCTTTGTCAGGACTTATTAACTTTCATTTATGGTTCAAGACACATGTTAACATTTATCTTTATTCAGTGCCAGGTTCAAGCTCTAGATAGCCATACGAATTAATATCAATACACATTGGGTGATACAACAGCCCGACAGCAGGTAGCTATCCCTCCTAAAAGGGCACCTTTCTGAGAATGCATGGCAGGGTTTGCTTTCAATAACCCTGGATATATATTACACACTGCAAACGTCTGGAAAGTTTAGCTCATCCTTCATCTAACGATAAGAATGAGTCTTTTGCTCATAAAATGTTAAGCTTGCAAAGGACACATGTACATAGTTATTTTTAATATCACAGGACTTCATAAAGGATGGTGCTGCTATATATACCATCTTCAGATAGCTCCAGCGGGCACGCGGATGGACCTTACAGCAGTAACCTCACATACCCTCACTATACCTGCAACAATGAGCCTATGAGCCCAGGGTCCGGCTTCTTAAGAGGCTGTGGGGTTAAGAGGAATGGTCAACTGCCCTATAGCTGTCTATGTACGGCAATAAAGTAAATCTAGAAGAGTGGATGACGCTCTAGCGTTACCAAGAAGTACTGCGACATTCTTGGTAAAACGTCTAGCCAAAGATAAACTATAGTGTAGAGAAAGAAAGGCTCCTATAAACAGCGAAGTTTCCGGATTATACAGCCTCTAGCTCCATAATATCCCGAAATTGCTGTCTATAGAGGCATTACTACAGCTACTTGCTGTCTGACACAGATTCAGACCGGCTCTTCTACAACTGACGCGGTGAATCGCGTTTCTACTCTTCCTTCTCTATCTTGTGATGTCTTTTGGAAATTCTGGCGCTACTGTGATCACGGTATACAACAATGTTCACTTATCTATTCCGGTTGTTTGTTCCCTTCCAACTACTGGTAGATATGTTCCACCAATGATGTTGGATCTACCCCACGGTTTATGTGTATTTAGGCTATATGCTGTATTTCGGCCTTGTCTAATCCGGCTCCCGAGATCGGCATAACTCCAAGCTTCAATATGGAGAAAGTTTGTCCCCGCAAATCGACGAGTTAGGGTTACAGTGCTAAGAAACCCTCAGGTTATTAAAATATGTTATGATGTGCTGAATCACCCTTCGCCAAGGCGTTGCCAGATGCTCAGCGGAAGAAAACTCTCAGCAAACCTGAAATATGCTGAACGCTCCAGCCATTCTAGGAGCTCTCACGCTGGTCCTTTCTCCGACTGCTCATGTAGCCGCGGCAGAGGAACCAGCGATCAATCGCGAGAATGTCGTCCGTCGGTATAACCCTATACGTACGAAGTTGTCGACCACAACCCCGATGCAGGTCGGCAACGGCAATTTTGCATTTGGAGCCGACATCACAGGATTACAGACCTTGCTCCCCTTCAACATACTGTCTTCCTGGTGTTGGTGCAATGACTCTCTGCCGATCAAACCCAACCAGACAGAACCATCAGACTTTACCGGCATGGACTGGTGGACACATGACCGTCTTGTGAATTACGATATACAGAACCCGGCGGAACCAGAGATTTCACAGTGGCTAGTTGCCAATCCACATCGGGTCAACCTTGGCCGGGTTGGGTTTCTATACAATGGAAAGCATATCTCTATTGATGTTGTTACAGGGATAAGGCAGAGTCTTGATCTGTATAGCGGCATTCTAACTTCGAAATTTAACCTGGATGGGCAAACAGTTTCCGTTACGACAATCGGAGACCCATCTTCTGCTATCATTGGTGTTGATGTGCAGTCATCGCTGTTGAGGGATGGGTCCTTGGCTGTGTTCTTTGACTACCCACTGACCACAGGAGTCAATAAATTCGAGGCTCCCTTTGTGGGTAACTGGACTTCAGTAGCAGATCATACTACTGCCTTGAATACTATTACAGCGCAAAAAGCTACAATCAGACACTCGTTGGGGGGCACAACCTACTATAACACCATCGAATGGGAACAATCGGGTCATATAACAGGCCCGTTTCCTGAGACACACCGATATCTACTCCAACCTGCGGGAAATACGTCTAGGTTCACTTTTACAACACAGTTTGCTGCACTCAAAGAAACGACGATCAAGCCATTCAAAGCTGTCAAGGAAGCCTCCACACGCTGGTGGGCTCAATACTGGGAGTCTGGGTCATTTGTAGACCTGACGGAAGCTGGATCTTCAGACGCAGAGGAACTGCAGAGACGTATTATTCTCTCTCAGTACCTGCTTGCCGTGAACAGTGCCGGTAAAGATCCTCCCCAGGAGTCCGGTCTACAAAATAACGGCTGGTATGGGAAGTTCCACCTTGAAATGGTATTCTGGCATTTGGGCCACTGGGCGCGATGGAATAAATGGGATATATTAGAGCGTAGCCTGGGTGTGTATTCCCGGTTTCTCCCCTCGTCTCTTGAACGTGCAGAAAGGCAGGGATACGCTGGTGCCCGACTGGGAAAGATGAGTGATCCATCCGGAGCATCGGCTCCTGGGTCACAAAATGCGTTACTTATTTGGCAGCAACCACATCCGATGTATTTTGCTGAGCTGGAGTATCGCGCATCGCCCAACATTGACACTCTGAACAAATGGGATCATATCCTGGATGAGCTGGCGACGTGGATGGTTTCTTATGCGTGGTGGAACGTGTCTACACAGGTATATGACCTTGGTCCACCGATGTATCCGTCATCGGAGAACACGAGTCCCAATTCAACATACAACCCTACTTTCGAATTGGCCTATTGGAGGTTTGGTCTGAAGATTGCCTCAGACTGGAAAAGGCGTCAAGGCATCTCTGTTCCTGAATCTTGGACTCGGGTGTTCAACAATCTTGCACCATTGCCCATAGTACATGGTGCATATTCAATCTGTGCTGATCTGCCGGATATGTGGAACGAGAGCAGCTATACATCCGATCATCCTAGCCAAATCGCCGTCTACGGGCTGCTACCGCCTACCGCAGGTGTAGATCCATCGACTGTCCATGCTACCATGGATCTGATAGCCCAAACATGGAACTTCACAGCCTCTTATGGATGGGATTTCCCGATGCTAGCGATGACATCGCTCCGTTTGAGCAATGTCGACCAGGCTATTTCCTACTTACTCCACTCAAACTTTCAATTTGATGATGTGGGTAACCCTGTGGGAACAGTGGTCCCGACGCCGTATTTCCCAGCCTCCTCAGCGTTTCTGCTCGCCATTGCGATGATGGCCGGAGGATGGGATGGTCAGGAGGGAATGCATTTTCCAGAGAACTGGGGGGCGAGGGTTGATGGGTTTTCGGCGGGGATATAAAGAGAATTAACTATGTATGTTATTTTATATCATGAACCTTCTTGTCCCTTCAATAAATATCACCAGTAGTGGAGCTTCCGAATGCGTGGACATAAGGTACAATATCTAAGATGGTAAGTAACCACTCCTGGTTCAGGACAATACACGCAATGCTACATTCATACTGAATTTAACCAGAACTAATTTTATACACAGTCTAACCATCTCACTAGGGAGTCCATCTTCACAAAAGTGGGGTTGACCTTTCCAGCTTTTAGCAACTGCAGCCACACGCCTTACAACCCGTTTTAGCACAATTGGAATCTCCCACTCCAGGCATACAGTCTTCAGCCGTAGTACAAGACGTCCAATCACCAGTGCCTCCCTTATGGGCCAACCAGCATCATTGTCCATTACCGCCACATCGTTGCCAACACCATCTGTCCTTCGAGCAACCGTATGGAGACCGAGTCCAGCATTTCTGCGCAGCGAATACGTTGGCTAATTCCTTAGCAGCTGGGGTATCGTTGGCCATCTCGTCGCCTCTAGGAACAACCCGAGCAAGCACGGCGCTGGGTATAGCAGTAACAAGGAGGAGGCTGATGCTGAGCTTCATTCTCGCGGGTCTATAGCTATCAGTAAGAAGCATTGTACTCTTTGGGGGTAGCACATACATAAATTTAGAGCTCAGTTTATGGGAGAAACGAGAGGTGTGGCTTTGCCTTGAGGAGTGAATGTTCCGAGGAGGTAGGGAGAGCTATTGGAAAGTGTAACGGGGGGATGCCATATATATATCCTTTCTATAAGCTGTCAACAAGGGTTCAGCCTCTTTTTACAGTATTTTACAAGCTTAGGCTAGGTGCTAAATCCTTCAACTAAATTGGCGAACAATCTGACAACACAACAAATGACATGACCTTTGGGATCCGATTGGAAGACCTCGGTTATAGCAGGCCTTATACATTTCAGATGGTCTCGTAGGTTACATTAGCTGGACACTAGCTTTGATAAGATACATGCGTTTTATTTCAACATGGATATGACGGGTCGGGCGACGCAGTAATGAAGTTTGTAGCAAAAGCCCTGGAAGAGGTAACGTTAATACATGGCTGAATACCGGGTCACTATACGGAGTAGTGTGAGCGATAAATATTATCCTGACATCGCACTCAATTCCGCGCAATATAGCCGGCGCTTCCTTTCTGGAAACAACTGGGAATAAACATTTCCAATGTTTATTTAGGGTTATATGTATCACAAAGGATTCTGATTCCATAAGATATTCGTTTCCTTTTTCGAATGAGAAGTAGCTCGGGATGTAACCGTCATTCATAAATGGTATCAATATTATCGTACAGTCAGCACTCTATCCAGAGAGGTATAGGACTCTCAGGCACTGCTTAGCGTATCTTGACTTCCTGTGGCGCCGGGAGGATACTTAGTCCCTGCATGTTTTAGCCTCATGGACTTTTACGGATGACCCTTGGAAACTTGTATGATTTGAGAATGGAACATTTACTTTGGACATAGGAAGGTACGAACCGCAAGTGTTCCATAGAAAAAGCTTTCTAACGAGGACCATGATATAAGATTCAAAATATGTGTTGATATGGAGATTGCCATGATTAACAACCTCCAGGCATCAAAGGCAGCAGCACATTCGTGATGTGCTATCCTAATGAGATAGTCGCGATGCCCCAGGCATGCTGGGCTACATCGCTGGAAGTACCCTATTCACAAGTGGGCCTGGATGTCCTTGTCATGTCCTTCTATTTGAGCAATTTCACTATCTACATCTACGTCGGGTGATTCAGCGGAGAGTCCGTATTCGTTTTCGGACTGACCTGCTCGCATACGCCCCCGCTATTGAATATACACCGGAGTAATGATGCAGCCAATTCTGAATCAGGGTCAAGAGCTGGCTGGATAGAGTACCCCGTATAGTCGTATTCATGCACTGCGTTGGGGTCAAATTGTAAATCCAATTTTCGACGATGAAACACCCTCTATCCACGAGCCTCCTCCCGTGGAAATATATTGAGTTTAGATTTCACTTCACAACGCAAACTCCATATATGGAAACTAAATTTACTTAGCACAAATACCTGGTTAGGCCATTGGTGAATCGCGTGGTGGCATAGGGCAAAGTGGCGGATGTCTACCTACACAGGAGAACCTAGATCACAGCTACCATCTTACGAGGAGTTTGGGAGAAAGAGTTATAAGAAACAAGTCCTATAATATCCTCATGATAGGTAATCGTAGATAATTACACCTTTAATCCATGGAAATTGCGATCGGCGATCCCCCTGTCAAATTAAGTGTTGTAACCCTAGGTGCGAGACTAGCCTAATGATCCTTGTAGGATCCACCGTTCTATACGGATAGCCGGCGGCCATATGACTTTACAAAAGACCAGGATTGAGCTCCAAGTCCTGTTATACTGTGTAAAACGAGACCACCCAACTATCCTGGGACAAATTTCCTTCTCGGGGTACTAGAGGATACCAGATATTTTCAAAGTATGGGGTTAGTGACATGCTCGTACGTAGTGTGCTAATGCTATGTAGACGTCCATAAGAGCAAGGCTACTGCTGTGTACAGGCTTTACAGTATCGCGTATATAAAATACGAGAGGATCAAACCATGAGAGAGCCCCACTTTCTATTTTTCTAAAAAGCCTCATGGCCAGGGACAAAAAGTACAGAGACCGGATCCTCGGAAAAGGCTGCTTGTGAAACCTGGCGACTCAAACCCCGAAGGTGTTTCCATACAATGAAAAGTGCTCCGAGTATCGCCAAGAATATCTAATAGACCGTATATTAATTAAAAGAAAGGGACCTACGTAGTTAACATGGGTCATTCTGGGCCCTGCCAATGACATGACCAAAGTGAGTAGAAAACGTGTTAGATGCTGTGCCTTGGCTTTCTTGCTCCGGGCTTGGCCACGATAGAAGAAGGATAGCCTCTAAATCGTGATGTTTTCAGCCATTTTTCGGTTAGTCCAGGGTCTCCCAGCTTTCCTGCCACGCGTGAGCTACTGTATAGGGTCTGATGGTGGCCCCGTAGTGCAGTATTGGGTTCTATTGCATCCCCTGCCCACTCTGAGATATGAGAGAACTATGTAGGGCATCAGGTGTTAAAAGCATAACCTTGGTGTTATATGGTTATTTTGCTCGACCGGGTTTCACAGATGATGATTTGAGTATAACCGCATCTTGTCGGTATGATGTTGAGTAAATCATTCCTTCATTGACGTGAGAAACTACATAAAAACAATGAAACAGGGGGAGAAGATACATAATACTTTTTCGATTACCAAGGAGCATCATCCTGTGTGGCCATCCTATGGGTATCTGAATGAGTCTCAACAAAGTCCACAATATCCTTCAGAGCAGACTTCGGGCCACTCATATCGTTATACTCATCAGTCTGATATCCATATATGAGCCCATCAATGCCAGCCTCGCGAAGTAGATACTTCACCATTTCAGTATCACCCTGCGCACTAGTCCAGCTAAAGACCTTTCCAAGTTTCCCTTGGTCGCGCTCCCAACTTCCATACCGAAGCTCTGGGTAGAGGTCGACCCCTTTCCTAAGCCACGAATCACCGAAATCCATAACCATCTGCGGCACTGGTATACCACTTCCGGTGCTGTTGTACAAATGCAAAATAGTGTTCGTCTCACCACTCAACACAATCGCTTCATTCGGGTTCAACCCGTCTCTGATCACTTTAAACCCGCGACTCTCCGCTGTTTGGAAAAAGCCATAAAGCACCCGTATACCTGCAGGTTCGAGAGTTTCTCGAGCTAGATCACGCAAGGCTTCGATAGAGCAGCGTCGATGCCTTTGGCAGAAATCAGGGTTTTTGATATCCAGCCAGACGAAGGAGATATTGTAATTGTTTATCCACCGTTGCTGTGCGATGAATTGGAACAGTTCGCGTGCTGTAGAGCCAGCACTGAACAGCTTTCCGTCGTGGTCTGCCCACCAGTCGAAGTACCAGGCCGTTAAATCAACTTCTAATGCATTCGCACCATGAGAAAGCGCGGCCGTGACTGCTTCTTTTCGCAGGACTCGATGTGCGATAGCGTAGATCGGTCGTTGGGCTTCAGAGGCGACTACTAAGTTTAGCAAGTCAAGTGCCAACAGGAGACGAAAAAGTGGGAATATGGACTGCATTATGGAGGAGATAAAAACGAATCATGCATATAGAACGGTCGTAAATGATAAAGCTAAAAGTTCTTGGTGGACATTACGCGCAACATCTGGAAGCCTGAAGTCTCATAATCATTCTAGCGGGAGCCGTACTGTCGATATTCTAACGTTTAGAGCAAATCTTCCCAGTCACATTATCTGCCCAGCCACGTGAAACGGGGAGGGCCCTCGTTCTTTTTGATTGCCCGGCCATAGGCAGGTCGTGCTAGATGAACCCTGGTACATTAATACTGGCACTAAAGCTGATTTTGGAGGCTTCCGTGTCTCATCCGGCGGTAGCAAGCCTAAGGCAAACCCCTCGAAATGCATAAGCGCTCCACCATATTTCCAAATTTCAATACCTGCCGTACTAGCGTCCGATGTGTTGGCATGTAAACCGATCCTTTCGTGTTAAATACCACTTGGGGTTTCCGCATGGACCCTGTTCTTGGCATGTTCGCGCCAATCCAAGGGATCCACAGAATTAAATCTATTCCGACTATGGTAGGGCGCGAAAATATCGTGGGTACAAGAAACAGCTCGGGCTGATTAGTATTGTGGCCGGCTCACCACTGTCCGTACTCGTATTGATGTTTATACAACGTGCAAAATGTCTATGAGGAAAGCATATATGAACCCGTAGTCACAACGTCCATTTTTTTCTTTTGTCTGACATGAAACACCTACTCATAAAGGAAAAGACGGCTTCCTGCCTTGTCCAGTAAGAGCATGCTGCATTCAGTTGGGAATCTTGTATACCAGGCAGAGGCTCTAGCCGCTCCTGTTATAACCGCTAGTCTACCTTGGAATTCAACCCTTCACACACTACCGATTCTAAGCATAAATCGGCTTTGACTTGTGTATTAGATAAATTTCCCTGGCTCCTACGCCCCCTCCTCCGCCCAGAGAGTCGGGTGAAATTGCCTATATTGATATACATGGTCTTATTCGGCCCCTTGGAATACAAATAACGTGACTCATGGCCGCAGGGCAGAGCTCCTAAATCATTCTGCTAAGCCTCCATAGTATCGAATATCTATACTCTATAGGGCAACCGCTGTTATTCAGCCTCTATTCTGGAGCTTGGAGATACCATCCTTTTAGTACATTTCTCCTGGAAAGTACTACCTTTGAACATTTGCTCATACCGAGACACCTTGGAAATCTACCTACCGCTTTAAATAGGTTCCTGATTCATATTTCCACTGCTGTCTTCCCTCGTATATACATAAATACATAAACTATACCTATGACATGTTGGGTACACTGCACCTTCTCTGCCTAGTGTCTATTTAGATATAGGTCATTAGGTTACCCTTATATGCCATAGATATAGGACCAGGTCAGGGTCCTTGAGAGGCCTATACTACGAAATGCTGATGGATCTATTGATGACGCTATCGTGGACACTTTAGTGCAAGTTGCGCACGATGCCTCCCTATCACCTACTGAGTGCCGTGTTTGCGGTTTGGTCTCTAAAATTCTTCAATACCCAGCTACTAGCCTAGGCTCGTCAAGTGATCTTTCGCCTCCGGTGGGAAAAGGGGAAGTGGCTACTATAATCCTCGCTTTCTCAGACGCCTTCCAGCATCCTCAATGTTATATACGCATATTTATGACACAATTGTCAAATATCTCTCAAACAAGACATAATTATTTTCTGAGACGCAGTTCCCGCCTGTGGCGGAGCAGAGAATACTCATCGTACAATTTAACTTCCATAATTGAAAGAGTTAATAAATTGCCTTTGAAAGATGGACATTGATCAGATACTTATATTGCATGTGGTGATAGGACAAGTTTTCAAATTATTTTCTATATTAAAATGAATTCGCTGGGTAATAGATGAATCCTTGATCGATATTACAATGACGACGAATTCAGTGCGCTTTAATAATACAATTCTGAGCCTCGCCCGTAGTAGGTTCCCAGCCTCATCGGTGCTTCTGAATAAGAAAACCAGACAATATAAATGACATGCGAATAGCTTCATCTGCCAGTCTGATGAAACAGTCCGAATTTCGTCGGGAGGACCCAATCAACTTTGCAACCATTTAGAAGCATGCTTCAACGGCAAAAGCCATTCAAAAACAATGATACTCCATATAATAGCAACATATCATACGAGGAATTCGTCGCGTGACCTGCGTCTGATAGAATACGTAACGTCGCTATGGCTCCTCCTGAGGTGATCGAACATTGCTTTATCTGAGCCGTAGCTTCGATGGTCATTAAATTGACTTTCGCATCCAAAACAATACCAGAGGTGCCCATGGCTATCGGGAATGCCTAGCCTTGCGGGTCGTTTAATGAAGCTAGTATGTTGCTTTCGTAAGTGTTCATTCACATCTGCCTGTGTCCAAAAACCCTGGTCATGTTCGGTGCAGGCGTATGGCTTCATGTAGTTGATAAACCTGATTCAGAGTATGTTGTCGGATATATGCAATCTCAAGTATCTATGATAAATGAAACGTTCCTTGACTTAGTGGAAAGTACACTGATGAGTGAGAGTAAGAAGACCGTAATGATATAACATTTCAACGGCGTACAGGGGGGAATGTTCCACTCTCGGGTAGGCCAGTAACGTGCTGCCTCTTCACATGATTTGCCCCGTCGGGGCTTATCATAAAATGTCACCTAGGTCATACGATCTGTTCCTTGAACATCTTGAAAATGATAACAAGAAAATATCTTAAAGGACTTAGCGGTTTCAGGCAGTCAAAACATTTGATCGATGTTATTATGGATGACAGGATAGAATTTCAGAGTCATCGAGGTTGTAGAAGATCCTCGACATGCCCCCCTTGGTTCGTGCGGGGGATCTCAACAATAGTTTGGGGTTTGGGTCGACTAGTCTCGTCCCCTAATGCAAGATAAATCTCCTAGCTAAAGATAATCATATGCAGAAGGGAGCGGACCTTTCAGTTCCTGCTATAGTATGCATCAATCTAAAATCTTAGCAGAAAGCCTTCAAAAAGCTGGGGATTCTGGAAGGCATTGATTCTAACAGCAATCTGCATTCTCATGACTAGCGTTACACTCAAACAGCTCGAGTGACTAATTAGACAGCCTTAAAAAGTCAATAGATACACCTGATGACGTTTATGCGGTCGATGTAACGATCTGAACAATGGATTGTCAATGTTGGATACTGGAATGTACTCTGCTATTGTGGGGAGTTGCGGGTGGCGCCGGACTCTCTCTCCAATCATCTCAAGGACGGGGAAGTCCGAAGTTGACCTTCCCTTTGTGTTGGATCTATAGCCTAGAGATGTTTAAGACTGGGTACCACTGGACAGACCTATTCAATGTCATGATGCGCTCATTGCGGGAACATTGGGTGCCGTAGAGGTGCGTTCAATATTGAGTTGATTGGTGGTCTATACGGGATGATGCTTGCCACCATAGTAGGACTCGTCTCCTACAACGTTACAATCATGGGACTAGTAGTCGCATGGGTAATCTCGGTACCACGCTATGAAGTATCCATAAAGTATGAGAATGAGTTTGTAGTCAAATCTAGATTAAGATGGGTACGTCCCCATGGGAAGAGGTCGTGTAACAACGAAACAAGTACTGCTGCCGTTTATACATCTCTTGGGGATTGTTGAGCAGGATATACGCGCTTTTGTCAAGCAAGGGTGAAAATTGAGCACGATCAAACAGGCCTAACGGGTACATGACATCTAACGGCTACGTGGGCAGCTATCAAGATGGAACTACTGCGCGAACTCATTATTACATCCGCATGGTTTGCCACGATCTTGACGGCTAGGTGACAACACCATACACCAGTATGACGCAGAAGCGAAGTTCTTGACTTATTCTTCATTTTTGAATGAGGTGATTTCGTGTGTTTCATGGTTTGCAGTAAGGCCAAGCCCAGTCTAGAACACACCTCGCCAGAAGCACACCACTTTCCTCTACCATACAGCCGAGTCGAGTGTTGTGGTTTAGACACACTAGAACAGATGTAGGTATGAATCATGGATCATCTGATGAGAGCTATGCGGGTCGGATCTTATCATCCACGGGTCGGCGATCACTATCGTAGGAGCTGTGCCGTTCGTTCGGCTGAAGCCGAGAGGATGGTATTTCCGCATCCGGCGAGGGTTTGGTCCGGGGTTCGTATTTCCAAGCCCTGATCCATGGATCGGCCTCGCCTGATAAAGGCTAGCCGAGATCAACCCAGGAAGGCAAAACCAATTGTCCCTCAACTCTATAGAAGACAGAAAATGTATATAAAGCAGGTGAAGAGCTATGTCCAAAATCCCCAAGACGCGGTCATAGCAGCCCTCAATACCAACCAGCATCTTCCTCTATATTCCAATTCGATATAGTTTACATTTTACTCTTCACCTGATACTCCCAAAATGCGGTTCATTCCATTGGCTTTGGGCTTTATGGCCACTACCTCTACCGTCCTTGCTGGCCCACCTAACGTCCAAACCGTGAGTGTTCAGCTGAGTAACGATCAGTCTGGGGCCAATGCCAACGTTGATGTACCCACCGACGGTAATCAACGCTCCGTCCAGGCTCACTGGGGCCATACCTCAGTGTCCACAAATGGCGTTGTTACTGCTACGAGCGCCCAGCTCACTCGGTTCCAGCAATCGAGCCACTGCGAAATTACTCAACACCCCAATGTGGATGCCAAGCTCGATGCCCAGCGCACCTGGGTTTCCCTGGATCAAGGAAAGGTGGTTCAGCTCAGTCGAGCATTCATTATCTGCAGCGACAAGTAGTTGCAGTCGGTGGTTGGTGAACCATGATGTCTGCAGGTTATTGAGGAAGTTTATGAAAGGCTATATTGACGATTGAAACTGTGACTTATCTTTTGGTGCTCACCTAATACACAACCTACCGGAGCACCCATACTCATATTATTTATCACTCCTTTAATGTATGTATTGTCATTCACACATATCTAAATCCTAGTTAGGAAATCCAGACAAAACTTGTTATATTATCAATTGCATTACAATAAATCCAGAAGCCAGGTAACTCTGATCACACAATCTCTGATATAAACCAGTAATAAGGTTCTGTTGAAATCCTAAGACTTGATATCAGCTTTCGACATGCACTTTTGACACGTTTGAATCCAGAAGTATGATGGCTAATTCAGCATTCGCTCTCGAGAATACATTGGTCATCCTATAATGCCAGGGGAGATTAGTTAGGGATCTCTGACATGTATCTTTTATCTGCCACCACTTACGGCATTCAGCACATAGCCATCTATACACTGACAGCCCGGAACACATTCCATTGTACAAATTTCGTTAGACTGGGAGTTGCAAGTAGGAGGACAGGCAGTGCCACAGTTATTCCATTTTTGGTTCTATAAGAATAAGAAACTAGCGTTTATACTTGAATCCGTGATTGATTTGTCACTGTAGAGCGATACCCACCTCAGGGCATGATTCTTTGGCGTAAGCAGCTGAAGCTGCCGCAAGAAGGAATACAAGGACTGTTGACTTGAATTGCATCTTATTCTCTGTTGAGGTTATTATAAACATCTTTTAGTCCATAAACAGGAGATTTATTATTGTCACACCAGACATACCGACTTTCTCTGTATGGACAAAAAAGATCAGTAGTGAGCTTTTACTACTTCTGTAATAATAGGGGTAAGCTGTGGGTGAAGCAGAAAGGGCTAACCAGAAGATGGTTGAAGACTTTAAATAGTTTACTACTAGCCCCTTACATTCAGTGATATGGGTACTATTGACACTAGCGTTGCCGATCTGCCGATCATGAAGCTGAGCCCTCCTGGGTTTCGCTTCTCGAAGTCCATACATTCCATAAGCCATCCCTGTGGACCATTAGTTCCTTATGGATAAAGTGGATGGATAGCTTGTATCAGTGCTTATCAATCTTTGGGATAATGACTTGATTCGTTTCTGAGGAAGAAACCTTAAACTACCCACTCAATATATATACACTGTTTATTCTATATAAATGTCATACGCCACCACCACCAATAGCGCTGGGTTAATTAATCTGACAACGAGCTGCGGGCTTGCCTATTTATTGTTTGATAGGAGAACTGTCAACTATGACACGGCTTCGAATAGTTGAGGCTTTGATATTGTAGCACAAATACGTAAAATCTAAATATGACCGACGAGGCCACACGCTCAACTAATGTACCACGTCCAGGACCAGCACCCAGTCTGCATGCCCACTGGTGGTAGGCGGTGCAAACGTCTTGACGGTCGAGCTTTCACCACAATGAGTGTAACTAAGTGTGCTATACGTCCCACCCAACGGATCATACCAGCTTGCCTGCACATTGCACGAGTTCAGACTGTTCGTCTCAATTTGGAACGACTTCCCCGTGGGAGTGTACACCATAATCCAGTAACCGCCACTATCCCTCGTCGCCGTGACCCTTGCATCGTCAGTACCGGCATTTCCGACGATAATATCCTGTGCTGGCACACGCGTGAAATAGGTCGTATTCTCTCTGTCCATTATAGCCTTCTTGATCCACTGCATCTGGCTGGATCCGGGCAGCACTAAATCCTCCACCCAGTTGTCACTTGGCCCACTACCATCTTCGGTGAAAAGGCCGGGTATAGCACACTGCTGAATAGCGTTTGCCCCATAGGTTAGGCCCGCTGCGCCCGAGAACACCTAGGTTTTCTTGTCAGTCTATCTTTTGGCTGTGCACCATGGCAATCCCATCAGATTGCCCTTGGTGGATATAAACTTACCGCTTGCCAACTTCCAATCCGCACATCACTTGCATTCCATGACGCCTCACTGCTATTGCCATTATTGTACCTGTTCTCATAGTGCGCCTCATTATCAATGACTGGCCGCACACGACCGCCAGGAACGGATCCCGCCGCATACATGAGCTCGACCGGCTCCCACCCTCGGCGACAATTCCACCAAGGAATCGGAGGGTTCGGTGGATAGTCCGCATGGCCAGATTGGCTGGCATCCAAGGTAAGCCATGCTCGGTTTCCGAAGAAAGCGTGTGCGAGTGCGAGCGGCCCGCCCGTGAACCATTGGTTTGTCGGGTGGATTGTCATCAGTGGCGACCACATCGTGGCATTTTGGGCCGATGTTGCAGCAATAGCTTGTCGCTCGCCGGCGACGATGCCATTTGCCAGGTCATCGTAGACCGGGGACCAGTCAATGACTTCGTAAGTTGGAAGTGCGCCACCGGTCGTATAGTCGGCCTTGACGGCTGTCTTGTTTTGCCAATATGGGTTGGTGTCGCCGACGAGAGTCTTTGGGAGATAGGGGTATCGATGGCCCAGAAACTTCCCGAATCGATATGCGGTGCTCGTATTGAGTACACTGCCCGAGTTGTCTAATGTTTGTTAGATCACTGTAAACCGTGATTTAGAGAGGGTATGTTCGATGACACACCGCTGCTATGCACATATTTCCCCCACGCAGGAACCATGCAGATGCGAATGCCTTTACTCCATGCCAGCTCAACGACTGAATCGACGTAAGTCCAATAGGGCTCGTTGGGCTTCGTAACATCTTCGTTTATAAAAGGCAGGTCACCATTCCTGTTGGGACTATCGATACCTGCCTGGGTGAAGCCAACGGCCAGAACCATCGTGAATCCCTTGCTAGCTCGGTCTGACAAGTACGTCTCAGCCTCACTGAAGTTCAGGCGATGGAATAACAGCCATGCTGTGTCCGCTTGCCAGAAAAATGGTTTCCCATCATGCTCCTGGAGGAACCGACCATTAGAGGACGGAGTTATGGCATATTCCGCGGGAACCTGCCAGGCTGCTACCGCTTGCAGGATCGGGAGCGCGATATAAAAGAGAGCGGTTCTAAGGATCATAGTTGATGTTTAGCCAATTGCCACAACTATTCCTGTCCCCGAAGGACTCTTTACGGTCATCATGCTGCAAAGCCTCGGGCTTTTGAACCTTTGTAGTAGCTATTCTATGAGAGTAGATGAGCATGGACGCCGAAGCGAACGGCGGTTTCAGCATTTTTCCTGGACTAATTAGTACATGCGCTAATGGGGAATTTCCCACCAATAATTAATGTTCAGATATCTTTGCATGATTAAGCCTGCTACTACCGGGCATCGCCTTCAGATCCTTCCTGGATAAATGGAGATCTACCCCGCAATTTTGCTTAAGAGGCATAGAGCTGACTCAAACAGGCAGTTCTTAGAGCATATAAGCTAGAATAGGGTACTCTAAGCACCTCAAATGCGTAGCTAAGCTACTAACCCTTGGAGAACAAGTTTGGTGCATGACCTTGGACAACATATCCTTTCTTGGGAAAGAAAATAGTCCACCAACCGTAGAGGAGAATATGAGAATATGCAACTAGGTTGATTCGAACAATTCTCAACCCCCATCTCATGTCCTCCTGATTTCGTATCATACTTCTCATTGCACCTAAACATGGCAGCAATATTGTTGGCATGCCTATTGTTGGGTAGTCCGGCCTTGGGAAATGCCCATCACCAGAACAGCACATACACCAACCCTATTCTACCCGGCTTCCATCCCGATCCCAGTTGTATATTTGTTCCATCGTGGGACAATACCTACTTCTGCGCCTCAAGCAGCTTTAATGTCTTTCCCGGGATACCCATTCACGCCTCCAAAGACTTGCGGAATTGGAAGCTGATTGGAAATGCTATCTCGCGGCCAGAGATGCTGCCCAAGTTGGCGACTACAGTCAAGGATACGAGTGGCATATGGGCGCCGACACTTAGGTACCATGAAGGCAGCAGCGACAGTACTATGAACAGCAGCGATCGTGGGAAAGGTAGATTTTGGATTAGTGCGACTCTTGTCTTTGATAATTTGGCTGCCGACAATGAATCGCGTTGGGACAATTTTGTGATCAGCACAGACGATCCGTTCGAATCAGACAGCTGGACGGATCCCGTGCATTTCGACTTTGGTGGCTACGATACCTCCTTATTTTGGGATGATGATGGACAGGTCTATGTAACGGGAAGTCATGAATACAAAGTCTGGCCTGGGATACAAACTGCCACGATTGACTTGCAGACAGGCGAAACAGGAACTTGGTTGAATCCCTGGAATGGCACAGGAGGTTTAGCACCAGAGGGTCCGCATCTATACAAGAAAGATGATTATTACTACCTGCTGCTCGCCGAAGGCGGCACAGGAGAAGGGCATATGGTCACCATGGCACGATCCAGGAATATCAGCGGACCTTATGACCCTGCGCCTCATAATCCCGTACTCACTAACGCCAATACCACTGCTTTTTTCCAGGCCGTGGGTCACGCCGATCTGTTTCAGGATGTGCATGGTAGCTGGTGGGCAGTCGCCTTATCATCGCGCTCGGGGCCGGATTTTAAGAATTATCCCATGGGAAGAGAGACGGTGCTAACCCCGGTTACTTGGGCAAAGGGCGAGTGGCCAATCTTTGAAAATGTCAGTGGGATCACCAACGGATGGGAACTCCCTTCAGACCCCGTCCTTGTCTCTGGCGGCGAGGGACCTTATGTCGATAGCCCAGATCATCTAACGTTCTCGCCGAATTCGATATCGCCATTACATCTGATACATTGGCGACTACCCACCCCCGATACCTACCTCGTATCACCGCCAGGATATGAGAATTCGCTGCTACTTCGTTCCTCAGTACTCAATCTAACCTCCACCGATGGACTATCCACAGACGGTGAGGGCCAGACATTCATTAGCCGACGACAGACAGATAGTCTATTCACATATCAGCTAGACATCAACGCTTCCAGTCTGCGAAACCAGGAAGATGAGGCGGGGGTCAGCATCTTCCTAACAGAAGCGTACCATATCGACCTAGGCATCGTACTTCTTCCACAAGGAAACAATACTGACACGACCACTGACCTCGCACCATTTTTCCGTTTCCGTGGAATGTCGGGCTATGCTGTCCCCGAGACGCTGTTCCCATTCCCACCGTATATGTCTATCGATTCACCGATCACCCTAAAAATCAAGGCGTTTAACTGCACACATTACTCATTTGCCGCGGGACCAAGCGACACTAGGCATCTCATGCAGACATACGGCGTCGCGCGTGGAGACCAGTTAAGTGCGGGCTTCACGGGGACGTTACTTGGACCTTATGCAACGACGAATGGTAGAGACGGCAGTGTGAATGGAGAGTTTGAGGTGGCCGTTGGTAACTGGACGTATTTACCACAAGGGCAGATTGTCAATTAGTGGATGGGAATTGCTCTCCTTTTCCAATTTTGCTTGTTGCAGGTTTTACCCGGTACGAATAAATTAGAATAAGGTAAGAATTATATCAAGTAAACATTTACATTGGAAACAAGAAATAGATATCGCTACAAATTACATTTGGCTGTCCACCCACGTTTTGTTACTCCCCACATAAGCCCAGATCGCGCCAAATATTGTCGGCAAACGACGAGCTTTCATGAACGAATGGAGTGTTGTTCATCTGTATACCCTCATTATCGGAAGGCATCATTGCAGGACTCGCAGTCGAGGCTCGAGCTGGGCACATTCCATCTAATGGGAAGAAGTCGCACTCTCCAGATATAACCCCCTGCAAATTTGCCATTTCTGAACACGATAGAGGCTCATCATCTGCCGGTTCATGGGTACTCGAATCTTCGATAGGGGACGATATCGGTGGGTTAGGATCCTTATATCGGAGGAACGACGGCAGGATGGTAAAGGAACTAGGGGCTTCTAGGGCGCCGCGGCCGGTCGACATAGAATAATCCACAACAGCAACAAGCTCAAAATAGACGGATGGTTTGGTTCTAAGGAGCTCAGACAACCCTCCCTTAGAGTATCGATTGGTGGTAGCCACAGGTGTTTGAGATGGTTCATCGGAAAGCTGGCTTTGCTGTCTCGCGGGGCCAAGGCCGCAGCGGGATACGGACAAATCGAACAGCTGTACTATATGTCGAATCCAGGACGAAATATAGGCCACATCGTAACGTATTGAGTACAGACGGGAAATCTCAGTGTAAAATCGAAGAAGATGCTCTTGGCGGTGTCGGTCTATATCGTTCCGACTCAGTCGAAGATTGATATTTAGCAGTATTTGAGGCGCAACGGTGTATGCGACAACGCCGATTGGCAGCTGACCTGCGGTGCCGTCGATCACAAATCTTTTGACTCTCTGATTCATTGTTGTGAGAGCATCCATTAAGTGCAGCTCCTGGGATTCAAGATCATGAGCAGTAGACTCCCGGTCATTTTGAACAGAGAGGCAAAAGGATATGTAATGATAGAGTACTAGCCGAGCGGACCTGGTGAAGAGAAAAGGAACACAGATTAGCCCAGCAACTATCGTCAACGGGGAGTAGTGCTTACTGGTAGTATAAAGATATCAACTGACAATAGAAGGCAACGGATCGGTGCCACTGGCAATCTGATGGCGAGACCTGAATCATGTGGTTTGATTCCCAGAATTGAAGACGCTCCTTGAGGTCATCCGTTCGAGCCAAGATTAGGGTTGAGTCTTCTCCAAAGGTTAGGGGGCCACCTGGAGGATAGACCGTCATGAGGAGCAACGTCATCGCTACAGCCAAGTGGCACTGGCTGGTGAGTATGTCAAGCAGCCTTTTCTTCGTTGTAGCGTCGTAGACCTCCGAGGCATGGACCTCATCTTCCAGGTCTTCGCACGTGAGGGGGGAATGCGACGCGACGTCAAAGTGATCTGGGAGGATTTGTACAGCCCGCCGCACTCCTAAAGAGAGCAGCCTATCACGAATGATTAAGCACCACCAAAGACGTTTAAGCGTAACACGGGTAGCTCTCTCATTATCAGGGTAACGATGATAGACATGGGCCTTCACTGCACGCGCGTGCTGGATTCCAAGCGCTAGCCACGTCGTGTTGCTGAGTTGATCTATGCTAGAGCACCGGTACGTGAGCAGAATTGCAGCTTGACAAAGGCGAAGCTGATCATCCTCGAGGCTGAAATCATAAATCAACTAGTCATATTTTTAGACCATCTTTCAGCGCCAGCTGTGGGGACATGGGAATACAGTGGGTGCTGGTACCTTGGCGCGCTTGTAGAAAGTATCTCGGAGAGCAATTATTGATTGTGCACCGCTTCTTTTCACGTACTCCACAGGGAGATACTGTGGTATTGTTAGTTAAAGGATATGTGGTTGCGAAGGAAGCCATACGCTGGTTGCGACAAATAACATCGTCTGGAAGAGGAGCAAGGAAAAGGTCTTGCCTCGTTCTCGCTGTCGAAATACAGGCCAGAATTCGGCCTCATTGATAACGGGTAAGCATGGATGCACATAAAGAAAGTAGTGCGAAATAAGGGTCTCGAGAAATTCACCCGACGGCACACTGAAACACTTCTGGGAATCCAGGTAGGCAATATCTGATGCTGGTAGACGATCGAGATTGGGGACATTTAGGTAGGGGTAGTATGCGAAAGGGACCAACGTCGAAGATATTGAAGCTCTGGCACCTGCGATGGGTGAGCAGCTATACTACAGCACTGATAGTGTCTGTCGGGCAATGAAGCTATACCGGAATTTTTTATTTGACGGTGCGCCGGCTTCAGGCAAGCTGCGTTATTATTCTCCCTCTGTTCCTTAGCGTCGTTTGGATCCTGGGGACAATCTTCACCCCTACTCTCCGGCGGGTGATCGTCGTCACCCTTTCGCTTTGGTGCAAGGCAGCGAGGCAGTTTTCTTGGAGGGAGAACGCAGCTCCAGCCGTCCAGGCGGCAGTTGACACATGGTGGCCCTTCTATCGCCAGGTTACAACGGACCTTCCTACGTCGACAATGCTGGCATGCCAGTGGCGCCCGACGCGTTCGCCGCGCTCTTTGTCCATGGATCCCATCTGCAGACCCATCGACCATCTGCTGACGTGGATTAGCTGATATATGTGTGCTCATGGTTAAGACTGTAACCGATATGCCCTGACGCTTCTGCGTGTGAGGTCGGGTGCCACTAGCATCATGGGGACATTCATGAGTTCTGATCGGTGTCCTTCTTTCCCCGCAGTCCCGGTCGTTTAACTCTAAAATTGCTACTAAACTGTGGGGTAAAGGTAATTTATGGTCAGAAAAGACGGTCGTCGATCCATCCAAACATAGCAGGCTATGAACGACGCTGATTGTCGGTGCAAATGTAATCCCGGTCATCCGAGCCAAGGACAAGCTGCATAAGAAGGGCATAAACCTGACGAAAGGATTGGGTGCCCGCACTTGACGTCGTGGGCCGGGCCTCGGTTATCCACAACCTTCCAAAGACCAGCTCCTCATTCGTTCAAAGGTGACAAGAGAGTTCTCAAGCTTGGAAAATAGCCGCCGCTGTCATTATAGGAGCCTTTATTAGACAGAGCATGGGAACAACACATACAGTAGTAGGAATACGCCTTTACCCAACGCACCTAGTCTGATCCATCTATTGTCCGAATGGATACGCTGCGGGTTTTGGCAATCGCTAGCGGCGTGGCCACGCACCTTCTCCTTTATCGAGTTGGCGAATGGGATGTTAAAGCGCCTAGTATCGTGAGAACATATATCTTACTTAGCGCAATCCTCTTCTATGCGGAACGTGCAGCTTTACTGGACAGTTTCTCGATTGATGCGCCTCCGAAATGGGCAGCTACAGTCACTGTATATCACATTCTTGGAGTCTACGCTAGTTTGCTCTTTTATCGCGCTTTTTGGCATCGTCTTTGTGGATATCCTGGACCATTCCTCGCCAGACTTTCAAATTTCTACGTCACTTCACTCTCTGCTAAGAATCTGCATCTCTACGAGGAGGTTCAAAAGCTGCATCAACAATATGGCGACTATGTTCGACTAGGTGATTCTTCTTCTGGCTAGTTACTCACTGCCCGTCTAACTAATTTCCCTGGTATATTGTTAGGCCCCACTGAGCTCTCCATTGCCGATCCTAGAGCAGTAAAGACACTTTACAGCGGCCAGGCGAAAGTGAGCAAAGGACCATGGTATACCGTTTTGGAGCCCCGAGTATCTCTCCAGATGTCGAGAGACAAAAAGGAACACTCCCGCCGTAGGAAGGTGTGGGATCAAGGCTTTAGTTCCAAGGGTGTGTTAATATGCCATATCACCACAGCCTCTCTCTTCTCTAACCGTCATGTTACTTTAGCACTGCGCGATTATGAACCACGTGTTTCTCATTACGCCGAGCAGCTTCTCGACACCGTCCGGAAGAATCTTGGCAAGCCAATGGATATGTCGAAGTGGTTTAATTACTACAGCTTCGATGTCATGGGCGATCTGTCGTTTGGGAATTCCTTTAACATGCTGGTTGGCGGGAAAGATACATACTTTTCGACGCAGTTACATGCAGATATGAAGAGTATTGGGCTGTTTAGTCACCTGACATGGCTGTTTCCGTTTTTCAAAAGAATCCCTATCCTCAATTCTGACTATCTCAAATTTTGGAACTGGGTTGGAGGCAGAGTGGAGGAAAGAATTATGGTATGAAGAGGCGCCCGAAGTAGAATCTATGGAAAAGGCAACACTGACTTAAGCTCAACAGAATAATCCAGATCGTCCTGATGTGTTTTCTTGGATCCTTGATGCTTATCAGAACGGCCCCAAGACAAAGCAGGATCACCTTGACCTACACGGTGACGCTTACTTGATTATCGTTGCAGGAAGGTAAGCAGAGGTTCTCACAGGCGCGAGTATTGATCAATACACAATGAATTAACGTCGGTAGTGATACTACTGCTGCCACCTTGACGAGTCTGTTCTTCCATCTCGCCGCCGACCACACGTGGCAAACAAAGCTCCAGGAAGAACTAGACGCATTGCCTGATTTAACCCAGGAGAAGCTGACAGGTGTCAAATTACTGGATGCCCTTATCAATGAGACACTGAGATTGCATCCTGCCGTACCATCTGGCACCCAACGAATGACGCCTCCGGAGGGTCTCCAGATTGGTAATAAGTACATTCCTGGTGACGTGATGGTATGCATTCCGACACACACACTGTTCCGAGGTATGTTGTTAAGCCAAAAATAATGTAACCAATACAGAGTGATGCTCACGCTTCATAGACGAACGAGCCTTTGTCCGGCCTAATGAGTTTCTTCCAGAGAGGTGGATGACCCAGCCGGAACTAGTAAAAGATGCATCCGTCTTCATCCCATTCAATGCCGGTATGTTCTGGAGATTCGAGCTCATTATAAAGCCACATTCCAAGAATGCCTTTCTCGACGATACTAATGCATCTGCTTAGGCCCCTATTCCTGCGTTGGGAAGCAACTTGCCCTGATGGAGCTCCGCCGTGTGACTGCCGAGATTCTAACGAGATATCATGTTGAATTTGCTCAAGGGCAAACCACTGAGGACTTCCTGAATGGTAAACGAGATACTTTTACTCTGGTTACCGCCCCTCTGAAGTTGGTATTCCGTGAGAGAAATTTGTGTAGTATTGGTGGATAATAAAGGTCTTTCTTCATAGTGGGGCTACTGCGTTTTCGTAAAACTATTCAATATCTCAGAAACTCATTCACATCAGGATTTCTTTACATTTTTGCTGTAGCAGATTAGGGAATGTCTAAATATGTGAGAGCCCAGGAGTTACCCTTCTCGTCCCAAGACATAACAAAACATAAACCAAATTTAATCAGTTGACACATTCCTGTAAGTTTATGGAAGGAATTGTTCTTTCCTTCATGCCATATTCTTCCAGATTAGTCTCTGTATCAAGCATAACCAGTGTTCATTCAACTGCACAAACTCCGCCAAGAGATATATATTCTGGGTATGGCACGACGAAGACTCAAAATGAACGATGTAGCGCGTACCATCTGAGATGTACAAGAACTAGATGTTATAATTAATTCAGAAACCTCCTGGTCACAATAGAATGCGAAGTTATCAAAGGCATAAACCACCGGATGTACGGCGACTTGCGCCTTATTTGGGGTGGATAATTTCGCATAGCCTAGGCATCGGCCCGAGGCAGAAAGATACGCTTCATCAAAACATCTCCCACCAGGCCCCGCACCAAGACGAAACGTTAATGTGTTCAGCAGCATGCAAGACGAATTCTAGTTGTATTTACCGGACTCTGGTCCCCACTGCGGTAAGATGGAATACTCAAACTATTCTGACCTCTCTGATCCCCGGTTACTGCAAGGCAATTCTTTTCTCCCAATAAAGTATGATTACCACAACCGCCATCGTTGCTCGCGAGCCCGAGCAGCCACTGAGCATAAATTGGGCCTTGGAAGATGTCGAGGTATACACGCCGGGTGAAGGAGAAATTCTTGTGGAAATGCGCGCGACAGGTATCTGCCATACAGATATAGTTCTATCATCTGTACCATCTGGAAGTATTGGAATCCAGTATCCAAAGATACTGGGACACGAAGGTACTTCATTATCAGCACATTCCTGCCGTTGTATACACTACAACATCAACAACATGAATAGAGAAGCGGATCGTGGTTTCATATATGCTGAATAGCCACAGGTGGCGGTATTGTACGAGCACTCGGCCAAAATGTGAAGTCCGTCGAGGTCGGAGATCCAGTCTTACTCTCCTACTACTCCTGTTCATCCTGTGAATCATGTCAGACCGCACATCCCGCATACTGCGACGTGTTTGCCAAGGAAAATTACGTTGGACACCAGGGTGGAATGAAAATCCGTAAAGCTGGAGAAGAGCCCTGGTCCAAATACTTTGGTCAATCTAGCTTTGCCCGACATAGTATAGTCAGGGAAGCCAGCGTTGTCAACGTCAAAGATATGCTCAGGCGTGCAGACGAGCTCAAGCTCTTTGCGCCACTGGGATGTGGATTTCAAACTGGAATGGGCGCTATCCTGAACACTTCAAATGCTGGCCCGGATGATATCGTGATGATATTGGGGTTGGGTGCTGTTGGAATGGGGGCCCTTATGGTATGGCTTGCTCGGTCCGGTGATGGGTGAAATCGTTAAACTGACCACAACATTGATAGACCGCCAAAATCCGTGAATGCAAGGCAATAATTGTTGTCGATAAGGTTGAGGCGCGACTCGAACACGCGAAACGTCTAGGCGCATCGCATACCATTAACACAGGAACATTGGATAGTACAGGCCTAAAGGATGCCGTTTGCCAATTCTTTCCCTCGGGTGCTTCAATTGTTATCGATACCACAGGCGTTCCTACTTTGATCGAAGAAGGTCTCCAATCTACACGGAAAAGAGGCAAGCTGGTGCTTATTGGAGTCGCTCCGTTAGGCTATGGGCTCAATGTCGATGTCGGGCAGCATGTAAACGTGAGTGACAATGATCCTGGATTCAAATACGTTCAGCGTTAACCATTTTCATTTTGTCAATGATAGTCCGGCCGATCGATAATGGGCTGCATTGAAGGTGATTGTATTCCCGGCAAGGTTCGATGGCCCTGTCCTTCAACGATTTAATGTATTGCAATTGCAAGTCTGACGGCAACAAAGGCAATTCCGCAAATGATTCAATGGTATCGCGAAGGTCGCTTTCCAGTCGACCAGTTAGTTCAGTACTTTAATGTTTGTTCGCCTTATTCATCAGGAATTGGAGCAACACCCCTGGTGCCTACTGACATCTTTGAATTTCTTAGGCTACCGATTATGAACAAGCACTGAAGGGCATGAAGGATGGGAATACAGTGAAACCTGTTCTGGTGTGGGACCATTAGTGGCAGTATCCTATTCTGCATAATCGGGCTTCCTATGGGATGTCCTACGGCAGTGGAAAATATTTTGGTCCTGAACACTTGATAATGAGACATACATCTGTTGGTTTTGTTGTCTAAACAACCTTTTTAAGACTAAAGGACACCGGACATCAACAAGTCTCGTCATTCGGTCAATAGTTAGCATGAAGCTAAGACCCAAAGGAATGAATTGGTAGCTTTATTTCACCTGGACGGTGGCAGCAGAATACCTAAAGCTAGAAGCACAGTCACGTCTCCTAGACCTATGCCCCTGGGACAATTCAACCAAAGTGAAGCGGAGTACCTCAAGCGGTGAGTTTAGCCAATTCGCTGTTGACAGCCAAATTGGTTGTTGCGATCTCAGGGTACTGTGCCTTAGGAATGAATTCCAGCTTTTTGACAGCGTCACGCTGGAAAATAAGGCAGTGAGTAGATCCACCACTATGGAAAGCCCCAATGACATCTCCTTGCTTGATAGTCTTTCCTTCTGCTGTATTTTCGAACCAGTCACAGGTAGATACCTCGGACATTCCAACGGGCACAAAACCAACCAGCCCAATATTGGCACCGCCCTGAACATTAGTGTCAACGATGAGGACACCACGTGCCGCGATATGGGTGATATATCGCTGAGAGACGTCTGGACCAGCTGGGTCAGGACCGTTCGACCCTCCGAATCCGGCAGCAGCTGTTTCAGCAAAGTATGTTCCATCAATCAAGCTGCGATATTTGACCACGCCGGTAACTGGGGCATTCCAGCAGTGATAGGAGTCGGCACTCAGGAAGGCTTGATAGACGGAGCCGCCGACGAAGCTGTCAACGTAGGACGCGACCTTGTCGTCTTGAGTGGCTCCGAGCATATCGTAAAGTGAGTATGGGGTACCCTTGAGCCAGAAAGTGTTGCGGCGCGAGACATCGGTGTCGAACGATAGAGGGAATGATTCACAGGCGTTGACGACAGCCGCGTTAGCTACGGGGCGAACACCGTCCTTGAACTTGCGAGTAAAGAAATCATCCCAGCAAGCATAGTTGAAAAAGTTGGTTGTAGTGCCTTCAGCAGGATGCTGGAATATTTCCGAGAACTTCTTTGGCTTCTCCTTAGGGGTGGCCTCGTTCGCCTTGTCCTCCAGCTGTTTGATCGCCTGGGGGGAACTCCATCCAGCATCGATCAGAGCCTGGTTGCCACCCGTATTGCCTGCTCCGCCTGCTTTGGGGTCTTTGAGGAACTCATTCCACTTGTTCAAAATCTTCTTGAGACACTCATTGACTCTCGTATCCAAGAAGAATTGGCGTCCGCTTGGCGTACCCATGGGCCAGTCAACGATGATATTGAATGGAAACCCGATGAGACCGCTGGGAATGTTTGGGTTGTCTCTCAAAAAGTACTCGGGCACCTGAGTGAGGAGGGTATTGAAGAGGTATAGCATGGTATTGTAGTTTCGGACCTGCTTCTTGAGAGTGGTCGGGTCCCTATCATACGGCGCCTTTTCGGGGATTTCCTCAAACATGGAGTGGGCGAGCATGTAAAGGGAAGAGTTGTTCTCAATGAGCTTTCGAAACGTCTCAACTGGGTTTACCTCGTCATTCCGCAATCTTCGAGGGATTTCTGCTTTGGTTTTGTCCAGAAGGCTTGACAGCCAAGCTCGACGCAGTTCGACATTCTCAGGCATCCAATGCCCGTGGCCGTGAAGGGAACTTCCCGTGGCCGGGCCGCCTGGGTCCCGTTGGATGTAGGTAGGGATAATCCTGACTGACTGCATCGCTTCGAGGAATACTCTGGATCTGTGACTCAATGGTTCGGGGAATAAATGTTCAGTAGAAGATCTGTGTGGAATAGAACATTCAGTGTTATATCTGTGGCTGTTTAGGGGCTTTTATAGTCAAACCTCCTCACTAGACTAGACAAACTTGAATCACTTTCATCCTCTAGCCTCTCCAGTGAACCAAGATGTGGCCGATGACGTTGACCTTGCCCCGAAGATATGAGGGGTTTGCATGAAATCATATAATGATTGACGTGGCTCGAAGCCATATGCATATCTTGCACTCCATAACCGGACTTAAGGCAGGAGACCAATCCACGCGAAACCAGAGCGTGGTTCCGTGAGTTCCGAATCGTTGGGTTCTTTTCCGCATTCAGGTCTAGATGATCGAGACCATTGATCCTCGTCGAATCATGGCATAGCTTGGCGCCTTCAGTTAGGAGAGCTAGATTCACGAGTCTTCCACAAACCAGACTGCCAATACTGTATTACGTTGAGATGGGGCCTCTCCATTATCACTATCACCTTCATTCGACTTTTCATAGGATACCGGACAGCTCCGTGACCTGGGTAATCCCTACATATTTTAGCGCCCTAACGGCCAGCGGGTAGGGAACGGTAGCAATTCGGTCACAACTCTGACGGCACGGTTCGGGCCTTCGTCTGAAGATACGCATACAGGAATGGCCTTGCTTCATCTCTTCCCTTTATTATTACCGAATGGCGGCCTCTTCCCCACTCAGATGCATGCCACAGTTCAGCTGCGAATCAACTTTCAGGCATGGTACTTTTGTCATTGCTACCCAACTTGCAACATATTACAGGATTTAAACCCCTCAATATGCGAGACATGGACAGCTTTCACGAAACTCTATTATGCGACGCATCCCTCTGCCAAATGATATCAGGGTTGCTTCTGAGAGCTTTCAGCTCCTCAAACCATTGAAGGAGTGATCTGTTTCATGCATACCATCCTGCCAAGGAATGTTTGATTGGGCGCTATCATGCAGGTTTGAAAGGGTCTGCCACACCACCGGAATGCATGTAACCTGATTAGAGTCGACGTGATGACATGGTCCTTCATGGCTGCATTTTGTCGCATTTCAGCTCCGAGGAAACCAGTTCCGACTGCCAACATCTGGGGCAAGCCTTGCCTGAATACACCATTCATACTGGGTTGCGTGTGCCGACTTCCATTAGGCCCACGGCGCCTCTCTGATGCCCTTCATTCATTTGCATGGTTTTCTCAGGCTGGAATACGCGTGTTTCAGCGATCGTGAGGGGTACATGCATCTAATGTATCGAAGCCTCGCATATCAAATTGGAATGATCGACCACCACCGGAGCTGAAGGTATTTGTTAGCAATCAATATCTAGCTTCCACATATCGCGAAGACCGCCGTCTACCCCCCTCCTCTCCCCCATCACTCGACCGCACTTCGCAGGTTATTGGTTCATCTTGGCTAGTGACCTGCAAAGGATAAGCAAATGTTGCTGTCACTTTCACCTCGGCTAATGATACTGAAAGGAGGTTTCAGTTCGTCACTGATGTATACTGGGTTCGAAAGAACTTACGACGGCGACCGCAGCATTATGCGACATTACACTATGCAGATCTCTCTTTATTCATACCCTCTGCGAAAATGTTCTCCGATTTTCAGAAGCCCAAAAGGCTCGTACCGGTGCTAGCAATGGCTGCTTTTCTTCCAGGCTCTTCAGTCGGTAGCAGATGTGGGGCGTGGTAATTATGAAGCTTGTGATTGCTTTCTTTACTTGAATAATTTGCCTTGGAGAAGAAGTTGATGATCGAAATTTGCCCAAATGGCCATAGACAGTTGGTCCCGATATAAACGATACTGAAGGGGCCGAAAGACAATAATAAAAATACAAGTATCAAAATGAAGGGACAATATCTCAATATGAACCCAGGACAGTTACTATAAGGCACAGGGGTTATCGCTAGCCATAAATGTCATCTTCATGTGTGCACAGACCTATTCTACGTATCGTAACAGATCCACTTACGGATATGAACTGGAGCCTATCTTGACTTCCCCCTGAACGGGTTTGATATAGGAACCGACGGATTGAAAGAAGGGGCTTGGCGCTCCAGAGCCCATTGTCGAATCAAGCCAAAAGATCTCGGCATGTGTGTAGTGAAGCAACATGCGCCTTTAGGCTCTGCTCACTCTCTTGCCAGAGGAGCACATTATAGCCTGGCTTAGCCACTCAATGCAGTGGTCAACGTGGGGAGGTATGGAAATATCATGATTTGAATACATGTTAACACCCCATACGGTCAACCGGAGCAGATTCTGCCAGTACTGTTATCAAAGAGTCCCTGATGACAATTGCTGAGGGAGACAAGGAGGATCTCGATCAGTTGGAGAAGGGGTGGCTATGTAGAGATCATGAGGAAGGTAATTGAGAATTTGGATGGAATGTGAGGGAACGCAGAGACGTCCATAGAGCACTTCATTCCATTTGCACGGACCTTGAAAAGCTCCTATACAAGGTATCAGTGTTCTCAAGGTGCTTGACTGTAGTTTTATACCTGTGGCGATGTCCCAGCACATAGGTAATGTATTCAAGACTTAGAATATGTTACTAAGAAGGAATCGAAAAGTTTGAATAGAAAAAGTAAAGGGCTAAGGAAAATCGTTATATCGCCTGGGCTTGAATCCCTAAAAGACGGCCCGCAACGACTAAACACAACAGGAAGTATATCTCTGATACCATAAAATAATTCCACGACGATCAAAGGCTCCTCATACTAGATACCCCCGCCGCTGCGTACATATCCGTACCAGGCAGCTCACCTACTAACCCTGGAAACTTCTCTTTAATGGTTCGACTGAACATTTTGACCGGTGTTCTGCTTCGAGGAAGCACAGGATTCTGACGTTTTGTGTTCTTTCGCCGACAGACAAACCCGATATAGAGTCCTATAGCAAGTAGAAAGATGGCTCCGAAAGGGATACCGACAATCATCCCTATCTTCGATGATTCAGGAAGCATGGAGAAGGTGCAATGGCAAAGGCGATCTGCAGAGTCCGAAGGTGCCATAGTTGCGGTATGTTATGGCCAAGGTTCCTTGGACTTGAAGGGTAGTGTGCGGTGGATGTGAAAATTGCTTCTACCAACAATGGATTCTCGCTAACCAAGGTGTCAGCCTGCCTTCTTTGGCTTCTTTATGGCATTGGCTCGTTACCATTAAAGATAACTGCTGTTTTGCGGGTCTTGATATCGGCAACTTGGTAGACCGCTACCGTTGAGGCTCTTTCTCATTGCCAGGCTAGATATTTGAACCTTGACGACAACGTCCTGATATACAAAATATCGAAAGACAAGCCATTTTACTACAGGCAGAACATGCTGTATCTACTGTTGCCGCAGAATTTACCATTTATTTTTAGAGGTGCACAGCCGAATGGGATGCCATTGTTTCGGAATATGACACAACGGTCTAAATCCCGACTTCTTACTCCTAACCTCTCATGGCGCGTAATAAATGAAACACGTTAGATCATGGTCTTGCCGTAAGCGGTATATTTTGGATATTGCCTTGGTTCTTACATTAGATGAAACCCTAAGGGGTGGACGAAAGCGCTTTGTTGATGAGAAGTGTGTGCTATAAATATACAGTAGATGTAACACAGTCACCAATGAAATATACCCAAAATAACCGACTTCACAATATATGCTCTTTGTTTATGGTACATAATTGGATGATATATACACCCTTTTGTTCCCCTTTAGATAAATATTTTTCGTTCCCTGACCTTGAATCACATGGGGCATATTTACTCTCATTGGGGACAGCAAGCCGGACAAGGGGTGTTTGGCTGACGCTCAGGCCTTATTGTAGCAGCTTATTGATCTATAATTAGGTGGTAATTGAGAGGTAATAATAGAACTTCACGGGATTGGCAGTTCGATAAGAGGTCACTGAAATGTGCTCTTCCCTTCCGATATAGTCTTAAATCCACACAACTAATCCTTCACTAGTTTCGATTATGCCTTAGCATCTGGTTAAAAATAGATAAGCAATCTCTATATTCAGCGCCAGCCTGGCATGTGTCTTTGTTATTCATGACCCTAATTAATTCCGGTTGGCCTGATGAATGAAGACTATTAGCTAGCGTAATAGAGTCCACTGTTACTGATGTTCGCGCATTCGTATGATTAACCACTGATAGCCAGCCTTGGTATTCATATAGACGATAGTAATTTACCACATGAACGTTGGTGGAATTATTGAGGTAAAGGTTAGCTGCTCATGAATTAGGCTTATCTAGGTTAATCTAGCTGGGTAAACGCCGGAGCCTATGATACATGTCATGTCCCTAATGATGAGGAAGATAACGTATGAATGATGGACCTCTTCACATCTTTAATAGCCTCTTTAGTCACACCTTACTAGCCTACCTTATCCGATGCTTAGAAGGTCCTATAAAAGCTCCCGTAAATATATCGCTGACTACCAAACCGCCGGCCGTATACAATTGACTACATACTTCCAGTCTAATGGCACACGCATTCATACTAATACAGGGTATTCTATCTGCACCTCCCGGGACGCTCCACAAGAAGAAAATTCCCAGGAAGCCGTCCAAGGAAACACATATTGGGTATTTCACCCTAGACTAAGATAAGGACTGGGAATATTCGGGGTTGCGTAATTGTTATTCACTCTAAGCTGACTTTGGGTTCCGCTATTACCATTACGGTAGATATTCTGCTAGTCATGTCTTCAATTGCCCAAGACATAGTCACATCAATACAAGATGTGTTGGCTTCCGGCGCATTTCAATCCGAACTCCCCGAGGGTACGCGTGAGGGTATTGGGTGCACCATCTGGTCCATAAAACGCCTAGTAGTCAGGGAGCAAGCCAATACCGAAGGAGCCCCATATGTCTTGTCTTGCCTAGCATATTGTGATTGATGGAATGCTAACAACCTTTGGAACTCAACACCATCAACATTTAGACCTTCCGAACCCAGACTTGGGGTAGCCTTTGCTGCAGGCTGTCTTCCACAAACTGAGATAAATGTAATGACACAAGACCGTCAGAGTAGGTGGCAGACCCATCAGACCATGGATATTCCAATACCGCGATATAGTAACCGATTAGACGGTATTCTAACAGAAATAAGAAAAAGAGAAAGTGATTACTCCACCATCTTCCAATACCACCATGGGAACCGGATATTAAACTCAGAGGGTGCAGCCTAAAAGGTTTACTGATTGAATTGTCGCCTTGGTATCTCTACTTTGTTCTGGTGACTGTTATCAAATAGGAATGGATATGACAACACGACCGTACTATATATGCTGCTATTGGAGCTGTTCCCGGGCCTGGACCGCAGCCGCAGCTGTGGGTACAGACATTGAGTGGTTTAGCTGGAAACTAAACTCATGGGGCGGAGCAGTGATGCTGGGATAGTACCACTACCCCTGTCAAGAGAGGTGACAGGCGTTGGTTCACGGAAACAGAGCAGTAAGAGTAACTAGACGCCGGGAAATCGTAGTCTCAAAGTAAGCCTGTTTAATCCCAAAAACCAGTCATGCCAACTTAACAGTTGAGGTTAAAAATACCATTAAGGTTCTTATTATCGTACTCTTGGATCTTTCAAAAGCCAAATATTTACAGGCTGATGTGGTATTTAGGACCTTAACATATACTATGGCGCAGTGTTTATTGTTGGATTAGGTTGCCACTTTCATATAAAGTTCAGGATTCGCCTACATTCATCTCGTTATAACTAGGTAACTGGCTATTAGTTCGTTCGCGCCACCGCGGACTAGGCCACTGAACTATTTATTTCCAATCTCCCATAGTAGGTGCTTCCAAAGCTTCAAGAACTAATCACATTATAAGGAAAACTCATGACCAACTTTTGTGGGAGTTTTTCGCTTGATAAAAGGAACGATGAGGACAGCTATCCGTTGCACTCTGAGAATTTCCCGGCACTCCATCATGTTCAGTTGGAAGGCTTCCCCGGGAAACTACGGTATACAGGTTTACTGACACCGTAGTTGTTGGGTAAAGGTTCATGCTTTGCCTGTAGACCCGAAACCACAATCCAAGTACCCAAGCTCGTAATGCGGAATCTCATATTCCATATTCGAGGGTGGGCTCGTGGAGTGGAAATCAGCTTCCCTCATAGGCGGCAGAGCCAAACCAGGCCAGGACACATATGTTGCATCTACATACTCCGGTCCCATGAGGCCAATTCGGGCGGCGTCGCGGCATCCGACATGAGACTTGGTTAACCAGTTGACTGTTTCTATCATGCAGCTTCTGAGAAACGCCTTTCCTTCCTGCTCGCTTGCTCTCTGCGAGAGGTAGGACGGGCCTGGGATACGTATGATCGCGGTATCGCCAGCGTCACTATCTGCCCCAAACTGCTTCTCCTCTGGAACATCTGAGAGGTAGAGGACGAAGTTCGACAAGACCGAGTTCTCCAAGCAGTATTTTGAAGTGTCTTTGAAGGTGGTAAAGAAGCAGACATAGCATATATATAGTGATTGGTTATCCGTGACCGACGTGCAATGGGCATAGGGGATGGAGGAACTGTATGCTGCATAATGTTATCTTAGCTTTATTGGCTTCTGGTTTTACCTGTTCATCTGAGGTTGTGATATTCGGTACTGGTGGAGCTCTCGGTTGAGGCTTGGGGACCTACTGATATGACAGACTAAGCAGTGAAAGGCTGCTTTGTTCGCCTCCGGAACAAGGCTAACCGTTATCCCTCGAAGTACGGTACCCGGCCTCCTAGACCTGCATAAATCGAAGTGCAGATTGTGGTGGCCGTGCTGCAGACACTGGGAACAGAAGGTGGCACGTCCTCCGTTCGCCATACATCCTTCGCAAATAAGGAACTCACCTCCCTGGGCCTGAATTTCATGACAAATAGAGCAAACAATCAGTGGCCGCCTACAGGCCCGATCCATTTGCCTGGATCGTATGAGTTGGTGTGGTGTCCATTTATCATTGTACTCTAATCTGCACTGGGGGCACTCTCGGTCCTCGTCCGATAGAATACATGGGAGGCAGCGGCGGGAGGAACCATCTGGACAGACAAACTGGGCATCATCATAGGATTGCACGTCTAGAATACGTTAGCACCCGATTCCCCGGTTTATCTATGTACATGTTAGGCGTGAATGATAATACTCACTTGAAACACTTTTACACTCCTGGCTCATGCACGTCCAATGATTCATGTCTTCGGTGGCAACCTTATTGATAAAGGTAAGGCGCCAGCCACTTGTGGGGCTGTCTACTTGGTCTTCCTTAAGTTGGCAACTTTCACAATATGTAACTGCTCCAAGTACTATCTCCGGAACGCCCCTAAACAACCAGATGCATTCATCCCAGTCAAAGGCTGCTCGGAACGTCAGCTGTGTCTCATAATATGACCTCATGTAAACTAGCTTCAGACAAATTCCACGTATCTGTGAACTGGAGCAGTTAAGCGCGTGTGGGGGCCATACCTCGTTCGCATCGATCACAGCGTCCGCAAGTTGGGCTTATCCTAGAGACTGCATCAGGAAGGGGTAGGTGGCGAGATGATGTGAGGTCCAACGTGCCTGCAAATCCCCCCTTGCTCCTTGACTGCACTACCGGCATACTTGAGCGAATGCATGACATGCGGGATAATCAAGCCCTGATGCACCTTAACAGCCTTCGCAGCAGCGTCATCCATCATCTTAAGCATTCCTTTGCGCATTCTATGGTACCCAAATCCCATGGATATCGCCTGTCCAATCATAGGTTGAATGTGAACAGCCTCAACACCAACGTCCACGGCTGTGTCTCGCAGGAGCTCTGTGACAGTTAACCTACCTATTGTAACGGCCATGGCCTTGGCTATCTTGTCTTTGGAGTTGTGGGCCTCCTGGAATGACCTTTGGTATTCCTGTAGCTTATCTATATCGCCTAAGCCAAAGGCATTGAGGGTGATATTTGCGAAGTCAGTTCCCAGCTCATGTACTGCCCAGGGCCGGAGGAATGGAATACTGCCACAAAGCGTAGCTGCAATCTTGTTACCAGTATACTCACTGCTGCCATGTAGATACTGTTTTCTCTGATCAATGAGAGAGATGCAGTCAGTGTTAAGATACTCGAGAAGGGCATCCTGAACATCGGGTGTTCCCAGAGGAATTCCTGCGAGCTTCGCGACAGCTCGTTTCCTATAAAGTGTAGTCCATTCATCTACGGAGTTAATGTCCTCAAGGTCGGCGCTATCAGGATTGACTTGCATATTGTCGTCAAAAAGTCGAGTATACCAGGAGGAACGTTTCTAAAACAAGATTGTGGACACCTAAGAGTGGAAGATGTGATCCAAGTGAACGCTATATACATCTATACTATACTGGAATGGACAATCAGACTATTTATCGATCAACGACTCACTCAATGCAACTCGCCGAGGAGTAGAGCCATAAGACAATGTGACCCTAAGAGACTTGGGATGCTTATAGTGCTTACAAGTCTCGATTCATCCAGACCTAGGCTGGACACCACAACGAATGGTGACTAGGTTTGGAAAGATGTATTGTAAAGCATGAAAAGTCCTAGCCTACTGTCCTCGGCGTATAGCTGTAGGTAGGAGTTCGCAGGTCACCCCACTTGTCTTGGCAGTGCCGGACCCCCAAGGTTGATATCGGTCCATCTTTAGATCCCTAGATAGGATGGGGAGGTTGTGTCAGGTGACCTGTAACCAGGGTTATATGCTATATCAAAGCCACGGTTCCCGCCTATACCAACCTGCTCGTTCTTTCCTGACCGCACAGCTTTATCCGGTCCTTTTCATTATAAGACCCTTCTTGAACGCCGTATTACTCTCAACGGCTCCTTTAACACTTGCAACAATAACATTACAATCAGCCAACGTAACAGCATCAAGGTTGTATCCCAATTTTTGCCATCGGTGAAGGTTAATGGTTTACTGATTTCATAGTACTCAGATTAGCCGGATACCAAAAGATCAAGCAAGTCACGAAATGACCACAGGCAGAGGTCGATTCGATACGGATTTGGTCACCAAAGAGGGGAAGGAAACAACTTCCGATTCGGCAGGTAATATTTTCGACCTCAAAGGAAACAACATCCCTAAGACTGAGACTGTTACCAAGCCTCCAGATCCACCCAAGTTTGCGGGTGGTGATAATGACAACACTGATTATAATGGAGATATTTATGACGGAGATGCTAGTAGCGCAGATGTTTGTGACGAAGGTGGTGAGGACGGAATAGTGAATAGTGTGGTGGACTTCTTTGGGTCCTTTTTCTCTTGACAATATTAACTACCAAGAGGAGAGGAAACTCCGAATCAAACCATTTGGAAGTGTGGATGTTGATTATGGGAGAGCCTTTCACAAAACAATGTTATACGTGACGAGAGACACGCGGACTGAAATGGGTCTATCTAACAGACTGTGAAAAGAGAGGAACGCAAGAGTATGTCATCATACAAAGGACAAAAAGTTAGCGATCGTGAGAATAATAGCAGGGATCCACAAGGTTCGTATGGCAGGAGTCTGTAGTACATCATTAAAATAATTATGCGCCGTTCAAATATTTCAGAAGCTATGCATTATTGGCATGTTGACTAGAGGCCGCATGCTTGATTAGACCTAATTCTGTTTGAATTGGTGTCCTACAACATTCTTCATTTCAGTCATGCCTTCCAGGATATCTCCTAACACCCGTGTGGCAGAGGTGTAGAAAGCGAGAGGGTAGAAGAAGAGGAGCAATACTGTTGGAGTAGATCACAATCGTTCCTTGTCGGGGTTCAGCACTTGCCTAGACTCAATCTTCTCGTTTTGACTAACTTATTCCACGACCCAGCGGCGCACCTCACGGCCTTGGTTCAAAGATCGTCGGATGACACCCCCACGACCACCTACAGGATAGCATTAAGGCGACGTATGATGGATCACTTCCTGGATCCTCAATAGTAGTATATTGCGTGATGAGTACCGCAGCTACGTAGGCAGCTAGATATAATGGTTGCGTGACCACCAGTCCTATTGTGACCCATTATCAAGGACTAGGCCTGGCTATAGCTATATGGTGACGAGATTGATTTCCAAATTTAGCAATAGTCTTTGTGGCCTCTGGTCGAGGCCTGCTTAGTAGCTCTATGGTGACGATATTGCCATCGAAAGCTAACAACAGTCTTTCTGCTATCGTGTTGTATATAATCTGCCAAATTTCTGGGAGACAATTGGGTGTAGTATAAGGAAGTGCCTACTTTCTTCTAAGGTAACTACATCGATTATACCAATTTGTCAATAATAATATGGCAGTAGACCCTTCATCTATCTGCATCGATAGCCTTGGGTCCTTCGATTCATGGGTCAAAGCTTACAGAATACTTGCAGCCTCGGAGCTGGCCGGTATAAACACTGGCACATCCGATGTCCAGGCCGTGCTCCTTGAAAGGCTTAACACTGCATGTGACTTACTTGTCAACCAGAAAAAGGTAGCGCTACACAATAGCGATGAGTATATCTCTAATAAGATTGGAGCAACCCTGGCCAGCGGTATCCCTGGTGTCGGGGCCTGGATGAAGTGGGAGCTGGGCCAGGACTTTGCAAAGTCTACACTGGAAGCCTTCGGCTTAGGTGAGCTGGACAGGATGCAAGAATATAAAAAGTCAGTCCAGGATTTTCAACACGTTTATAACCCCAAGACAGAGATGGCCTGCAGAATAGCATTAAATGCGGCTGTGATGACGTGGAAGGAGATTGTGCAGGACACGGCTGTGGAAAGTGGCACTGAGATAGCTCATGTTGGACCTGGCGTTGGGCAGGTTATCTGTATGGGACTTGGGTATCACCAAATGCGCAATAAAATGCTCAAAATCATGGATGCTGCCGCTGAAAAGGCGATTATGTTGCATCAGGGCTTGATCATTCCAAATATCGTCCATTCGCTCGAATGTGGCAGCATGGTCACGAACCAAGCTGTCTACCTGGCCACGCTCGCGGAGCAGGCGGAGCGCTATGAGGGTATGTAATGATTGATATTCTCCATCGATACATCTGCAGCAGCAAAGCTCGCGCTAACCGGCCTCCAGATATGGCTGAGAACATGATAAGCGTTGCATCTGAGGACCGCGAACTTAGTGTTGAAGAGCGTAACCTTCTGTCTGTAGCCTACAAGAATATGGTTGGCCCTCGCCGTGCTGCCTGGAGAATAGTCGTTTCGATTGAGCAGAATGAGGTGATCCAGGGCAAATATTCTGGGATTACTCTCATCCAGGAGTACCGCCGTAAGATAGAAAACGAGCTCACCATGGTCTGCAAGGGCATTCTTGATACTATTCATATACACCTGATCCCCTCTGCTAAGTCTGTCGAGGCCAAAGCTTTTTTCTACAAGATGTGCGCATTTTCAATTCGTGTCCCCCCGCCCCCGCGGCGCCGAACGGGCGGAAAGCCCTTTGTCTTTGTATCATCATGATGTCTAACGGAACTATTACAGGAGTGGTGACTACCATAAGTATCTTACCGAATTTGCTACCGGACTCCGCCGCAAGGACTCCGCCCAGAAGTCGCTCGAGGCCTACGAAGCCGCTACCGAGGTTGCCCAAGCTGATCTGCACCCTACTCACCCTATCCGCCTAGGCCTTGCTCTCAACTTCTCCGTGTTCTACTACGAGACTCTCAATGCCCCCGACAGGGCTTGTCATCTTGCCAAAAAGGCGTTTGACGATGCGATAGCTGGTACGAACTCATAATATGGCTCTCCCTGGTCGTGTACTACTAATCCATTTCTGACGAAATCTTCCAGAGCTCGACTCTCTTAGTGAAGAGAGCTACAAGGACTCAACAGTCATTATGCAGCTTCTACGGGACAACCTTGTATGTTACCTAGATGGAACATTTCTAGAGGTAATTGCTCATTCAACTTTACGCAGACCCTGTGGACCTCGCCTGAGGAGTCAAGTATTTCTAAGTAAAATTGACGTCGGTGGGAGCGATCCTAGGATTTGGCCACGTATACTTTCATCGAGAAGGTCAAGATTGCCCTGATCCTTTGTAATGTATGCTAGGCAAGAAGAAAAGTGGTTGCTTTAGCAACCTATGTTTTACTTTCACTTTTTTTAGCAACATAAAAGATGCTGTCAGAGACGAACTTTTCCGCTACTTTGGATAAAAGTTCTAAAGACAATAAGGCTTTTGTATATAATACACAATTTCCATAAGAGGAAATATGCACGGCTCTCGACAACATGTTCCTTTGGAATCGTGAGACAAGGATGCCTTGCGGGTGTATAATTAGTGTGGAAGCACAGCATAGATTTAGCAAGGTGCGTGCAAGGTAGGGAATAACTTACATAGTGAGCTAACATTAAAGTCAGATATTTTTATGTATCCTTTGAGCTAATATCTGGGGGCTAACCTAGCTTGAATTTGAGATGATCTTTCGGTAATTGTATCGGTGACTCACTATCCGGTTTACTGATATATGACTGACTCGCGGAGGCGTTTCGCAAACAACGTGTCGTAGCTGCACCCAGCGGCTTCTCAGGCCAGACCAAAATGAATGGTAAACCGGCTGCGACTCCCTTCTTTCCGTTATTTCCAGACCGTTGGAATGAGTTATATTGAAACACAGCGGTTTCGAAGCATATCATCCGCCATTCGGACCTATATCGTGCGAGTTGGAACACATGCATGCGATCTGTGTGGGCATAAGACTGGGGTTTGGAGATACGAAGAACTGACTGAATACTTATGCGAAAGACAGCGGGTACTTAACTCCCTGCACGGGTAGCTCTCGAGCCAGTCTATACTCGCGTGAAAACTACATCCACTGGTTCCCACCTTATGGCGTACACTGCAGCCAAGATAACGGCTATTAAGGATTTCAAGTTTAACGACAAGTGCAAAGACACATTGGCTTTGAAAGCCGCGTTGCTTGAGAAAGCGAAGATTACCAGAGGCGATATGGAGTCGCTCAAACGCGCATGCTTCGACGTTATCGTTCAGCGCAGGATCGACAACAACGGAAGAATGCAAAATAGGCACAATATTAGAAGGATCTGAAGATCCAGCGAGGATATATGAAGCATAGCAACAAGGTACTGTGAGTGCCCAACGGGTAGCCGGCACAAAACCTTGTCTAGTTTAACCGAGGCAGTTATGTATTCATATTGCAGCCCCCCACCCCCCAGAGGGGGGAGTCGCTGGTCTAGGATACTTGGAATCTAGGGATGCATCTTTATGTAACAGTTGTTTAAGCTGTGTGAAACATTGGCTTGATGTCTGACCAGCTATAGCAATGTGCTACAGACTTCGTCACACCTTGAACGGACGTCTAGTGCCAACCGTGGTAGACAATGGTATGACTTTGAATTTTTTCTTTTTTTTCGAGGATACCCCGCTCCGAGTTGCTATAAATTAGATTATGAGGAGTGTCAAAAACGTGCGGTTTCCTCGCAGTTTCTGATGACGGCATTATTCAATTCCCAATCTGTTCTTCAGTGACGGGGTCTACCTTTTGTCCAGACCTCAAGTGGACTTAAACATCCTTTGTGTAGTTTTGTGACTCGTATATATATCTTGTGCAACATTAGCAACTTGGATGAATCTACCCTAACATGAGATGCCTACCGTTTCCGGTACTCTAGCTTTACATCCTGTATTAGTATATATCAGTGCTGCTCTCTCGTGAAGTAGCCTCTCCTGAACTTAGGAACAGCCAGCTGGCAGGACGGCCGAAAGGGAAACACTTAGTATACTAAACCTGGTTCGGAAGGCATAAAAGTAGTGCGACATCGTCCCTACACAATTCCATCCCAAGTCAGCGACGCTCTACCCACTGGAGACCAATGATAGGCGTGTCACATCATGGCTTCCGCTAACAACAGCCTGGACTCTACCATCAGGCTGTTCAACAGGCCTTCACATTAGTGGTACTACACTGATTGCGTTTGATCCGGAATATAACCTTCAAAGCGACCCATATGTGGGATGTGCTCCACCCGAAATAATAGCCTCGTGGCAACAAGCTGGATTGCAGTATCTAGATACCTCTGTTAGCCTAGGGCCACTGACCTGCCTTAATCCCCTATACACTGTGGCAACCTCGATCAAGGAAGGCTCTAGCACTTTGGGCACGTGTTGCCCTTCGTACGTGCACCCATTCGAATGAACAGAGATTTGCAGTGACTGATTAGGAGTAAGGGGGTATAGGCGCGAGAACGGAACGCCAGATAGCAAGCTAGGCGGCAATTGCCTATCAGGCGTGTCATCTACTATGGTGCTGACATTTGGGTCAGCTGCATCTGAGAACCCGGGGGATTGGACAATGATCACAAATACCTTGCGCACAAGTTCGACAGTCAGGGCAATGGAAATCTCCGTTTCAGGCATCAGTATTACATCAACCGCAGTAGCGCCAACAACAACCACCATTGCAAACACTTTCCGTACGAATGCCCCGCTTAACGACATTTCGAGTATGATTATGCCGTCCTCACTTACTACCACCCGGCCTGAAGATTCATCAATTTTAGCTTCCTCAACTACAATAGCCGTATCCCCAACTACCTTAACAGGGCCATCTTCGACTGTTTCTAGATCAATCACTGACTACGGTCTATCCCCGGAAGATATAGCAGGAATTGGGGTTGGTGCTGGAGTGGTTGCTATTGGATTCGGTGTATTGGTGATGGCTATCTGCATCCTGGTACGAAAGCAGCGACGTTCTTTAATGCGCAGACCGCCGCCTCCCAATAGCTTCCGACAGGGTACGGCACGGAGAACCCCAAATAAAGGCTCGTCAAGCCGTACAGTTGAAGGGTCTCCATCTCGGATAGTCTCATCAATTCCTGTAAAGACCGCACGCTCGACGTGCAGTTCCCCAGGTAAGCCGATTGGGGAGCCACAAAAGGTTATAGCAAAGTCAGAGCAGCAGCCTAGTAGGCTAGAGTAGCTCCCTCCTCGCGCCTTTAAATGAATGCCCATAGCGTTCATTCGGTCCTTACTTGCTTTGTATTATCCAGCTGCTGTCAACTTCTTTCTCGCTTTACTTCAGCTGTGAGTGTTTGAAAATGTGTTCAAATATGACAATACAATCGACCATATATACCACGGGGCAGCTGGACGTCAAACAACAAAATATTTCCGTATGTAATAGATACCTAAGCCACAAAAATTTCAGGTTGCATACCTGCATCGTCCCTCGGGTAGTTAACAGATTTATATTGGACTCCATCCACCTCCACCGCAGCAAGAATACAGCTAGTATGGTGCACCACCACTACCCACCCACAGGCTAGAACTATACCGGTGCCGCTGAACCTTGGATTGTACAAACACCACGAGTGATGTGCAAGCCAAATTGCCACAGAGTTCCTTGAAAGTCATCAACGTGTCTTGTAACCTGGGCTCTAAGGTTGAAGAGCTGAGTATGGCACTTGGTCAGGTGTCAAATATATATCCAATGCTAGTTACACGCACACCAGCCATGTCCTGAACGGCAGATACCGCTATTTGGCTGAGAAAAAAAAAGCTAAATCGAGGGACCCACGTTGGTATCTCGATAAGTGATATTATCGTAGCGGTAAAGAGCGCTACCGCGAAGGTTTCGCGACGATTATATGCAAGGATTATCATATTACTCAGTCCTATTCAGGATCCCAGCAACCACCGTCAGGATACGGGGTACCGACATTGAAATTGACTTCACGTCACTATAGAAGATAAATGTCGAAGGGACATGTTATATCCAATCGTTTTGCTCTTCCTCATTGTGCTGAAGGAAACTTGTATCTGCCAATGTAGCTGATCGGTAAACGTAAACCACTCTCTCTTGCTTTTCCCTTCCTTTCCTTCCCACCGCCAGATGAGATGCAAGCTGACGCGGTTGGCTTGCAGCTAGCCCCACTTTTGTACATCAAAAACTCTCAATTTGCTAGGCCACAAGTATCTGTACAGGAAGTATTTACCGGCTCATCCCTATTAAAGAGTTCGTACACGTATTCTGAGTGGAACTGGCAGAACCTTCGATTCATAGAAAGGGAAATGATATACAACCACCACCCTGGAATCTGCAACATCTTTTCGCGCCCTAGTACATACCAGGTTCTTTTTATGTAACATATTAAACCAGTCGCAGCAAGGCGCTGTTATTACCCAGCTGCGGCAGGTAGAGTCCTTTGCAGGGATGTTAGTACCTCTGTGGGTGTTGGTTCGGGCATGGTCGCTTGTGGTCATAGGCACCGCCCTGGACGTATTAATTGACAGCTTGTCACTATCAGGCCGAGGGAAAGGTATTGTGGAAGCTTAGCTATAGCTTAGTCGAGATTATCTTCCGTGAAAATATCGCAAGTACCACAACATTGCGGAAACTAAACGATGGCTGCTCCTCAAAGAGCGATCGATTACAAGAAGTACATGGAGCGGCTTCAGTCCTGGGATATCGCTTCTATGTGGCTCGGTGAGAGGCAGGACGATATCCAGGACTGGTGGGACTTCTGTGGACCGCAACTGGTAACACTCGCCCATGAAGCCGGCTACAGCCCTGTGGCCCAGATTGAAATACTTCTCTTCTTTCGCTCAGTTATTTTACCAAATATTGGACGTTTCCCTCACACTTGCCGTCCAATTGCGTGCGCCCAAGCCCGAAGCATACTCACCTATGACGGGTCTCCTATTGAGTATAGTTGGAGATGGAATGTTTCTGCCAGCGACCATCCCCAGATCCGTTTTTGCGTCGAGCCAGCGGGACATAGCTCATGTGCCACTGGGGCCGTGGGTAGTAAGCTTCGTGCTACTGATGCCATCCTGGCACAACTTGCAAAGAGGCTGCCGCATCTAGACCGTGAATGGTACTATTATTTCCTGGATTCCTTGCACATCGGCCGTTGGATAGATAGTTCTCACCATGACGATGCACACCCATGGCAGGGACGAGTGCCACGGGTGCCCGTTGCCTTTGATTTTACGCCAAAAGGAATCTCCACTAAGGTGTACTTTACTCCACCGGCCACACCTAACAATATGACCTCTTTCAACACTATTGCGGATTCCGTGCGGCCAATTTGTCAACAGGACACTGCCGCCCTGGACGAGTGTATGGCATACTTTGCCAGCGACCCGGTTGGGGCTACTTTGCGACCGGACGTCGTGGCCATTGACTGCGTCTCGCCTCTGAAATCACGTATCAAGGTCTATGCAGGAACACCAATGACCGCGTTCACGAGTGTCGTATCCGTGATCACGTTGGGTGGTCGGATCCCAATACCTCAAAGTTCCATTGATGAGATGTGGGCCTTGTTCCGCATGGTCCTCGCTCTTGACGACAATTTCTCGCGAGATGAGGAACTACCCGTGCAGAGTCCATTCCAACCCAGCCGCGCACACCGCGAAGACTACTATAGCGGCTTACTCTACTACTTCAACCTTGCATCGGGATCAGAGTTACCTGATGTGAAGCTGGACATACCCGTGATCCGATACGGGCGCTCAGACGAAGATATTGCGCACGGGCTCCAACAATTTATGATCTCGAGGGGGCGGGGACAATATGTAGACGGATTCCAGCGTGTTATGGAGATAATTAACCAGAGGCATCAGCCCGGAAATGGGCATCGTGTGCAAACATATATCTCATGTTCGATTGAGAAGGATGGTTCTTTATCATTGACCTCGTACCTCAATCCCGGTGTGTATTCCTCATCTGAAGCAGCCGAGGTTTAGACTTCCATACAAGAGATTTCGGAGAAAAGGCTGTTTTGTACTCTGTTAGAGCTGTGGCTAGGTATACAGTCAGTTCAGATAATTTGGTTTCTTTTGACCTTATTGATTCCCCCTGGTGTAGATTAGGACAGTTTGATAGATTTCCTAGGGTAGTTTTCAGTTGAATGCACTACCTGAGCAGTTGTAAAACAGCAAGGTGCGTTCCTACGAGTAGCCTTAGTCCCGGAAGTGATAAAATCCACTTGGCTTATTTATCACCTTTGTTCGTTGCCGTAATGGAAGTAAGTGCTTAGCGGCCATGACAATGGATGTGTCTGTTAGGAAAAAAGGACCCGATCTATCTTGTACATTTCAAAATCCGTTTGCATTCAACACAATGCACATTAGGACGTGAGTGTATTGAGTCATAGAATTGTTTACTTCCTCTTAATAATATTTACATACCAATGATTCAGTATCCCGATCATCAATGATCCCCGTGAGTCAGTGATACGTGGAATTGCGGACATGGTATCGCTACAGGTCGTCCTAGGGACTTTGGTTGTGCCTTTAGGAGCTATTCGGCACACCATGTTGATTGTGTAGTGCACTGTCATGGGTCTTACAGGGCATATTGACCAGTACTCTATTGGACCGACGTAGTGTCCACAGACCTGAGGTTTCTATGCAGATATAGGGAGCTATAGGAATGTAGCGGGGTGGGGTTACCTAGCTCGCTTTGGATATATTCTGCTCTGTGCGGCGTGTCTAAAAATGGGATACATAAACTGCGTATCTTGTGCACATTCATTAGGAACATTTTGAAAACAAAATCATGCAGTGCATTACTGAGGGGGGGGCAATGAGTATTTAGAATCCTAGCAAAAATATTCTAATAAAGTGTCTTCTGAGTTGGTTCCCATACGCCGCATTTTACCTTCAAACAGGTCCCGTTGAAAGTAATTCATCGGGGATCGTAGCGCCGATCACCATTCTCATGCCCTACTGGGGTGTTTGAAGCAATTTCTCAGAGCCGCAGCGGACCGATTCCAATTGTGCACCATCCAGGCCTTTGGGTCCGAACTGGGCTCAATTTCGGATTGGATGACAGTGTCCCATGCGTCATTCGTTCTTAGTTCCTCCAGCATTGCCGGCATATCCATGACCCTCAAAGGACCTACGCCAATGGGATTACTGCCGTCATCGAAGATTGGCGAACCGGCCTCGGAAAAGGTAAATTGATTCAGCTGCAACATAACCTTGGATAAATCCTGAAGAGCCTGTGTCCGATAACGCTCGAGAGTAGCAGCACCTAGTTCTTCATTGAACCAAACATGGCGGGCTGACTTGCCGTCGATATACTCCATCAATATGTAGGGGCAGCCCCGGTCATTATCCAGAGAAGCTGATAATGAGAAGACTGTAGGGATAGGAATGATCGTTTCTTGCCTCAAAAGCTGCATTGTCGAAGCTTCAGCAGTTAAGACGCGGGCATGTATATCGTTGAAAGCTCCAGGATATCCATTCACGGGAACTTTCAAGACCCACTTTAGGCCTGTGTTGAATTCAAGTAGGAAGAGGATGTTATTGGAACCGAAGAACCGCTCAGGCATTATACTACAGCCGGTGCACGTCGGCGTTGGGCCATCTTGTATTTCGCTCTGCTGGTAAATAGATACGGCGAAAGGTGGTATCTTGGCCAGGTCCAAATGTTCAACAACTTGTTAAAATACCGCCATGTCATCTTCGTCGCTCGGCTGACTCATGATGTTAAAGCTTCCTGATCGGAAGTCTTTATCCCACATATGTGGGCACTAAGAGTTACAGATCGGTATTAGCCATTAGTGCACGGAACAACATATATGTAGCACTGAGTGAAGATATTGAGGCGTAATATTAAGGTAGAAGTGGGTAAAGAAGCTTTCTTGGCTTGAGGGAAAAGTGCCCGAAGGCAGATACGCACGTGAGACTCGTTGTTTTATGCAGCCGGCGTAAAATATTGTACATGAACCAGAAACGCCAGTCACAACAAACGTGTTCAGATTCATCATTGACACTGCGGGGCTATATATAGAGATGCTGGCCTTCTATATGCCATAGAATCTTATTGACATTCGTAAGCATTTCACATTTCATCCATACTTGATCCACAGACCCATAAGCGAGACTTTGATACAGTTTATATATCCAATTTGAGTCGCTGCGAGCCGAACCCTCAGTTGCTATGTTACAGGCCTTTTAGCTGGTTGATTTATATCCACAGGCCCTTGCTGGAAAGTCAAGCAACTCGATAATTCGTCCATCACCGCATGCTTCGAGGTACATGCAAATAGCCTGACATTCCAGCTTAACGCGGGGACCAACCCACCACTCGTCAACCGAAGTGCACATTAGCGCTAACCAGTATGACAAGATTAGCAGAGCACGAGGATCTTTCGCAGCGAGCAGATTCACGAAATCCGGTAACAGTCGACCCATAAAGTTTGTTATGCGAGGCGCCCCGCACTTATGCCGCGGGATGCGCAGTAATGGGCACAGCATACGAAGGGGCCAATGGAAGGGATTTGTCTCTTCCGTCGTGGTATCAGTAATATCGCATAAGTCGGCCAGATCGGGATCGAGATTTTCCCGACCCATTCGATGATCATCAGCATATTCGTAGTTGCTCGATTCTTGAAAGGGTTCATTCCAGATGCTCTCATTCATCCATGGCTTGGTGATCTCTAAGAGACAGCGTAGACCACCTTGAACGGAGAGCCAATTCATGTTGGCCGGATCGTCTGAGAAAACCCAAGAGTCGAGCGGGGTCGTGGTCTCGGCGGAGAAGGAGAACATCCCGACCAACATGCAGCTTGTAATTAGCATGTCCATATTATCTCGGCTGATGGGAAATTCAAGATGTTGTCGATACAGTCGGGTGGCCATGTGTCGAAAACGTGCGGCTACCATCGTACACCTCGAGTCTGAGGGAAGAGTATAGGCCCAATGAGTGCTCGCCACTGCCATTATAGAATACAAAAGGCATGGTTCCTTTACAGCCGTCATTGGTTATTTTGAGGTGATGGTAAAAGCGGGTTTATACATACCCCCAAAGCCACTTCGATAATACAATCTCGCAGGACCTTCTTGATAGACGAAAAGGCAAGCGAATGCACTGATACCATCTCAGAGAAATGCGCCAGCATGGCTAAGCCAAATGACCCAAGAGAGTGACATGGGCCGTACATATAGAATCTCTCGTCACTCAAGTCGGAATGTAGGACACGATCGACATTAGCGATCATTGCCTCGAATGCCAGCGAACCATTGCAATGAAGCGAAGTGCTACACGTAGATGGAGCCATTGGCAGTCTCTTTTTGGCTACATTGCGTGGAAGTGCAAAATCACAGACGGCACCATGCATTCGGCACCGCCTACATTGTGGTTTCGCTTCATCACACTGCGCAGGATGTCAGTTCTATTGGCCTAGAGAGTCCTAGTGACGGCGGGGCTTCGCACTTTGATTCTTCGACGCTTGCAATTGAGACAGCCGGTCCTCGATTTTCTGTGCGCGCGTCGCGGTTTAAATACTTGCTCAGTTGCACCGGATGCTGTCAACAGAGGCTTATTGGTCTCCACTCTATGTACTGAACTGCCTGCTGCTTGGCACCTTGGCCAAACTCTGAATGCCGAAAGATAGTTGCCATTGCGCCAGCCATCATGGCGACTTTTTATAGTTTCAGGCTGTGCCTGACTGCTAGGTTGGAAATCCATAGACCACACTGAATTTCCATCTGCCATCATTGCTTAACAAGATCTGTAAGGAGGAAAAGACTAGTTTATTGAAGAATGTCAGAACACGAGGCTCATCAGGGTCTCAGCGACTTTATACGTTCTCCATGTTGCGCAATCAAACTAAACCAAATTGGGCAGTTCTGCCAAGGCTCGCATTGCGCTGTCCAATCAGGATTGATTGTTCATTCGGGGCATCTTGAGCTCCACCCTTAAGGGTTAAACACGAGTTTTAGCACCTGCGCTGAACTAGGCACCCGGTATTTCAAACAAATTCTATAAATAAATATCGGGAGCATGACTGGATCATTCATGTGGTTATGTGCGGATCCTATCGAGTCTAAATAATATCAGCAATTGCGAAACTCTCACAGAATCGCTGAGGTATTGCCGAGCGCAATACTGCATCTTTAGAGTAATAGGAGTGCAGCACTTGACGACAATGTATTTATGCAGTACATACTAAGTAGCCCTCCAGCAGACTTGTATGAAAGAGGTAGTGCGTGTCCCAAGCAGAAGATAGCGCTCTCTTCTGCCCGTGATCCGGAATAGTTTAATGGCAACAGTAAAGGTAAATTGATATGTTCATCAGTTGAGGATAGGAGCTTGGCTTTGTTGGTTTTTGGACCCTTGGACGATAAATCAGTCCATGGAACTCGGTGCTTATATGGGGACCAGTTTTCCCTCTTTCATCCACAATCTTCAGTACCCGAATACTGATATCGAACGCCGTATTGGCATAGAGCGCAGTAAAGTCCTCGAGTAGTGGGCATCGAATAGGATGTACTTACTTGCTTTCTCGCCCACTCTTCCACGAGACTATCCCAACCCATCTTAGCGTTATGGATAGCCTGGAAGGTATACTCCTCAAAATTAACCCAAGGACACATGCTAAGTAGCCCCTGGCACAGAACTGGTTCGATAAAATCGGCTGGGTCACCATCGGCCCCGTTGCAGTTGGACATACCTGTTCTGGCGCTTCGTGTTGCTGGGAATATGTAGATTGCAGTTCCTTTTTATGCGCTCTTTTGTCATATACATCCAAGATTGTACAAAACTGGTACATACGACCACAGGGTGTGGAGAACAGGGCTTCCCGTCCGCTCAGCCGTACTTAAGCCACCTATTAAACGCGGACGACTTGGATAGAGTGGCATAACCTAACCGCTGTAATCTAGCCATAACCTAACCTAACTGGCCTCAATTAAATTAAGATATAAAATTCCTTAACCGATACTAATTAGATTAGATTAAAATTAACTAATCTTTTAATTATAGTTAACTATAGATTAAAATAAATTAAATTATAGTTAGACTGGTGTTTGGCTAAGTTAGATTAGGTTAATAGGGTCAGGTATACCTAACCGGTAGATTATAACTAGATTATATATATATATTGTACTGTCTGTGATTAACCGGCAATTAATCTAGTTCTGTCTAAGATAGCTAACTAGACCTATTTAAATAGACAGTAAATTAGAATTACTTAAAATACTGTTAATAGAAAATAGTCCTAATCTACTATCTATTTAAATAGATCTAGTTTGGTACTTTATAATCTTATTAGATAGAATTAGATTAACTATAATCAATCTAGTTTTAATCTTAATCTAGATCAGTTAAATATTTTTATATCTTAATCTAACCGGTACCGGTTAGATTAGGTTATGGCTAGATTACAACAGTTAGGTTATGCCACTCTAATTATAGTAATTAAATTAATAACTATAAATTAATCTATAATTAATTACTAATAATTTTATAGTATTTATTATATTTTTTTTTAATTTATTTTATATATAGAGTTATTACTAGTTATAATTAATAATTATTATATTAGATATAATTAAATAATTTAAAAAATATATTTTTTAGATTATAACTATAAATAAAA